CTCTGCATCGTGTGCCTAGGACGAAGTGGGATTTAAAACTATTAGATGTTTTTATTACTTATATCTACGAGTAGCTAAAATTCCTTGCACATAAAAATCACATTTTTTAGTATTTACAAAGTTTCCCTTTTAAGGAACTTCTCCATTTGTTTGAAACTAGTTAAACTGGCTTCTATATTCACAACTGCTCAGTACAAACCTGTTTCTACTTGGGTTTAATGATCTCCCCCACCAGACGGGCGCGCCCTCCGACAGCACGTGACGTTGGGAAGGGAGAGTGGAATGCAGTGCAGCGGAGGCCACATGTGCCGGCCCATGTCCCCACACGCAGACCTGGACCACCAGGTCCACGGTCACACACCCACACGGACACACGTGCCGTGCACGACGTGGAAACGCTGCCGCCTTGACCTCACGTTCACACACACCTAGACACACCTGGCAAGAATAAGCATCTGTCTGAAATGCAGTATTTGGCTCCAGGTGTTTTTACTATTTTTTATTAAGGTACAACATCTGTTCACATGAAGCCTATCAATAAACCCCTAAGGTGGAACTGCTGTCTTCAGCTTTGTGCACATTTAATTCTGGGGATTGCGCCTTTCAGGGTTGGTTTTTTTTTAATTAATTAATTTATTTTTAGAGAGAGGGGAAGGGAGGGAGAAAGAGAGGGAGAGAAACATCCACGTGTGGTTGTAGCTCGCGTGCCCCCTACTGGGAACCTGGTCCGCAACCCAGGCCTGTGCCCCGACCAGGAATCGAAAATGCGACCCTTTGGTTCACAGATCACCGGTCAATCCACTGAGCCACACCAGCCAGGGCGCGTTCCGGTTATTTTTCGCTCCCCTTGGTCCAGACGTGCCCCTTTGCCGCAGCCGAGCCGGGCTGGGCCGGTTCGGGGCAGCGGAGGGCCGAGCGCGCTCTGCGCCCGGGTGTGGTGCCAGAGCGGCTTCTCCGCTATTGCAAAGCGTTGCGTGCGCTGTGCCGGCGCGGGCCGTGCCCCAGGTGCTGGTAACAGGAAGGGTTTGAGCGTTTGTTAAGGAGGTGCTGTTTCTACAGGCGCATCTTTCTGGATACAAAACCCGAGAACCGGCGCTGCGTTTTACCCGGCGCCTCCCAGCGGCTGTGGGAGGAAGTGCACGCGCTCTCCGCAGGCCTGTCTGCGCGGGTTAATTATAGTGACAGCCAGGAGCAAGGAGCCATTTCCACGTCTTGGAAAGACGGTCATAGCCTTATTTTTTATGATGTGCCAAATCATATTGTTAGTTATTTGTGATTTTTGCATAGCTATTCCTTAGCGATATGGGTCTGAGTTTTGGTCATTTTCGATATTATTGGGTGCATTTTGTCCAGTTTGGCGACTGATGGCATCCAACACTTATCCCTTTAACACATTGGGAACTTTCCTTTTCTCCAAAGCCCTGCGGCCGTTCCGAGGGAGCTGCAATTACCTGTCTCTCGAAAGCGTCAGAGAACCCCTCCGAACCTTCCGCTCCTCTCCTGGCTCTCCCGCTGTTGGGTTATTGGCTGCACTGATCAGTGTCCGCCGGGGAAGCAGCCCCGGAGGGTAACACGGGTAGATCGGAGGACCGTCCTGGCGAGGGACTGGCTTACCCGGTCGGAGACAGAGAAGGCCCCTCTCGCCCTGCCCAACGCCCCGGCCCGGCCCTGGGGCTGGGCAGTGGTTCGGGTCCCACCCGAGGGCCTGCCGGCTCGGGAGGTCCCAGGACAGGAGATGGGCGTCTCAGCCCAGCCGCGCCAGCCATTGCCTTCCTCTGCCTTCTGTTCGGGCCTCAGTGGAGTGGGCGGTGCCCCACACCCCGCTTCCCGCCCACACGGAGGGGTCTCCTTCATGGGGTCCCCGTTCAGAGGCGAATCCCTTCTGGAAACAGCTGCCCCAGCTCGTGGGCCCCAGTCACAGGAGCTGGAAGAGGGGGTGCTCACCATTACTACGGCCTCTGTGGTCATTTTTAGTCATTTCCATGTAAACAAAATCATCCCTTTTATTCAGATTTCTGCATTTACTTACATAAAATTAGGTGGCGTTTTCTCGTAGCTCTATATTCCCTCCTTGCTTACCTCCCGGACGCGGCGTTACTCCCAGTTCCAGTGTGTGGGGGCAGGGAGCTCTGTCCAACCAACAAGCGGTTCTCAGACGCCGCTGGGCGGCCCCACCCCCCGGGACAGCGCCAGACCTGCAGGGCAGGCGGCCCCCAGACAGCGGCTGCAGGCCCAGGGTCCCTCTGCGGCCCCCGGGCTCTGGGTCCGCGTTCCCGCCGCCGCCTCCCTGGGTCCCATTCGCTCGCCAGATCGCCGTTCGTCGTCCGAGGGAGGCGCTCGGGCACGCCGGTGGCGCCCAGAGGCGGGGGCGGGGGGCCGGTGGAGCTCCCGCGCCCTCGGGGGCCACTCTCCTGGACCCGCCCTGGCTCCCGCCCTCCTTCAGTTTTCCTGCCGCCTCCTGACAGGGGCAGGATTGACTCCACCGCCGGGCGGCGATTCCGCCGGCAGCGCCCCCCACTCCCAGAGGTCGGGGATGGGAGGAGACGTTCCGTGGGCCACCAGCCCCCTCCTCAGGCGCTTCCCATGGTCCCCTTGTCAACTCCGGGGAGGTGGAATGGGGCTTGTTAGGAACAAGGAGACCCCACCTCACCCTTGTGGCCTGAAGCCGCTCCAGGAACCGGGGACAGCAAACGCGGCCACCACTCGAACCGCCCAGGAAATCCAGGGCCCTGGGCCCTGTCGGAGGCAGGCGGACGCGCGTTCTCAGCCTGCGCCCCGCTGTCCTCCCGTCCTGGCTGCCGCCACCTCTGCCCCTCCATAGCTCCTGCTCCTGTCGGTGGCGACTACCTACATTATAGTGCAAAGGCAGCTCTTGGGTGCGGTTTGTATTTTTACTGTTTTTTTCCTGCTCTAATGAAGTCAGTTCTTGCAGGTTTACATTCGTCCCAATAACGCCAACCACCCCACAGGCTCGCAGGTCCAGACACTTCGCACGTGGTTCCCGTCTAGCATTCGCCTGAGGCTCACGGCCCGGGGTCCAGGCCTGCAGCTCCTTGTGACCTCTGCTCTCCATGTCCCGGAGCTTCTAACGCGTTACGTTTATAGACTTTTTAGAAGCCAGATGTGACAGAAAAATAAACCGGGAAGCCGTGCAGGGGTTTCTGAGAGCCCTGGCGTCAGGACAGAGCTGGACAGCCCTGCCCAGGTGGCTCTGGACCCCCATCCCCAGCCCCACCCTGTTCCTTCTCACTCCCGGGAGATCCCAGATCCCAGAATGAAATCGTTGTTTTTCTCCTTTTGCATAATAATGACAATAAAAGTTCTCCAAGGGCAGGGACCAAAATCCCAGGGCTTAACAGTTTGGAGCAGACAGCACGTTCAGTTACAATTTAAAAACAGCAGCAAAAAAAGCAGTTTGTCTTTCCTGCGGCTTCAAGTCAGTCACAGCTCATCTCCTGAAATCAGAGGTCAGCAGGTGAGGAGGATAAATCACTGAGGCCGCAGCGAACACTTGTACATTTTATTTAATTAAATCAGCCATTGTACACGTTGCAGCTATGTATTGTTAGTGTTGTATGTTTTCCGTTAACTAATACATGCCCTCATAGATATATTCAGTTAGTGTTATCACCAGGGAAACAAGATGCTGATTCATCAACTGAAAAGTCACTTCTTCTCACAGTATTCAAGTTTTTTGATTACACAGCAAAAAATCAAATTCAAAAGAAGGTGAATAACCGTTAGGTTGTTACACAGACGCCACCTGCACTGCAACCACACGACAGAAACGCGCCCTGGAGCCCAGGGAAGGGCCCGTGAGGCCGAGCGTCCCAGCTGCAGAGGCCGCCGCCTCGTTGCCCATCCAACAGCAGGAAAGTGCTAGCACGAAGGGCGGGAGGGGCAGCGTGGGGGCACCCAGGGCCCCCTACTGCAACGCTCCCTGAAGTGGCCAAGTGGCGTTGTGTGTCGCATGGTTTGGGACATCTGGAGCAATGACTCGTTTTTGCAGGAAAAGCCCGGCTGGAGGTGGGAAATGCTCCATCCAGGTGGACAGATTCTGGTTTGTTTTTAAATTTCATCTCCATTGAATATACTTTTGTTTAACAAATAAGTCTCCAAAATGTATACTGTTTACAGGAATATACTTGTGAGTACATGTGATTAAAACGCCGCACAGCTCCAACAGGGACCGGAAGCCCTGCTTCAACACACACGCGCGGGCAGTGCACAAAGGCAGCTCAGGGCTCAAGTAAGTTGCCCAAACTTGTCACCAAAGCCAACTTTTTAAGGACTTCTCCATCTTGTCCGCCAGCTGAGAGAGAGACCTCACTGAAGAGTGAGCCGTGTTCTGGGTGAAGGGAACGAAAACTGCCCGCGCGCTCGGAGGCTGGCGCTGCCCGGGTCCGGCCGTGGAGCGCTACATGCAGGAGCTCGCAGAGAAAGGACCCTGGAGAGGAGGAGGAGGAGGAGGGACAGAAGGGACCACTCCAGCGCGGCAGCGGCGCGCACCCTGCTCGTTGCAGGCAGACCCTGCTTCCAGGGACGCATCCGCAGCGCCGTGGCCGGACAGAGGGCCACCGGTAAGACAGCGTGGTTTGCTCAAGCAGCGACAAAGTCTGGAGACTACAGTAGTTACAGTTTTGTGAAATACCCTACCAACGCGTCCAGGGCCTGAGAGACTTGAAGGTGCTCGGTGGGCACGGGGCGCCGCTGCCGGCCCCTGGGGCCGCCGAGTCTGGGCGCCGCTGGGCAGTCCCTCGGGGCCTCCCCCAGGGCCACGGCCGCGCTGGGGCTGTAAGGTCGGGTAGGTCGGACGTGGGTCTCCTGCAGCAGCCGGTGTCGTTGCTGGATTGTGTTAGCAATACCTGAACGAGCCGCGCCCCCCCCACCCTCCCGCCCCCCCAAAGGCCTTGCTGCCACAGCACCCAGTGTGGCAAGACGGGCGGGGGCGGCCGCCGGACGCGTGTCCCTCAGACGCGCGCTGGGCATGCCGTGCCCGGACGTCCCAGGAAGAGGTGCGCAGGCAGCTGCCCTGGTCGACGGCGTGGCGTGGAGCCTGTGCGGAGGTGAGGGACGAGGGTGGCCGGTGCCCGGGCTGGCCCGGGGGCCAGGACGCCGGGGACACAGCACCCAGGAGGAGGGTGCTATCTTTGGTCACAAATTTGCGTACAGCTAACGGGGGTGGGGCAAGCTAACCCAGGGCGGCGTGTGTGCTGAAGTGGGGGACACCGGGGTCCCGGGGCCGGACAGGCTGCTCTGCCAGAAAACGGGGTTGCCAGGCACCGGAAGGGGTGCGGGGGTCCTGGCGTGCGCCCCGGGCACCCTCACTGGGCCTCCTGCTCCGGGCCGTCCTGGCAGAAATGCCGCAGCAGTCGCTGGAGGTCGCGCTGGAAGGCGTCCTGCTCCTGGGCCGCGGGCACATCCTCCAGCCGCTCCAGGTGCACGTGCGCCCCCTGCCGGTCCTTCACCACCGCCCTCTTCCGCGTGCTGGCCTTACTGAGCGTCGTCCTGCGGGGCAGCAAGACAGGGTTAGGCTCGGCACTGCGGCCGCGTGCGCACAGGCCGAGAAAGACCCCTTTTCACTCACTCCATGCTCCTTGGCTTTGTGCTTCACCCACTGCTGCCCCCCTGCCCCTTCCCCGGAAAGGGCGGCACTGCAGTTAGTTCACACCCAGGCCGGCCTCGCGAGCCCGAGGCCTCGTTCCACAACATGCACAGAGCGTGTTCTGCCTGCCAGGCCCAGTGCTCATGGCGACAAAGGAGGGAGCTAAACCTCCGGGAACTGAAGCTCCCAGTAAAAACGGACACAGGGAAGGCACAGTGAGGCCAAGCCGGGGTCCCAGGGCCCGAGGGGGCGGCCCTGTCTGCCTGGCTGCACGTGGGACTGTGCTGAGGCCGGTGGGCGGGCTCTCCCTCCCCCCGCCCCCTCCCACGCCCGCCTCCCCTTCGATGCCACGTGAACTGCTGTCTCTCTGAAAGCACCTTCAATCTTTTCCTCTTAATACAAAGGTCAACACTGGGTTCCAATGGCTGAAGTCAGATTATGATTTTCTAACTATTCAGTATCCATATTTTCCTCCAAAGAGGCACATATCTGACTCTCTCTGCCAGGTGCGGGGTGAGCGTGTCACAGTGCAGCCCTGGGTTTTGACACGCGTGCTACGAATGTGTGCATCCCCGGCGGGGGGGGCAGGGCATGGACGCACTCCTGGGGCTGGGGCTGCGGCCTTGGCCAGGGCGCAGCAACACGCATGTCAGCAGCGTGCAGCCCCAGCCTCGGGCACCTCCTGCCCGGGCTGACCGCCCATCTGTGGCCGACTCAGGGGAGGCGGCACAAGGCCTGTGCCAGTGGGGAGACCCCGTGGTGCTGGGCCGTGTGCATCTGTGTGGTTTCATCCAGAACCGTGGGACGTCAGAGCCCAGAACCTCCTCGGCTCAGGCGGCGCCTGGGAGCCGTGTGGGTGAGACACGCCAGCCCGCAGCCATTTTTCACGCGACTGGGCAACCTGGGACACGACCTCTCGTCTCCCCGCGCGGCGTGTTCCGCAGGCTGGTCGCCACGGTGCGGACTCCCCTCGTGGCCATGTTCCTCTTCCGGCAGCAGACACGCAAGACAGGGACCCCACGTCCCCGGCGTCTCTGCCACAAAGTGTGTGCACAGCCCGTCATGAGGGTGCAGACAGCCTGCCTGGAGGTGCCCGTCCACGGGCACAAATGCCAGCTGCTCGCGGCTGCACAGATGCGCCCGGACCCACCGCCAGGCAGCGGTGAGGTCACACGCCACATGCACAGCACCGGCCAGCTCGTGCCCTGGGCAGCGGGCGAGTCACTGAGACCAAGAGGCAGGCCGCGGTCATGGACCCGCCTGTGGGCAATGGGCCAGGCCTTCCCCCCACGCCTTTCGGTCCGTCGGCACAGGGGACACCCCGCAGGCAGGGCCGGGTGACCGTGGGGACGGGCATCCACTGTCCTCTGGCCTGAGGGCCACTTCTAAAGCCCTAAGGGGACACCACAGTCTCCCTAACACCAGGAGGCTGCCGGCCCCCAAGGGCCTTTGGGGCACGTGGGGGGCTCCATTTTTATTTTCTCCCAGTTGGAAAGCTTCCAAGGGTGTTAGTCAGCAGAGCAGCACCCCATGCCGACCCAAACCTTGTAATGACCGATCCATCCTTGCTCAGGATCTGATTCTCTACTAAGCTGGGGAGGTGGACGCGCGCGTGGCTACCTGCGTAACTCAACGCCTGAAGGGGGAGAAGAGAGACAAGGAAAAGCGTCACGCGTCGCAGCCCGAGGCGGCTGCCGCGCTGCTGAGCCGATGGCCAGTGTGGACGGGCGCAGCTGCGTTGGTAACTAACGCGCACGCAGGAGGCGGGTCAGGGCCGAGCGCACTGAAAGCACCCCCGCGTCCGAGGGGCACGTGCCAGGTCACTCAGCCGAGGCTGCCAGCCAGCCCTGGGCCAGTGGCTTTAACGTCCCCCACCCCCCACAGCGGAGACTAACGGCAAACTGACAACCAGACGCAGAACAAGAACAACGGCTCAGATGCGGCCGTCTTCCCGTCTCTGAGGTCCCGGCTGTGAAAACGCGAAGAACCAGAAGGGCTGCAGTAAGTCAGGCTTTCGGTCCCCACCCGTCAGACTCACGCAGGTGAGGGAGGGGTCCCGCGGTAGCATCTGACTCCGGGCTGAGTCCGCAGCCACCAACGCCTTGTGGACGGACGCCTGCCTGCGCCTGCTGTCCCTCCATCCCTCCGTCCAGCCCGCGGCCCACAGGGCTCCGGGATGCAGGCTGCTCCCCCCGGACTTGGAAGGGCAACAAGATGCCCGCACTGCATGCCCAGCCCTGAGCACGGCCGTTCCCTCTCAGCAGAACTGGCTCGGCGCACGGGAGCTCTGCCGCCGACTGGCTTGCACCCAACTCGCAAACGTGGCTTTGGTTTCCAGAATTTTGGAATTTGGAATCGTTGTAAGGGTTCATGTATCTCTCACTATGGACCGCTGTCCCGATTACCAGAAATCAGAACTTCATTATGGAGACTTGTTTTACGTGTGGGTGTGAAATGGGTGGGTCTCCCTCCATGCCCATCCCTGGACCTGCAGCCTCTGCGGTTCCTTCCCTCCCTGGCCGGGGCGTGCACCGTGCCCAGGGTTGCGCCCAGCTCCAGGGACGGGGCGCCCCCTCAGCGGGGATGAATCTGTCGTCCATATTTTTTAAAGCGCTGATAGCAACTCGGATGGGCCCCCGAGGCCGAGGGGCCGGCCGTTCATAAACCAGGAACTGCCCCTCTGGGGTTGCCGGTGCCCCCGGCGTCCGTACGCGTGCGACGCGATGACCAACCCTTTCGTGCGGACGCGGCGCGTGGCCCCCGTACCTCTTCAAAGTCGTCCTTGGCGGAGGGCAGGTCAGGGGCGAGACAGGGGTCCCCCAGGCACTTCTCCAACCGCTGCCCACGCACCACCGTCGTCTTGACGACTCTGCTGACCCGCCGGCCCTCCACGGGCTCCGCCTGGAACTGCGAGGCCTCGCACGGTGTGCCGTGCTCAGACAGGGTCACCTAAGGCGGGGGGGGGGGGGGGGACAGTGCAGCTTCTGATGGACGAGGTGGCAGTGACGCATTTTTTTAATGACAAAATGAACCTGCAAATGCTACAATCTGCACACGAGCCTTCCAGAAAGCGGAAGTTTGGGAAAGAGAAGCAGTTAGGAAAACCCCAGCAATCGGTCGGTACTGCCGGCGTAATGGCTGTGTGTACAGAGCGATGAGACACGTGACGACTTGCTCAGAGACCTGTCAGACGTCGCGTGGGGCGGGCCGTGTGGACAGGCCGCCGTGTGCACAGACCCCCACCTCCCCACGGGGACGGTGTCCGTGCCCCGTCTGAGGGTAAAACGGCCGGAAGGCGGAATGTTCAAAGCAGGAGGGGCTGCGGGGCCCGACGACCCTGCTGTGTGTCGTCGTGAAACTGGAAGGGTGTGAGCGAAGCGACGCAGCGAGGACAGCGTCCGCGTGGCCCCCAGGGAGGGCGGGGTGGGGCCGGCTCGCTGCCGAGCACCCGGCCGGGCTCTGAGGCACCCCGTCGGCCCCCGTGCCCGCAGGGCCTCTCCCGCCCCCCGCCTGCTCGCCGGCACGCAGGGTCTAGGCCTCCGCGTCAGATGCTGGGCGTCCACTGTGTCAGCTCCAAGCCAAGTGGGACACAGGTGAAAAGGACCAAGGCAGCGAGCATGTGGCCAGCGGTGGTCCCAGCGGCCACTGCGGAATCCCAGGGCCCCGCCAGGGGGGCGGGGGCACCGCTGGGAGCCGTGCGAGGGAGACAGAAGCCTGCAGGACCAGCCACCCTGTCTGGGCGCCACGTCGCACATCCATATCGAACATCTACTTCACGTGTTCACACCACACGTCGCCACACATGTGCCCACGCCACACACCCGCGTCAGGCCCCAGGCCGCGGCAGCCTCACCTCTGACTGCTCGGTGTCACTCTTCAGCACCACGCGCTTTATGACTTTGGAGAAGCCGTCCCCATCCTCCACGCTGACAGGTTCCTGGGGCCGTCCCTGCACGGTGACCTCCTCCCGCTCCACGCCATCGGCAGACACGTACCGCTTGATGACCTTCCTGGTGACCTGGAAGGCAGGGCGCTCAGGCACACGGTCCTCGCGCCGCGGGGCCCAGGCTCGCGGGCCAGCAGGCGGGAGGCTGCGGGGGGGGGGGGGGGGCGCGCTACCTTCCTCACCACGGTGCGCCCCTGCTCGTCCACGTACTCCTGCTCCGTGGCCGTCTCCGGGGGCACGTCCGGCACGTCGTCGCCCTGCGCCGTGGGGCAGGTCCCGTGGGCGGGGGCACTGCCCGAGGGCTCCCTGCTCCCGGCCCACACACACGCACAGGGGGGCTGACGCGGGCAGAGCAGCGTCACCGAGGGGCTGGCCCGGCCCAAGGGGTTCCCAGGGAGGAGGCCAGGCGACAGAGCTCAGGAGGCCGAGCCACAGACACACAGACCAGGCGGCGCACGGGGGAGGAGGGGGACCGCCAGGGTGTCCCCACCCGGAGCGGCCGCAGCGCGGCCTTCTCAGCATCGGCGCTGGGGACGGGCGTGGGGCTGCCTCCTGAGGCCACGCAGCCGCACGTGGCCCCGCCGCCCCGGGCCGGCCACCAGGCGGGGGACGTGGTCCCGCAGCGCAGCCCCGGAGCAGCCGGTACCTGAATAATCACGCGCCGGCGGACGACCCTGGTGGTGACTGTCGCCTCCTCGTCGGAACTGGCCTCCAGCTCACCCAGCTCGGCCGCGAGCTCCTGCAAGCGGGGAGGCGGGGTCACCGCCAGCACACGCCTTCCCCACGGGCGTGGCCGGCAGGGCGCAGGCAGCCCCGCGAGGCTCAGCGCTGGCCCCGCGAGGGCGGAGCTTTTGGTTCAACTAACGGAAAGCAACCCTGGCGCCCGAGTGCCCGGGGCCTGGCCAGCGGCTGGTCCGCCCACTCCCGACAAGAGGCCCAGGGGGGCGCGGCCCCCGGCTCCCGGGCTGCGGCTCAGAGTGACCGGCCCAAAGGCGCAGCCGCTCCCGCTGCTGGCAACGGCCGCTCCGGCAGGACCAGGCTGCTGCCGCCTCCGCGGCCCGAGGGCGCCCTGGGCTGCCACACTCACCCTGGGGGCCCCACCAGGGCGGAGCCAGAGCGAAGCTCCAGCGACCGCACGCGTCTCAGAAACCACACACCGAACCGCTCTCCTCACGGAAGGTTATTCAAAAAGGAAAACAACTTTTTCTCAACCTATTTGAAAATACCAGTTACGTTTCTGTATTCTTCTTTGCTGAAGAAAAACACATAGGATCTGAACCAAGTTATACATTAAATAGGCTCAGGAACCTGCTGCCTAGGAACAGGGTCGGCACGGAACCCAACGGACACCTGACACTCAGGTCGGGGTCGTGAGAGGTCAGGCGCAGAGGCAGAGGTCAGGGGGCACGGACGGGCCTGGACCCGCAGGGCGGGGGCAGGGCGACGTCCCAGAAGCCCCCAGAGTGCAGACGAAACACCCCAATTACCCAGGTGACTGTTTCAAGTCTGTGCTTCAACGAGCACGTGGATTCCTGGGCTTTATAAATTCAGTAACTTTTAAGCCCCGGCGGCACCCACGAAACGCCTTTACTAGCACTGACAGAAGCCAGCGCCAGCGAGAGGGCAATCTGAGCGACCGCAAACGGGGACTGAAACCCCATTCGCAGGACGGGCCCCTGGCGTCACCGAACGGCTGGTGGGCGGGCTCTCGCCTGTGAGACTCCTGGTTTCGGCCACGAAGGCGGCCACCGACGCTGACCAGCACGTGCACGTCTGCGGCCCAGGGACCTGCTGTCATGCCTGCTTCTCTCCCCAAAAGCTCTGATATTTTCGTCTAACTCGCTCTTTCCTGCTAAAAGGGACGTAATGCTTTAAAAGCCCTTTGACCTACGGAATGCTTTCAGTCCTAAAGAGAAAAGCAACACCTAATTCAACGTGTATCACGTTAAGCTGAATTCAAACAGATCCACACGTTGCTGTGGAGTCACGGGATTGCCTGACAATGCAGATTCTTTTCCAAACTCGGGTTCTGAGGGGTTCGAGCCCCCGGGTCGCGGTGAGAGGGGAGCCGCTCAGACCTCGTTCTGAGACTCGACCGTCTCTGCGGAGTCGCCACGGTGGCTCCGCCCTCGGGCACGGTCAGTCCCGTCACTGGGCAGGGCCGCCTCCCACGCTGCTGGAGTCTGGGAGCCGTGGCAGGTCCAGGCACAGGGTCCCTCCTCTAAGTCACCCCCAGAACCCGCACCTCAGCTCGCCCCCCACCCATCACGGCGGGTCTAACTAAGGCCACTAACCGCGATCTCATTGTTCATTTTTCTTAGCCAAAGGGTGTCCGATGACAAAACGCGGGCGTGTGGTCAAGTGGCTGGGCTGGAATGGCACATCATTTTTTCTGGGTCCCACCCTTTGAAAAGAGCTGTGGGGTGCCCGTGGCCCAGGCCCATTAACTTGACAACCCTGTGGCTCTGCAGGGACAAGGCAAGCCCCAGGAAGCGGCCACTGGGCGGCGGCTTGTGGCCGCTATGTGGGGGCCGGAGGGGCAGAGGGGCCGCTCACCTCCTGGAAGGCCAAGTCCGCATCGAGGCTCTCGACGGCCGGAAGCTGGTCGTCCCCGGACTCCACGATCACGAGGCTGGTTTTCCGGGGAGAGCCGCGCCCCCTGGGGCCCGGGGGCTCCTCTGGCTCCTGCACGAGGGGCGAGTCGGCCCGCTGCCCAGGGGCGGGGGATGGGGTCTGCAGGTGGCGCCTCTCCTCGGGGGTCCCGCTGGGAGAGCCAGGTGCAGACGTAGCCTTTTCAGTGTCTGACCCTTCCGTCCCTGGGGTCGTCACACTGAAAGGGACAGGCCGGTCACAGCCAAGCGGACACGTCCCGCTCCCGCCTGGACCCCGGAGGGGAATGTGGTTGGCGCTTCAACAAAGTCAAACAGGTTTTGTAACTTTGGCCAATAAATGAAATTTGAATAAAAACCCTGCGTGAGGTACAGTGTTGAGTTACAGTTCGTCGGGGCAGCGTGACTAGGGAAGGTGTCTTCTAAAGGTCCAAGGTTCCCTGCCGTGTACCGCCCCCTCCTAACCTCCGCAGAGAACAGGCACTATTAGCTCATCTTTTCTTCGATAACTTGAGGTGCTAGCGAAGAAGCAAGGAGGTCTATGTGACAAGAGATCTGTAGGTAACCAGGCTTTTGAAGCGAGAATCAGAATTTGGCAAAACTTATAAAAAGCCACACGTAAACCTGTTACAGCAGGTGTTAAAACCAGAAATGTAGGAAGAGCCTTGCTTCTGGAAAACCATCATGTGACAGAACGACCCACTGGCGGTGACGCTTTCTGCCCTCACACAGCCTGCGGTTCCTGTCAAGGCCGCCCTTCTAATCGCACTTCCTAGGAAAACTCCCTGCTGCTTCTGCTCCTTTCGCGTGCTGTCGGCCACTGCTGTCCCTGCCTCGGGCCTTCTGACAGCCGGCTCCTCCCGCCCATCTTCTCTCACCTCTTCTCCGTGCCACTGTGCCCGCAGCCTGCAGGGGACGGGGCGGCTCCGGGGAGAGGAGGCCCTCGTTACCCGAGTCCCCGACTGTCTCGAGTCCCAGCAGCCCGGCAGGCTCACTGAAGGACGAAGGACCCTGCGGGACGGCTCCTGGGTTCCAGGGCCCAGAACCAGCCTGCCCTTCCCAGACCTGCTTCCTCTTTCTCGACAATCGGTGCCCTTGGCAGCAGGGATGTGGGCACGGGCTCCCAGTGTCCCTCCGTGTAGGGTTGGGGCTGCACCGGTGCCACGGCGCGCCCCATCGCGCGGGAACGAGGTGCCTCCCGCGCCTGCCTGCTCCCGCTGTGGAACCACCGGCACCCAGCCAGCCCGGCGCCCCTGGGAGAGGGGCGGCCACTGTGCAGCGAACCCCTGGGGCCGCGAGACCCTGGTTCAAGCAGCGCTTCCCCGACCTGAGCTTGGCCTTCAACCCCAGCCCTCCATCGGGCGCGCAACACGATCACAATTTATAGATGGGCGGACAGATCTGGGGGCTCAGGGATGGGTCCCGGGCCGCAGACCTGGAAGTGCGCTCGGGCAGGTCTGTGCCCACCACGCGGCCGCCACCGTGCCTCTCACACCCTGTGCCTCCCGCGGCCCTGGCACTTGGGAGACCACCGGAAAAGCCCTGCCAAGGAGGGGCACCGTGTGCGGCCCCCGATCCCCAACGGCTCCTGCGGAAACTCACAAGTGCTCCTGCTCCAGGGCTGGCTCCGTGGGTGCCGACCCCAACAGGCCCTGAGGCCCCTGCTGCTTCTGAGTGTGGGGGATGTGCCCGGCTGCTGGGCTGTCCCCATCTGTTCTGAGGGTGCAGTCCTGGGAGGTGGAGTAGCCGACGGAGGGGTCTTCGTCTGAGACAAGAGGAGGGTGGCCGCAGGACCCGCCTTCCCGGGATGCGTGCGGGACAGACATCTCCTCCTGGAGGGCGGAGAACCCTGAGGGGGACAAGGCACGTCAGGGCGCCCCTGGCACGTGCCCACCGCACGCCCGCCGCACTCGCCCAGTGCCCCCGGGGGCCACGCCCCAGGTCGGGCCCAAGGCCACAACGCGGACGGAGACCCTGCCCGCCTCCAACTCGCCGGTCAGGTGGGGACCTTGGGTGGGCAGGTCGATGGGAACGAAGCAGCCAGGCCGGAGGCGCGGGTCCGCGAACAGGGGGCGCCTGTTCAGGGGGCACAGGCACAGCCCGGCGCAGGCGGTCAGACCTTCGCTGTGGTCCGGCGCGGCGGACAGCTCCATCTCGGCCACAAAGCTGAGGCTGCCGCGCTCCAGGGGCAGCTCGGTGCTGGCCTCCATGAGGTGAACGATGTCCATCCGGTTGATCTTGGTGAGACAGCCAATGAGGCTGGTGTCTGGGATGTGAGAGAAAAAGCATTTTTTGTGTGTGTGCGAGGGATAAAAAAGCTTTCATTCAGCTGCCTCACTGAAGTTCTGATATTTGTCCGGGAAACCACCAAGGCCCAAATATGGGCATCTGTAATAATAAGCTAAAACAGGGAGCGAGAGGAGCAGCAAGAGCGTGAGCCAGCCTGGGCCCCAGACGGCCCCGCCAGGCCTCCAGTCCTGACACGACGCGGAGGCCGCCTCCGCGTGCGCACAGTCCACGCCGGGCACAGGCTGTCCCGGTGTGAAGGAGCATCTGTCGCCCGCCTGAAGCTCACGTCTAACCGGGGCCTCTGTTTTTCCAGGCAGGGCCCTGGAGACACACGCCAGGGCGGGAGATGCCAGGACGCAGGCGGCGTGAGCAGGGACGCCTCGGGCCGGGCTCCAGCGCCACCCTGGCGGAGCAGCGTCAGCCTGGCTGGGGTGGGGCCAGAGGCTCCCAGGCAGAGCTCTGTCAGGGTGCCTGCGTCACCCGCACCAGCCGGGCCGTGGAGCGGCCCCGGAGCAGGCGTGGAAGGTGGTCACCGCCCGACCCAGGACAGCAGCAGGGGCTGTGTCACCGCCGACAGTCAGGAACGCAGGGTTTGGAGACCACGCCTGCTGGCGCCAGGCTGCCGCCCGCCTCCCCCCACCCCCGCCATGGGTGACGCTCGCAGCACAGGTGTCTCAGGCTCACGCTTGTTTCAGAAACCCTGTCGCGTGTCCCTGCAGGCCTGCCGCGGTGCTCAGCCTGGTGGCACCTGGTGGCACCGGTCTTGGGACTGGACCCACGGGCAGGAAAGCAGGAGCTGGACGCGAGGTGGCGGCGCCCCTAGCCCGCACCACCCCCAAGCCCCACCTACCGGTGGCAAGTTTCCCGTCGCGCTCCAGCCAGTACTTCAGCAGCGCGTGACTCTGGTCCTGCAGGGAGTTGGGGTTCTCGACTCGGATCTGATGGATCTGCTCCTCGGTGAAGTCCAGCTCTCGGGCTAACTCTGGAAGAGGTCCGAGCCTGTGAGCCACAGACCTCGGCCCTAGGCCCCCACACCTGCCTCGGTCCTGGGAAGGACAGCTCTCTGCCCCGCCAAGGGGCAGGGTCCCCATCGTCATTCGCAGCGACGCCCGTGCCCTTGGTTCTTCTGCCACTGGGCACAGACCTCTCCTTAGAGCCGCATGTAGAACTGGTCACATGGTGGACATACTGGGGTCAGGCAGTGGTGACAAAATACGTATAATTTGGTCCCGTTTGATTCCAGAATGCAGAAGAGACCATTAGTACTGGCTTAGCTGCCTCACTGACAAAACGGAAAGTCAGTCACTGAAGCAGGAGAAAGAGGACATCGCTCACCGCGAATCCCCACGAGGTGCCGCCGCTTTTACCACCCAAGTGCTGCTCCCAGGCCCTGGGGTGTCAAACGCGGGCTGCGGCCTCAGGAGGGTGGCCCTGCTCTCCTCTGCGCGTCCCTGCGCTACGAGTGCAGGTCTAGGGAGAGGGGGCCTGCGGAGGACGCCAAGGATTTCCCCTCCAAGGGCACGCCGCGCACTCTGCGGGCGCTTGCACAGGGTGGAGCGTGTGTGTGGAATGAGGGGTCCTCTTTGCAGGGCGTTTGCAAGTATTTCTCAAAATTAATAACACACATGCCTACAGCGAGCAGTTCACCTCCAGGCAGGTGTCCTGCAGACACCCCACAAAAATCCTGCAGCACACAAGAATTTACCGCACTGAGCAGGACACCTGTGTGTCCATCGGTGACAACCACTGATAGACTTATGGCAGAATAAGATATAGAGAGCAAGGCAGCTACGTCTGTGATGACAGAATGAATAGTTACGAGAAATTCAAGTGGACGTTGCTAATTTTTAAATAAAAGGCCGAGGAGTGGGCACTGGATATTTTTTCCTGAACACGGGCAGGTCCTGGGAGGCCAGAGAATCGGATGCAGGTGAGAGGCCTACCTTCCGTGTCCACGCCTCTGCGTGGCTGCAGCGTCTCATCCTTCACTAACTGCATGGATATTCCATTCACTGTACGTGTGCACATACGTACACATTCAAGAAACAAAGCCATTCTGAATGTTACCTATTCAGTAAGTCAACTGGGCAGAGTTCACCATTCTTCTTTCCCCTGAGTTCCTCAGTTAACTAAATCTGATCCATTTTTAAAGAAATGGCTATTATTCCTGCTTCCAGTCATTTTCCCACACTATCGATTATTTTTGCTAAGGTTGTGTGGACTCCTACTCATCACCAAATCATTAAGAAACTGAAAAGAGATGAGTATTAATTTTATACCACTTGTTTCAATAAAGTAGCCACAAGAAACATAAAAGAAAGACAAAAAAAAGAAAAGAAAAAAGGAAGCCAGAAACTATCTTGCTTTAATATGTTGAGTCCAGATAACATGACAGGGTAAATCCTGATCTGTAAATAAATCCTATCTATTTCAGAACTCACTTTTCCTCAGTAAGTTATCATGTTTTATAATTTCTACTCCTACGCATTCTCATTTCTCAGAGAACCCGTGTACCTCATTCTCACGTATTTCAACATTTATCCAATGCAAACGTCAGCGCTGTTCACGAAGATACCTGGTACACAGGATCTACAACAAGGAGCTCTGGTTAAGTCTCAGATTGAATGCTGTGGCCTTGGCACCTAATGCTGGTTTTGAAAGCGAGCCATTGTGTGGACTCCTACAGCTGGTGGGTCACCCACAGCTCCCGAGAGAGGATGGGGGTGGGGAGGGTTGGCTCAGGCTCACAGTCTCCCAGCCTGACCTCCTCTTGCTGCAAGTCCCCAAGACGGTACAAAACCTGCCCCAGTTCACAGGGTGGATTCGTGAGAACCTGGACTTTCTAATCTGTGGTGTATTATTCTCTTCACTACTCCACATGGTCATCCTCAAGGAAAGAAAAAACAGGCTTTTGTTATTGTTAATGGCACTTGGCTGACGCGACCATGTCATTGAAACCAAGCAGGCTTTGTTGAAAAGTGGGTCCCACTCAGGTTACCTGTCCAGCTGAAGCCCAAGTGGTCAGCGATATAGGCCAGTCGCTCCTCCATCCGCCGCTGTTCTTCCTGCTGATCTGCAGAAGGTCAGAAACAGAACAGCCGTACTGTCTGTGCCAGGAGAGGACCCAGGGCTGACCGTCCATGGCAGGGAGGTCAGGCGTCCGAATGCCCGAGGACGGCCCAACTCTTGTGAGAGCTACTGCGTGTTACGTTGGGTTAAACTGTGTGCGCCTGACTCCCGGAATGGAATGGGGACTAAGTCGAACATAAACCACAAACCCCAAGTGCTTCCACATCTCTGTAATCAAGACTAGCGGCAGCGCGGGCTGTGTAAGGGGCTGAGTGGCAGGTGGCTGTCTGAGGACCTGCCTGCCAGGTCACCTGAGAGGACTCTGTCCACCAGCCAACAGCCACCACCTCCCTCCTCAGGTGCCAGAGCTCACAGCCGGGCTGCTGAAGGGGGGTCGTCGGTGAGGACCTCCCTTGCCGCCTCGGGCAGCAGCGATCCCCTCCCAGCCACAGGTCACAGGAGACTGAGACCCTGGGCGGGGGCCCTGGCCTGGTGACCCCGAGCGGGGCTGCGGGCCACGTCTGCAGTGGAGGTCGCGTTACGGTGCACGCGTCTGTTGGGCAACGTCTCTGTCTGCTCTCTCGTAAGCGAGCTCTTACGTTACTCCCACAAACTGTGATTTCCCGTTTATTTTTAACCCCCGTTAATCGATGGGCAGTGTTTTAGATGATGGTCTTGTGACATTTTTCACAAGGCAGATTTAAGAGTAATAGTCTTCATTGGAGAGATACTGGAAGCTCAGAGGCTGCTTTTCACTGCCCCGTGGGTTCCATGCTGACAACTCAGAGCCATGGCCCCTCCCCGGCGACGTCCACCATGCAAGGTCTGAGTTTTGTTGTCTGCTGCACGGCCTCGGGGGGGCTGCCCCGTTCACCGACCACATCAACGAAAAGCCTGTTTTACTTGATGTCTGTTTGCTTAAAGTGTTTACCAACAGTATCCAAAATCCGACCTTTCTGAATCAAAAACAGATCCACAAAATTGGGATTTCATGATCTGTGAAATCTTTTTGAGCACATGGCTTCCTAACGATTACAACGTTAAGTATGAATTATTAGGAAGTACACAGGAGTAGGAAAAAGCATCGGATCCTCATAGCATAAAGCAAAACCCAGTATCCTCCTGCGCAGCAGCCAAAGGGCTGAGCCAGAGGCAGAGCAACAAAACTCCGGCGGGCATGGCCTCGCGTGCAGCGCAGGAGGCCGGGCCGCGCCTGGCGTGGGCACGGTTCCGTAAGCGTTCTCATCGCTCAATCTTGAGATTGTCGTCACAGACAGGAGGGCACAGAGAGAGCACAGAACACGACAGGCTGACACAAACACAGGAGCCACTACGCGAAGCTTAAAGAAAATGAGACACAAACCGCCAAAGAAAACAGACAAAGGACACGGCTACGCGGGCTTAGGACATGCGTGCGCAGGGCGTCCCCCGCGGCAGTACCTTCAGCGCGGTCATGGCCGTTCTCATCGGGGACGCGCTCAATCAGAGTCTCAACGGACTCGTCCCAAACGGGCCTTGTGTCAAAGACGTCCTCGGGGGCCGGGGGCGCGGCCCCGGCAGGCGGCAGGTTTTCGATCACGGACACGTCCAGGGTGCTACTGCTCTCGTCATCGGAAACCACCTCCTGCTCCCCCTCTGCCTGGGCCAGCCTGTCCACTAGCTTGGCCGCCTGGTCACTGATCTCCTCAAAGAACTCGAGGGAGTCCCTGCACAGGCCCAAGAACTGCTCCTTGCTCTCCCGTGGGGTCCCCCTGCCCTTCGCCGGTGGGCGGGCCACCAGCAGCCGGGGGCTCGAGGCCGTGCCCTCTGACTGCAGCCCAGATGCCTCTGCCCCTGCCCCACCCGCCGCTTCGGCCTCAGCGCAGCTTCGGGCTCTCCCTGCACTGGCACCAGACTCCTGCCTGTCCCTGTCGTCTGTGGCCCTGCTCGGCACGTCCTGTCCCTGAGGGGCCACTGTCTTGGGCAGGGCGGTGCCCTGGGGCGGGGTCTGCTGCCCAGCCCCTTGGAGGGGCGCTTTCACAGGGATTTTAGACTTTGGCCTTTCCTCTGACTCAGCCCTGTCCTCATCTGGGCTGGGCAGGCCTTGAGGCGGGGCCCTCTCCCCCTGGGCCGGGGCCGCGGTTCTGACGGGGATCTTGGACTTGCTCTCGGGACAAGGCGCACTCTCCACGGCTGCGGCGGGGATCTCAATGACGGACTTCTGCTCCTCCGGGGAGGAGTCAGGAGAATCGTCCCGATCTGCATACACGGACCTGGTGACCGTGGAGAAGTCCAGCGCAGCCTGGACAGCGGGCTCTGGGCAGGCGGGGCCGGCCAGCGCCTTGCTGCCCTGTGTGGGGGGCAGGCCCTTGGCGCCCACAGAAACGGCCCCCTCTGCTGACAGGGCATCCTCGGACGCTGGGGCCCCCATCTGGGAGCAGAGGCTGCCATCTGAGGCCGGGGGTACCTCTCCTTCCTCACTCAGGACATTGGGGAGCAAGTTGATCTCATCTGTGTCTGTCAATCCTGAAAATGCTGGGGTCAGGGCTGGCGTCTGGGGCCGCAGGGGCTCAACAGCAGCACCCCCTTCTCTCACGTCGCCAGGGATGGCCTCTTCCCCAGACTCTTGGCCAATCTGGAAAAAGTGGAAGCTCTCCTCTGCATAGGGCCTTTTGGTCATGTCGATGGCCCCGCTGCGGGTCATCTCGAACAGCTTGCCCTCCTGGAAGAGAAAGGGGTTCTGCTCGCTGGTCGGGGTCCCCTCCTCGGTAGGGGTCCGCGCGGGAGTGGTGTCCGGGGTGGTGCCCTGCGATTGTCTGTCCGCCATCAAACCGAACACCTTCTGCTCTTCCTCCTTCACCCGGGCCTCAAAGGCTTCATCATCCTCGCGGATTTCGCTCCAGCAGTCGGAATCTGCGTCTGTGGCGGTGATGACAATCCGGCTCACGTGCTCGCCAGCGGCAGAGCGAGGCAGGTGGGGCTGCGAGGACACAGGGTCACAGTCGGACGGTGTGGCCTCCGAGGCACCTTCCAGGCCCTGGTCCTCAAAACTGGGGCCTTTGCTTGAAACAGCCCCACTGGAGGCGCAGGCCGCCAGCACACCATCCACAGAGGGTGTGACGGTCGCAGAGCACGTGTCGAAAGCATGGAAGGTTGCATGTCCTGCGTCTGTTTGGGCTTCGCTGCCTCCACTAGAGAAAAAGGACTCGGGGGGCACGTTTTCATAAGGGCTCACAGCCTGAGGGTCGCCCGCTCCCTCAGCCTCGGAGGAGTCGTGGCCGGGGATGCCCACGGACAGCCCATCTGTCTGCGTGGCCGGGGAGGTGGCGAGGGTGGGGCCATCCTTCGGGAAGCTCTCAGGGGCGAGGTCAGTCTCTGCGACCTCCATTTTTGCTGTAGCAGATGTGGAGACACCGTCTTCTGCTGCTGTACAGTCAGGCAAAGAGGACGGACGTGAAGCGCCCTCACCAGGGCCACCTGCTTGTGGCGGTCCCTCTTGGGAAACCCCGAGCCCTCCTCCTCCCGAGTCCTTATCATCAGGGCCCTGGGGCGCTGCCAGTTCCTCAGGGATGAGCAGCTCCTCCCCAGTGGGGCCAGGGGGACCCGAGAAGATGGGTGGGGCCGAGCGGCTGGAGCTCCCCACCACACACCCATGGCCAGCGCAGGTTTCGGGTTGGTCAGCATCTCTGCTCAGATCGCCGTGCGGCAGAGCCAGGTCTCCGGTTGGATCAGGGTGACTGTCTTCAGGCGAACAAGAGTCACGCTCTTTTTCTTCTTCTGGTTTACCGGGTGCCTCCAGGGCATCTTCGTTCATCTTGAAAGTGTACTGTTTGGGAGTGGCTGGCTGGAACAGAGCCTCCTCGGGGCTGGAGTTTGAGTCCAGGCTGGACGGGCGCGGGGATGGAGGCTGCACCCGGATGGCCGGCTCTGGGAGCAGCCCTGGGTCGGCCCCCGCCCTCAGCTGCCCCAGCTCAGGCTCGCTCTCTGAGGAGGACGCACTCCCACCGTCTGAGGTCGCCATGACGGGGACGTCGCTTCCATCCTGTGCATGTGGTGCATGCGGCGGCTCAGCCCCGGCTGCTGAGCCATCGGCATCTGGGTCAGAGGAGGAAGACTCTCCGGGCTTCGGTTCCTTGCGGCAGCCCCTTTTCTGCTTGGCTTCTTGTTCAAGTTCACCAAAGGTTTTGATTTTGGTCACCATTTTAAACATCTCCTCTTCAGGGGTGAACCTCTTTTTCTCCCCATTTTCAGAGTCTTCCTCCTCAGCACATTCGTGAATCACAGCTGGCTTGGGGGTGCCTGCATCGGAAGCCTTGGGCGTGACCTCATAGCTGACTTCTTCGGAGCTTGGGGTGTCAGGAGAGAGGGGACTCTTGCCGGAGCTCTCCACGAGGGACGTCTGCTCCAGGCTGTCGTCCTCAGCACTGCCATCAGGGTCTCGCAGGAGCCGGGACCGGACGGAGGCCGCTTCAGCGAAGAGCTCGGTCTTGGCACCAGCTGCGGGAAGAGGGGCATGGCCCAGGAGAGCTCCGGCCTTCACCCTGGGCTCCACGGGGCTGCTCTCGAGGGAGTCGCGGCAGGGGGACTCTCTCAGGGGGCTGGGTTCCAGGGAGTCTGGGGTTGTGTGTGAGGAGTTGTCCTCCGGCCCTGGGCTGGCCTCCAGGGAGTCCGTGTGGCTCACCGCCAGCGACCCATCAGCCCCAGGGCTGAGGGCCTCCGCGTCGGGGCGGGGCAGTGGCAGGTCCAGCCCCTGGGGGCTGCGGGGGGCTGCTGGGGGCTGCTCAGTCCTCACAGGGGCCTCAGGCGGCGAGGACTTGGGGCTGGTGGGTTCCTGAGCTCCAGGTCCTGCCTGTGTCTCGTGGGCAAGTGGACCGTCATCACAGGGCGCATCTGCCGTCAGCCCAGGGGGCGTGTCCTTTGCTGAGGACGCAGAGCGGTGGCCTGGGCCATCATCCTCCAGTTCGGGGCTGGTTTCTCTGGAAGGGTCCAGGGCAGCCTCCTTCACACACCCGGCCCGGGGCTCCGCACCCTCTGCAGTGGCCGCACCTGGCTCTACAGCACCGTCCGGAGTGTCTTTGGTGGAGGGACGCACTTCGACCGAATGAACGTCTGTTACGAAGGTGGCATTTTCACTGATTTCCCCAGCTGGCTCCTGGCTTTGCTTTGGTGAGTACGAAAGGCTTTCCGGGCTTGTCTCGGGGGTCTCTGCCAGGCCCTCGTGCTTGTAGCTCTCTTCCGAGCTGGCCTGCAGCGTCCCCTCCGTCAGGCTGCCACACGGGGACACCACCGCCCCTTCCTGCCCCAGGTTTTCACAGCTGCCATCCAGGCGGAAGCTCAGGGCTGGGAGCAGCTGCCCGCTGCCAGGCTCTGGTGGGAAGGCTGTGTGGAAGGGGCTGGTGAGCACCTGCTCAGGGACCAGCGGCACCTGTTCGGGCTCCTCCTGGCGGCGGAACTGCTGGTACCTGTCGTTGTCTTCCAGCTCCTGCTTAATGACCTCAGAAAAGTCGGTGGAGGCTTTGCGGTCGGGGCTGATCTGGAGGTCCCTGTCTCCCCGCTCGTCCAGCTCCTCCCTGGGCAATGGGTCCACGGGGGGCACTGTCCTGTCAGTGGGGAGGGTCTCCTTCCCTCCGGTGGTGTCTTCTCTCAGCCCCAAGGCACTGCGGGCCCCTCTTCTAGGTTCTGCAGCCCCCACTCCCGGGGACCTCTGGCCTCGTCGGATGGTCTGACTCTCTGTTCTCTGTGTCTCCTTCTGGGCCTGTATCGGCCCCTTTTCTTTTTCTGCCCGAAGTTTGTTTTTCTCCTGCAGCTGCTTCGGTTTGGCGGCTTTGTGCTCAAACAGCCCAGCCTTGTGTTTGGACGGGTCCTGACCCGACTGGAAGGCCTTCATTAGCTCCCGGACAGACATGGTCTCCTCGATGCGCTCCGTTTTTGAGGTGGGGGACACTGGCGCTGCCCTGTCTGTCTTCCCGGAAGGGGACACGGAGAGGCGCTTCTCAGTCTTCCCGGGGACTGGCCCCGGAGGGTGCTTTTCCATCCTCACAGCCGGTGACGCGGGCAGGCGCTTGTCTGTCCTCCCGGGTGACACGGGGGGGTGTTTCTCTGTCCTGCCCGACGGCGACACCGGCGGGCGTCTGTCTGTCTTACCTGAAGGCGACACCGGCGAATGCCTCTCGGGTTTACCTGAGGGGGCCCCGGGAGAGTGCCTCTCGGCTTTTGCTGAGGGAGACACGGGCGAGTGCTTCTCGGTTTTACTTGGTGGTGAGGCTGGAGGGTGCCGCTCGGACTTGGCCGGGGAGGTGAGGGAAGAGTGTCTGTCCGCTCTGGAGGAGGGGGACGCAGGTGCCCGCCTCTCTGGCCTCACGGGGGGTGATGCGGCCGGCTGTGGCCGGGGCCCCACCCTCCGGGGCCCTTCTTCCTTGCCCTTGAGCCTGACAGGCAGCTTGCTCCGACCCTTCTGCTCGTCCTCCACACGCTTCTGCAGGGCCTTCACCTTGTCCTTGATGGGCCCGATGGGTGTCTCCTCAACCACCGGGGACGTGGCCTTCCCCCTGGGCAAAGGCTCCGGCGCCAAGCCTGGCTCTTCCTCTAAGGACTCTTCTGAACTGCCCTGTTTAAGTTCGCTTTTCCCTGCGCTGGCTTGTAAACTCTCCTCCTTCTGCTTCTGTTTGTCCTTTAACTTCTTCCTCACTGGCTTCTTTATCCCCAGGCCTGGTTGCTGCTGTGTCTGCATCCCCTGCTTCTCATCCAGGGGAACGTCCTTTCCTTTGCTTCCAGAGCGTTTGTCCCCAGCCGCGCGGGGCGCTGGCCTTGGGGCCCCTCCAGGAGCCGCTGGGTAGGAGTTCAGATCCTCCGTGAGGTAGGTGACCAGCCCCGTGGCGTCCTTCTGTCCCTGTGCTGGGGTTTCCTTCTCTAGCCTAATCTCTACACAGGGGATCTCGGGGACCTCCAGGGGGGCCCTCTGCTTAGCCTCCGCTACCTCCTCGTCACTGACGAGCACCCACTCCTCGTCAGCCAGCTCCCCCTCAGGCTGGGGCCCCGGCCCGTGGCCGCTGCCCCCTGCACAGGCCCCACCCCTCAGGATCTCGTTCACCTTCTCCAAGTCCTCCTTCACTCTCCCCACGATCTCAAAGGGCTCCCCCGGCTCCTCCTCCACGGCCCCAGCCAGCGCCTTCTCCCCGAGGGCGCCCGCCCTGCCGGCCGCGCCCGTGGCCAGGAGCGCCGTCACCTTGATCAGGTCCTGCTTCACCTCGGAGACCTCCGAGAGCAAGTCCGGGCTGGCCAGGGCCGGGGCCTCCGTGGCCAGATGGCTTTTCAGGACAGACGTTTCTGTCGACTCTGTCTCATCGTCTTTGATGGGAATGGAGGACATTGAAAGTAAAACGGAAACCAAAAAAGATGTTGGCAAATGTAAACAGGACCCGAGGACACAGTGTCTTTTCCTGTCGTGGTGGGAGGGACAACACAACGGGCTGGGATGGCGGAGCCATGGGGTCTCGGGACACAAAGCAAAGCGAGGCTAACGGAAAAACTGAAAAGGAGGATGAGCAGGAAATAACTTGCTTAACTTTCTCACGTGCCGCATGTACGCACACACACGCACACGCACGCACACGCAACAGCGCGGTGACAGACCGTCAACACACACACAACGCCACATGTCGACAGAGACGGCACAGTGACTCCTACGGAGGCATCTCAAGATTGCTCAGGTGTCACAGGTCAATGTGGGAAGGGAAACAAACAGGGGCAGCCGAGGGGGAGTAGGAGAGACTGCAGGACACTCATTTCCTCGGAGAGAAAGCCAGTAAGTAGCAAACTCAGGACAACTTCTCGTGGTGTGTGCGCACTTTGGATCATGTGGAAATCTGGGATCAGCGCGTGCCGTTCTGCCCTGCACGAGACTACCCCGAGGGTCCGAATCCGCTGCAAACCGGCGTTTCATCTAAGGAAACTCACACCAACAACAGGGCGCAGGGCCCAGTGCTGAGAGGCACAGCCTTTCCTCAGAGCCGCCTCCTTGTCTGGACACTCACTGAGCAGACCAAGGAGGGAGGGAGGAAAGGGCAGGACAGACACAACGGTGGGGATGGAACGTGTACGTGAGTCCGGAGTTAGGAGGTGACGCATGGCAACTGAGTCAGAGACAGTCACACAGACACACGCACAGGTGTGTAAGCAAAGTTATTTCCATGCAAAGCAAAGCAGGGTGAAACGGGGGCAGGGGGGTCTTTGCCGGGACGCAGGCGGGAGGGTGGTCGGAAAGGACAACAGGTGCGCATTACTGTGGTGAAGCACCATCCCTGTGCGCGAGCCAGCGCCTCCGACGGGGAAAGCGGGGTGGCCGGGCGCGGCGGGGACGGGGGTGCCGCACTGCCAGCAGCAGGAGCAAATCCCACTCAGGGCCAGCACGTTGGGAAAGACCATGGACAGACCCTCCGCCAGTGCCTTCTCTGGACACTGTTTTACACCCTGACGGATGCTATTTAACAATTGCCTTTAAAGTACAGGAAAACCAAACCTGAGTCTATATTTGAAAATTTAAAATATTCAGAGGACCCAGGAGGATCCAGCCGTTACAGCAATAGGGTAGGTGCTTGTAACGCCTGAGCCACGTGCTTGGTGCTCAATCCCGAGCTTGTGGCCAAGGAACAAAGAGACAGGCTGTTCAAATCAGCACAGTCGTTCTGAACGAGAAAGTGGGAGAATAAAATGAAATCTCCTCCAAAGACAAAACTAACAAAGGCAGTGACAGCAGATCTTCCCAATAAACACAAGTGCCTTTGCCGGAAAGAGCCAGTGTTTGTTGAGGAGATGTCTTCTGTGAATGTGCATTTCTCAAAATATATTAAAATAATTTTATCAACATATTTGCTAACTATAACCAGTGAAAACATCCAGCACATCACATATTCTGGCTCGGAATGATGCTTCAGCATGAGGATGAGGAGACTCTCAGCGAAAGGCACCTCTGTGACACCGCAGTAAATCATACTGCATAGACTTAAAAAAGCCCTCAGACCAGTGAATGGGGTTGACCATATTAACGTGAGTCTCCACCCTGAAATACAGTTAATGTAAATAAATTTAAAAGTGAAAAAACATTATCAGACTTTTTTCCCCTGAAGTATTTAAGGCATAAAAGCAAAACAAAAAACAAAAACAAAAAAAAAACAAAAACCCAGCCCTGACAAATTCAGTTTCTTCCACACAGGAAGCAGAGTCACCAGAAACAGGTCAACCCACGGAAACATTCGTGGGCGAGACTGGCCCCCAGGAAGGTCCGAGAACCCCCTCTCTCTGCAGTAGGTTATTCTGGGATTTGCACCATTACTTAAAATTGTGATTAGTCATTTCATCCAGGAGGTTTCAGTGTTTGAATTCATGGCTGTTATTTTTCTGGAACATTTTCAAGAAAGCCCGTGCTGCCTCCGCCCTGCCAAAGCCACTTCACCACAGTAAGGGTCAGGGAGGGTCATGTCAGGCCGGATGGCGGGGACAGTATCGCCTTTGCGGGTGCAGCCCACGAAAGTGACGGGCGGATGTAAAAGTGATACTGTCACATCAGCGCTACAGAAATGAGAGGACAGCGTCATGCTCACAAAGGGACAGAAACAGCGGGCGGGCAGGGGCGGGGGAGGGGAGGCCCGGAGAGCGAGTGCTGGGGGACAGTCGCTGCGCTTCCCTGCCAACGAGGCCGCGTTCGGCCATCTGTACGGAGCGGGCCGAGCGGCTTTTCTGCATCTATGTTAATGGTTAATAAGGATATAAAGATGTGATTGTGATCGTGGTTAGTACAGGCAACTAGCTTGCATCTGAATTCATGCTTGTCTTTACTGTAGCCAGCTTTCAAAAAAAATTAATTTTGTTGAAAATCTTACTTTTTTCTGATGTCATATCGACCTGAAAGAAAACATACATAATCGAATGGTTACAACAGCGTCTTGTCTCCCGGCCCAGACGTGCTCGGGACGCCCCCGGTCATAGCCCCTACGTGGGGACACCAAGCACAGGGGCCGGGGCTCTGCTATGCTTGTCCCTGACGACCTCCTTCATTCTTACCCAAACTTTGAGAAAACAAATCTCCTTCTAGACACTACAGGCAGAAGGAAGCCTTTCTACCATGTATTCCTGGGAAGACATGACCCAGGGTGTATTTGATGTTAGAAATGCACATTTGTTAGGGAAAAGGCCCAGTAGAGATGGAAGCAGGTATTAAATGGTGTCAACTTCACTGAGAAAAAATAGCACGCCAGGGCGATACGCTCGACAGTGTCATCGCCATTGATTATGAGCCAGAAGCACAGTTCCTGAAAAGAGCGCAGGCTGCAATTATCGCCCTAAATAGTTCCTGAAGCAGTTCAACAGACACCCCAAAGCTCACGGGAAAGGCCGTATGGATGCAGCTCAGTTGGCTTCATCGCTGCGTTACCCATGGGGAAGGAGCAGGAGCCACGTTCCCACCGCTCTGGTGACTGAGTCACAGGCACAGGAAGGAAATGGGGCGTGACCCAGTGACAGACCTTGAAGGGAGAGTGACCACCCTGGTCACAGGCACACGTGTGTCCTGTGACACACAGCAGGACAGCACGTCTGTAACCACCCTTGTGTCCTGCTCCACAGACAGGGTGTCGGTGAAAAGAGTGGACTCAAGGCTTCTCTGGGCTGACAGGGTCTTCCATTTTAAGCAGGTGGGTACAAGGGTATTTATTACAATTTTCTTTATAGTTCTGCATTTCAAATCCATCAGAATGACATTAAAACAAAACTAGTACACTTGAAAACATTCACACGCAACTAGCAACAATTGCACTCATCTGCTCTGGAAATGGGAACCAAAGTGTTGATCGGGAAGTATTAAGGATTTGTTTCACGTCTACGAAAGCATCTGGGCGTTTTCCGATGTTTACAAGGGAAGCAAGCACAGACCAGCCTGAACCAGAGAAGCAGCTGTCACTGCAATGGGCACGTGGTCCAGCCGACCTGTCTGAGACACGCGTCCTTCGCCTGTGCCGGAAGGAAGGCTCTGCCCGTGTGATGCTGGCTGGCACCCCCTCCCACACCACGTGTGACGCTGCCATCATTGGGTGTAGGGGCCACATGCTCCCTGGTTGTTGGTCTCCGTGGTTCTCAAACGTCCTGGTTTTCAGACTCCTTCCATTCCTCAAACTTAGTGAGGTGCCCGAGGAACAACTTCTTATGTCTGATACACGAAAGTGGACGGGTGTTGAGAATGAAGTGGAGGAAACGCTAAGCCTAAGTTTACGGGCGCGCACAGTACAGCATGCGGCCTGCGCTCAGCCTCCAGGAGCCACCCTGGGGCTGGCAAGGGCGTGTGACTCAGAAGGGGCGATGTCTCCAAGCCACTACAGGGCTCGGACCCGCTGGGCGTCTGAAGACCACCTTTTGAGAACCACGGGCTGCTGGTTTGTCTGCCAGCGGACGGCACGGAAGAGCAGACGATGGCAGAGAGACAGGGCGACGAGCCCCGGGGACATGCCTGTGCCCCGCAGGGCCCTGGGCCACCGCGGCAGAGCCTCCACGCATACGGTCCCCGCGGCTCTAGCAACAACACAGCTGTCCCAAGCGACAAGGCCACAAAATTACCTCTTCCTCCTGTTCTTGGTCGGACTCTGACTCCTGGCCGCCCAGATGCCACGCGGGATGGAAAAGAGCAGGAAGAGCAGAAAGTTTAGGAGGAAAGGTTAGGACCCCGCCCACCAGCCTTGACAGGTGGCACCCACTCTGGGTGCCCTTATATTTCTCACAGTTCACAGAAGACAGGCACACAAATTAACTGAATGCCGAAGTCTGGAGATTCAAGAGACAAAAGAACCGCGATTACAAACACGCTGACTTCAGATGCTCGGCCACCAGCCTTGAGGTTGGACACTGAGTGGCTTGGGGGCACACGTCTGCAGACATGGTGACGATACTGGCTGGAACAGCCAAGAGCCACGAGCAAGCATGTGATGAGTGTCGTCTCGCTCCACAGGCTACAGGTGGCAGTTCTGTTACAGCGAAGAGCCGGTGAACGCTAAGGCGCAGCTGTGGTGCGCACTGCCGGGCAGTTGTCTGTGTGCTGGTGACTAGACCACCCCAGCATCAGCAACTGCATCTGACCTGTCCTGGCAGCACCTTGAAGGCTCACTGAGATCACAGCCAGAGCTAACTCCCTTCCAGAAACGTGACATTCATTGACCTCGATCAAGTGAGGACTCACGACATCACACGTGAGGCTGTGAGCCATTTCTGTGCGACTCATCTCTACGTACAAGAACGACTAACTAGGAGCGACAGCCTGGTGGGTGAGCAGAGTGAGGAGGTGCTCGGGCTCAGGGCACCCAGCTTCAGGGTTTCAAATACAGCCCCACCCCGCACCCCGCAGGCCTCCGCTGCCCCGCGTACCTGCCCCGTCCCGTAGACACCCCCGCACGCGGCCACTGCCTCCTGGGCACTGTTGGGTGGGGCTCCCGTTGGGAAGAGATACTGGTTAAAATGTTTTTAAAAAAAAGCTGTCCCCAACATCGAATTCACGCCGGTGCCCTCCTTGGTTCGATAGAGCGATCACGACTACTTCTGCATTATCAAGAGTGACTGCAGAGCAGTTCTGCAGGGGCAGGGCCCTGCCCAGAAAGCCGTACCTGAAGTTGGACCTGGGTCAGGAATTAATGTGCTTTGTTCTTTTCAGCCATGTTTCAAATCTGCTCCTTAGAGCAAGGGGGTATCCTGCACACTAATCATGTTAAAATGGTTGGAAAATGAATGTGATACCCCTGAAATGCAGCAGGTGGTGAGAGGAACAGGTCGTCGTTTCAGCAGTAAGACAGACTGCCGTGAGGTGCCCTGTGTGTGAGACTCAGGCCCCCGCCGGGCTGGCCATGAGTGGGGGCTCGGGCCCGCACGTCCGAGCACCTGAGTGTGGTCCCCGAGGGCACGTCAAGGCTGTCAGGGAGACAAAGTCAGTTCTTGGTTTATCAGAAGTTAGTTCAGAATGACCTTAACTTCAAATTCTCTGTCTCCCACATCCACATGTGTCTAGGAAAATTTCTCCATCAAACCGCGTCTGACGCGACATAGGCAAGAGCTACTTTCCCTCGCTTCACGGGAGAGCCACAGGCGGGACAAGGAACCCCAAATGAGTGTGACGTGTGCTTGCATCATGTCTCTGCTGCCACGTCTCCAAGGGCCTGGAGACAAGCCCCACGTGCCTGCGCGCACAACACAGACTCCGCCATTTACCTTTATGTAGACAGGCAGAGTGATGTTTAAATTGCAGATCGCTTGATGCACCAGGCCTCTTGTGGATTTTGGCTCTTTCATAAATGATAGTCGTCCGCAAGGTTCCTGAGTTGTGTCTCGTACCTTGAATGAGAAAGGCACAGGTGTGTCACCCACACAGGACACGTGTGACTCCTTTTACATAGGTGAGACTCCAAAGCTTCGGGGGAAATACAGCGCATCGGAGACTCGGAGTCAGGGGTAGAGGCTGCCCTTTCTCCTTGTTCTATTTTCATTTAAAACCACCTTGTAAAACATCGTTCCGTTTTTAGAAACACCGTGGTGAAACACACAGAACACCACTTGCCATCCCCATTTCCACACCGACACGGCCAGTGCACAACCCGGCAGCGCGACACGCTCACGAAGCTGTGCCCCGGCCCCCGCCCCTGCCGGGCACCCCTCCGTCCTCCTCATCCCGACAGACACTCTGCTCCCACTGCCCTGCAGCGGCCCTGTCCCCTCAGCCCCGGGGACCCCGATTCCCCCTTGTCTCACACCCGCCTCCTCTCGGCGCTCTGGACAGAGAGACGGGGCAGGGTCTGCCCTTCCGTGCCCAGCTGGCGTCGCTCGGCCTGCGTCTGCAAGGGCCACCAATGCCACAGTGCGCGTCAGGGTGCCACTGCTCTTTAAGGCTGGGTGACGCTCCATGCAGTGCGTGGAGCATGTCCTATCTACCCACGGCCCCGCCAAAGGACACCTGAGGGGGTGGATGCCTGAGGTGGCGGACAGTGCCGTCACCAAGACAGGTGCCAGAGTGGCCGGGACCGGCTTTCAGCTCCCTTGGGCACAGATATGCCCAGAAATGCAATCATTGGACCCTGCAGCCACGCGACCCTTAATGTTCTGAGGATTCACCTTGCTGTTTCCCACAGGGCTGCACCATTTTATCTCCCACCACCGTTTTCTAGTTCCTGGGTTTTGGTTTTTTTTGAAAATAACCGTTCTAATGGGTGTGGAGTAGCACTGCATTGTGGCTTGCCCTCGGCCTTCCCTAAACTGCTGAGCATCTATCAATGTGCTCACTGGCCTTCCGTGCACCGTTTTGTTTATAAGTGACTTCTGCACATCAGCGATATCAAACATTAGTTTAACTATACAGCGGTGTGTGTTAAATGGCTCCACCGCCCCTCAGCAGTTCCTGCTTGCGTGGTGATCAGCAAGAACTCAGCTTCAACCAGGCAAAACCATTGAGCCAGGAATGGCGCAACAAGAGGCTCAAGAGAGACCCTGGGAACACTTAGCTGACGTAAAAAAATTGAACAGGCTTACAGACACACGCTTGAGGGAAGCGCGAGGGTCACGTGATAAAAGGGTCACTGGTGACGGACCGCGGGGGGTCAGTCAACCCTCTGCGGCAGGACTGGGAGAGCAGGCGGGGCCCAGGCCCGTCCTGAGCATCTGGCGCCGCCCTTCCCCCCGCCCCGCATCCCCGACAAGTGACGTGTGTGTGGGAAGCGGGAATGAAAGGCCAGAGAAATGGGGCGGAGGACGGTTGTCGCCTCCTTTCAGATCCACGAGCCTCTTGTCCAGTCTCAGCTATGCTGAGGCTTGGAGTCCGGGAGGAACAGAGCTTCCCGCCACTCGCTCTCGCTCAGATCGACATGCTCTCTAGGCACGGAAGGGCCCTGAGTGTCTGCTGAGTGACTCTGTGAGGGTCTGTCCATCCGTCTGCAGCTCTGTCGAGACAAGTGCTCCCTGGGTTGCAGGCCCTCCTAGGCCTTTTGAGAGATTCTGTTACAAAAAATTGTCACCTAGACCTCCTCTCGGCCCTCATTTGTGAAATTCACACATTTTGAAAACATAAGCACAAATGGTTTTAAAAAGAATCTTAAAAAAGGGAGACACTTCCTGTGAAATTGGAAAAAGAAAAGTCACTTTTTCTAATTAGTGAATTGACTCTTGGTCCTTAAACACCTCCTCTAAATAAACTTGCAGTCGAATTTGAATTTCAAAAACAAAAAGGGTTGGTTTTCCAGAACTTTACACTATAGTTTAAATAATCACTGGAAGCGACGGAAAATGGAAATTCTCTTCTTCTAAAGGAAGTCGAATCCTTTCTTGATTTTGAACCAAACGTGTTTAAAAAAATGCCGTGTAGATGTTACCTTGACAAAGAGAGGAAGTCTGTTCTCTTTAAAGGCAAAAAAGCTGAATATGTGGTGCTGGCCGCTCTTGGTCAGCGGCACGAGGTTGCCGAAACAGTCCACGTAGATGGGCTTTCCTTCGAGCACCTGGTGAGAGAGCGCAACAACAGAGCCCAGAGCAGCTGCGTTTACTGCTTGTTACTCACGTGAAGAGCCGGCGGCTCCACTTGAAACAGCAAACCCACACACACAGCCGTCTCCAAACTGCCAGCACCCTGTCTCCCCTGCGACGAAGCGTGTCCTCACGCCCCCTCTTCTACGCCTAACAGGGCCTGCAGCGTGCGGTGGCGTGTCAATGTGGACGTCCTCATTCCCAGCATCGTATCAAGTGACCCCCCCAAACTGACCTATCTCTAAATCCCAAATGTAGACTTCTGGTTGGCTCATCTTTGCTGTCCCTGTGAGCCTGGCCGCTCGACTTCCCTACCCAGACCCACACTGATGAAAAATGCCAAAATCGGTCCACGTGACACAGAAAAGCTCTGTCACTCCCACGTTTACACTGAGGACACGCCTTCCAACTTCTTTACTACTAAAAATTAGTACAAGAACAAGGGAAGATAAAACCATCCAAACTGTTACCACCACATACTTGATCAGTAAGTCATAATTTTACCCAAGGTAATCTCTGAGAGAGGCCTATTACCTCCCGTATGCTGAGGCTGTCCCCACAGGACGGGTCTCAACCGGCTAAAAATAGCTGACTTGGGGCCACGACCTTCCAACTGATCAGAATGTGGACTGGTCTTTTCCTTTCTAACTTATGGCTTTATTTATTAAGTACTGTCTCCCACACCATCCGTGACCACAGGCGCGCGCGTCGGCATGCCTTGTCGGGGACACGCACCTCCACGTCCCGGCTCCGGGCCACCTCAGCGAAGTTCTCCTGCTGCTCCAGCGTCTTGTCCACCTTGTCGTCCGTCATGCAGAAGCACCGCAGCCTGGCCTCGATGGGGTCGTGGGACTTGGCGAACACCACGAACTTGGCCATGTACGGCACGCAAATGATTTCACGGTACACTTGGGAGGCGAAGGCCACAGATTCCTGGGTTTGTCGGCAGTCTATCAGCCAGAACCTAGAAAACGGTTTCAGGTCACTCCCCTGAAGCTAACGTGCACCTCCCGAGGACAACCGGTCCCCCCGACGGGATCGCGGTCATCGTTAAATGCTTCTTGGGAAAGGACGGGGGGTGAGGCGGGAGACAGCAAGCGAGGGAATGGGCAGGGCGGGGTGCCCCCGAGGACCACGCGGTGTTTGCTGCCAACTACGAGACCCGTGTGTGTGTGATCTTCTTCATTGGAAACACGTCCACGTGTTGTCTTCTGAAGACCACGCCCCATGTCCCAGCACCATCGGGGGATGGGCCTCGGCCATCTTACGGGGACCTCGCTGGGGGTGCCCCAGGCCCCTCAATCCCCCTTCTCTACCTCTCACTCCCTGAAACTCTTCTCAATAAAATCTACCCAGGCTTCTCCGACTCCCCACTCTTCCAAAACCTCTCCAGTCACCAAGTGCGGGGGGGCCCCCCTGTGACCCATCTCCCATCTGGGAATCTCTGGCTGCAGACCTCGTGGGTGCTGCGGAGCGTGGCTCCTGGCTGACGCCCCCAGCTTGGTGGCTAGATGAGGTCGGCAGCTCAGCTACGCTGAGCCTGTGGCGTGGCCTGGCCACACCCCAGCAGTGTCCTGGACTCACACCCCGCCCGGCTCTGGGAGGGACGCGCCGGGGAGCGAGCCAGGCCGACTGAGGGCCAGCTTCTCCCTCGGCTGCTCACACGCCCACCAAGGCCCCCGCCTCCGGGGCTCTGAGTCTCGTGATGGCGCCTCCTCCCCACGACCTGCTGTGCCCCCGACTCCCTCCCCCCTTCAGCCCGTTTCTTCCAGTTCCTCATCCATCCCTCTTCTTTTTCTTTTTACTGCTTTCGGTGAAATACACGTAACATAAAACTTAACGTCATCCTTGCTGAAGTGCGCATTCACCACAGAGGGCCGCCATCACCGCGGACCCACACAGAATGGGGAGCCTGCCAAACACCCGCCTCTAACCGTCCCTCTCCCCCAGGACCCTGCCACCTCGCAGACACCCTCCGTCTCGGGACCCTGCGTGTCCTCAGGCCCACGTGTGCCGGGGAAGCCTGTCTGGACGCTCCACCGAGTACGGCGGCCTGGCTGGGGCAGGCCCTCCGCGTGGCTGTGACTCGTCTGCGCCCTGCTCCCCGTTTCCTCACTCGTCTGGGAGTGTGTGGCGAATGCAGGAGCACCGTAACTGGGGATGTGTGGTCTTCCAAGCAGGACCCACTGCGGCGCCGTGTCTGACCTGAGACCCTGGAGCCCGCTGCTGTCCCTGAGGTCCTTCCTCTCTCTCGCCCGTACCTGCCCCGCAGGCTCCTGCACCTCTCGGGAGCCCCCTCTCAGGCTCCCCTCCAGCCACTGGCCGTGCACGGCCCCTGGGCCCCTGCAGCGCCTCGGGGCCCACGCCCGCAGCTCCTGCCCTGTCCGCACACGAGAGAAGGTGTGTGGGGGGGGGGGTGCTGAGCACTGAGCCGCCACCCCGGCTGCCTCTGCCCCGCAAACAGGACTTTGAGCCTGAACCTGCTTAGCATCAGTGTCCCCATCTAGGAAATGGACACGTGACCAAGTCGTCATCATGACAAACGTGGGGAAGTGGCCGGCACCCCTCACAGATCACAGTGCAGGACTAAGCTGGCAAGGGCCGTGGACAGGACTAGGCTGCACCCGTGAGGGGTGGGGAGACACCAAAACGTGTCAGGTGCGCGCGAGTCACCCAGACCGCAACACCATGAGCGCACACATGGCTTCAACGTTTTGCTATCCTGCTGGACGGCACTCCGGCTCTTTTGTCGACAGCAGGAAATTTATTGTCCTGAGACCCCTGGGGCTGGCCTGACCATCACTTGTGTTCCTCAGATTTTACCGGACTGGGTGAGCTTTGTTACTGCATCACCCACTATTCCATTTGCAAGGAGGCCCGGTTTAAAACGTGAAAGTGAATGCAGACCGTATTTAAAACCAAACTTAAAAAGTTCACTTTTGTAGAACATAAGAAACGGGGTGAAATGCAGCGACAGCCACGGTGGGGGCGGGGTGGGGGCGGCCGGGGCCGGTCTGTGTGTGGGTACCTGGCCGACACGTTGGTGGTGAAGGAGACGCACTCGTTGACAAACGTCAGCGGCGTGGTCCCCGTGATGTCTTCCCACTGGGCGGGGGTGGTCCCACCTGAAATGACACGACCGTTGAGAAAACTGGGCCGGACCCCAGACACTGGGTCCTGAAAGGAGTCTCGGTGGTTCTGGCTGTGGCTGGCAGCGTGGCCGTGGCCCCGGCCCCCGCAGGGACACGCTGGGAACAAAATGACCAAGTGGAGAGCTGACGCCGCCTTCCCAGGCGCTGGGGTGAGGGAGGCTGTCGGCGGCCTCTGCCAACGACCTGTGTCGGACCGACCCCTGCCCGGCACTGAGGCCTGCGCTGCGGCTGCTGGCCCTGCAGACACATCTGTGCAGAGCCGGCGGCTCCAAAGGACCCTGTACGTGAGCAAGGCGCTGAAGGCTTTGTTAGAACAGCGAGAACCCAGATCCTTTTTTGTTCCTGAACTCTGTACTTCATACAATTCTCTTTCATAAGATAAAACTTTCTCTCGATGTGCCACTGAAAGTTGGCAAAAAAATCCTCGGGAAGCATGAAGAGCTCGATGACCTCTGCAGGCAGACAGACCAGCGCACGCCACGGAGGCCTGACCTGGCGGACGGCGTCCTGGCCACGCAGTCCCCTCGCTGCACCCCGGCGGGGGCAGGGCCGGCCGCCCGCCCGCGAAGCCTCACCTGTCACCTCCGCGCAGTGCGTCTCACGGGCCTGCACGGGTGCACGGGGCCGAAGCGCCGGCAACAGCCCGGAGCGAGGACCAGCAGCCGGGCGGGCTGGGGCGGCAGGGTCCCCGCCTCCTGTGGGCCCACGTGTTTTGAATTTTGCATTTTATTACACTGACAGGGTAGTCCCGATGGCTTGTGATCACAAGTATAGAAGAAACATGGGGGAGGGGAGCGTGCGCGAGAACAAGGTGAGGGGGAACCAGACCGCGGAGGGGCAGCGGGGCGTCTCCAGCAGCACCCAGGTGGCCAGGGACGGCCGTGCTCCTGCTGACGGCGGCGGATGCGGACCCAACGCCGGCCGCTGGGGTTCCCGCGAAACAGGGGATCACCAGCCAAGTGACATGTGGGGCGGGGGGCCTCCCTCTGCTCGTCACTGGACTCAGACCCCCATGTCCCGGAAGTGTCGGTTAGGGTCCGGTAATTGTCTGAACACTGCAACTTCCGACTGAAAAGACCCAATTCGGTCCATCCTGAAACACCTTTACCCCGCTTCTGCGGTGAGTTCACCAGCCCGAGGGTGGAGACACAACCAGCTCCCAGACACAGGCTGGGTTTGAACTGCTGGGTGTGACCATCCAGAATGAGGGCTGGTCTTGAATGGGCGCAGGATGAGGCTCCGTGGAGGCTGACAGGCCCACGGGCCTGGGTGTGAGCCCCAGCTCTGGGGGAGTCTGGGGTGCCACCTCAGGCAAGTCCCAACAGCCTAAGTGTCTTCTTCCACACGCCGGGGGGGTCCGACCTGCGGCCCAGCACAAAATTGTCAATTTACTTAGAACGCTACGAGACTGCTTTGTAATCACGTGTCACACTGCGCAGTCATGCGTGGCCCAAGAAAACGCTTCTCCTTCCGGTGTGGCCCCAAGACGCCACGAGGCCGGACGCCCCGTCCCAGAGCCTCCCACCAACGGCACCGCGGGCGCCTCACCTGTTATGCTGCACAGCAGCCTCAGCGTCGGCGCTTCTCCCCCAAAGCCGTTCAGCACAACATCGCTGGCAGCTTTGGGGACGGGGATGGTCATGGTGATAGGCTTGTGGAATTTCCTCCGTCGAGGCTCCAAAGTGACGATAGGACTGAAAGTGGCCTTGTTCCCGAGGATCTTCCTGACCAGCTCGCTGAGCATTGGCTGAGCCTGTGCAGAGAAGACAGGCAACAACAAGAGATCATTTCAATGCGTTGCCTGTCTCCCCTGCCAGCGTGGGTGGTGGCTGCCAGCGTGGAACCGGGGTGGCAGCTGCTCGCCCTTGTGTGGACGCCTTACTGTGTGTGCCCGCAGCCCCCGCTCTCCTTGGCCTGGACTGCCCGGCATGCCCATCCCACAGCTGGGGAGCCTCCCCCACGGCGCCCCATCCGCCCGCACACGAGCGCCACACACCTGCAGGCCCACGCGGATCCGCTTGGTCAGCGCGCCCTCAGGGAACACGGCCTGCACCTGCGGGACCACGGTGCTGCTCAGCACGCCGCCCTCGGGCCCGATCAGGTGGCTGTCCTGCTTGACACGCGACACCACAGCGAAGTACTGCGGGAAGTCGCGTGTGACGATGCGGCAGATGCGCTTGCGGTCCAGGTCCTCGGCGCTGTCCAGCACTGCGGGCAACAGTGCACACGGCCACTGTCAGCGCTGACCGGCTGGCCGCCCCATCCCCACGTGCTGGGTCCCCCGCGGTGCCTGCAGGGCCGCGAGGCTGGGGGTGGGGCGCTGCAAGGACCCCGCCTGCCCGGCTGCTGGTTTATCCCAGGACCGTGGCCACAGAGAGGACGGGAGTGGAGACCCCCCCACACCCTGAGCCCGGTTGGCTCGGGAGCCCGTGGCTGGTTTTCAGAAGCGGGGCACTCTCAGTCCTCGGGGGCCCGTGTGGGACCGGGTCTGGCCTGCAGGACTGTGTCTGTGGGGACTCTGCAGCGTGGCCGTCGCTGAGGGAGCCACCGTGCGTGCAGAAAAGGGCCATCGCGGCACGACGACCACGAGCCCGGGGTTTTGGTTCCCTGCGACCATGAGCTCGCCCTGCCTGCCGCCTGCTGTCAGCTCACGGGGCCACAGGCTTTCCACAGCCCACCCGGGCGGCGGGGGCACCGGGCCGGGCCGGGGCAGGCACACCGGGCCATACAAAAACGGGGCTGGCTTGAACTGCAGGCAGTTTGGACCAAGCGGATCCTTAGGATTTGGAGTTTATTTCCTTGATGGTCGTGACAGAAGCAAGACCAGGCGAACGTACTGTGCCCCCAGGGAACACGTGGGACACCCGCTGCGCCAGAGTCACGCGAGGGCACGCGTGTGCATGTGCAGGCAGGCCCAGGAGCAGCGCTGCCGTCCCACGCCCTCGCAGAGCCCACCTTCGTCCATGCCGTTGAGGATCTCGTTGAGCTCGTCCTCCGTGTGCTCGCAGCAGTGCTCCCTCCAGCTGTCCCCGTTCTCGCTGCGCAGCACCACCAGCTCCCGCTCCCTCCCGCGGAGGGCGGCGAAGTGGGGGATCTCCACGATGACGGGCCTGGCAGCAAGCGGAACACCCGGTGTGGCCGCAAGCCGACCGCAGCGCGACACCCGCGACCGTCTGTGGCAAAGTGACCTGGATTCCCCTCTCTCTGGGGACAGGGCGCTGGCTAGCGGTGGCCGCAGAGCAGCGTCCCACCTCGGGGCACGGTCCCCAGGGACGCGCTGCTACCTCGAGCCCTGTGATGTCCCCTGTGAGTGCGGGAGGCGTTCTGGAACTTCTCCTTTGATAACCGCAGAGAAACAGGCCTGCACATCCAGAGGGTGCACCAGCCTCCGCAGACGCTCTCTGCGAGGCGCACAATGACGCCACCATTTGGCAGGGAAGTGGCTCGGGCGCTGCGGGACCTGCGGACCACGCACTTGGGGACCCGTATCGGAGCACACCACCGGCATCGCGCACGGCGAGGCCCAAGCCCCGCAGACGGCCGTGCGCGATGCCAGGGAGGCTCAGTCCAGAGCGCACGCGGCCGACGGGTTTCGGGGCGCACTCCCCCTACGTTCGCAGAGGCCTTCGGCCTCCAGTCCAGGTTGCTTTGATACAGACCCCAGATTTACCGTAACAACGTCATAACTAGCACATCATACAACTAGGCAGGGCTCATGCTTTAACGAAAATGAAGGTCACAGCACTTCAGGGGAAAAGGCATAAAAACATCACTCAAAAACAAAAGTCACATACCACAGGGGTCGGAAATGGTCCACTAAGGAGAGGTTATATACAGAATTTAAATCATAGAGAGGGACATGTCATGGCACGATGACAAAAGAGAAATCATATTGCAGGAGGAGGAGAAGGGGCCCAGCCACCATCAATTTGTTTTAAGTCGCTCCTACCCAAGGAACTTGGTTCCAGGAGGCCCCAGCTGAAGGATGCGGCTGACCAAGCTTTCTCCCTCATTAAGTGGGGGGGGAGCCGCTGGCAGGTGGAGTTTACTGAGTGCATCCAAAGCAGCAGTGAGAGAGAGAACATCAGTCAGCTTCCAGTGAGGCTTCCACCGACCCCCGCGTCACCCGCGGATCGACAGGGAGGCTTGCTTTGGGTCTGCCCCTTCCAATGGTCACGGGGAGCCAGGCACCGACGCCCCGAGTGCTCAGTGGAGGCGCGGGGACAAGGGAGAGTGCGTGGGGGCAGGTCTATCCCTGATGAGATTCCCCCAGGACCAGGGCACGAGCCGAAAAAGAAAAAGATGTGCTCCCCAGGAAAGGCCAGGCTGTTGGGAATATGATGAATACTCGGACTCTGAAGAGAGTCCAGACAGTCCCAGGGACACCCCCACGCGGATGTGACGATCCGGTGAAAGCCCCTAGGACCAGACGGCCTGGGGGCAGGAGACGGGCCCCACCCAGATCCCCGCAGGCTCCTTATGTTGCCCCAATCTGCCTGACGGGACCCGGGAGGGGCTTCTAGACCCAGAAACACAGGCACGGGATTCGGAGCGACCTGTGGACAGCTGGCTCCAAATTACTAGGTTTTAGAACGAGTCCCTAGTTCCAGAGCAAGAGCTCTCTCCCGACGGGACACCAGCAAAGCAAGTGCTCACGATGCACAGGACTTCGTCCCCGTATCTGAGCACAAAGACTTGCTGTGGCGAGACTTAAATACAATTGATTCGTTTCAAAATATTTTGAAACTCATCCCCCTCCAAAACTTCATCTTTTTGTCAGTTTTCAGCCGAAGCTACGTATTTCTCAGCAGGTTGAAATACCACTTAATGAAATAGCAGCCGTTCAAACAAACAGAAGAAAAGCTAATTTCTGCTCAAAATTGCTAGAACGAGATTAGTCGAAGTGAGTCTAGATGTCGTCGTCTTAATGAAAACTGACCAGACAGACTGCCAGTGTGATTTTAAGACTCAAGGTAGCAATTTTGATGACAGAAGAGACAAAGGACATAGACTGAATTTTTGGCTCTTCTATAAAGCAACGCTTCCTTCCCAAGTGAAGATGGCTCTGTCTCGTAACTACATGGGGCCTTAAATCTATGTCTGGAATAGAGTAGGGCTCAACCACTTAAACCTCAGGGAAAAAATAACACCTACCGTGGCCCAACACAGTTACGCGCGGCGGGGGTCTCGCCGCCGCTACCACGACCAGAGAGAAAACAGAAACGAGCCTCCCTGCTGAGCCCGCGGACGGCTCCAAAAAGCAGGTGTGGAAGAGCCACCGGGCCTGAGGACACTGCTTCCGACTCTCAGAAAACCTCACAGGGGCCGACCTCGCTCGAAACGTTCGACGTACCTCCTTGCCTCCCGGCCTAGTGGCGTCAGCTGGGACGCACGCTCACTGGTGACTAAGCGGGAGGCGCGTCAGAGACTCTTACCCCAGGAACTGAGCACCAGAGGGTCCAACTTCGATGAGGCGGCCAGCCAGGCCTTCTCCCTCCACCATCGGGGGCATGGTCGCCAGTCGGTGGCGCTTCACCAGGCGGCAGGTGACCCGCGTAGGGGCCGTGCACTTGCGCGGCGGGATGATGATGCGCAGCCCGTGGTGCCTGCAGCCCCGCATGGCGCCCCCGCGGGCATCCACCATGAAGCTGACCAGGAAGCTGAAAGGCAGAGCGGACAGTAGATGCGTTTGCAAGGTCGCGGGCAGGGACATAAGCCCTGGCGAGGTCACTGTTGCCCCCAAATGCTCAAATGCTTGTCCTCAAAACACCTCTTTGTTCTTGATATGCACAGCGGGGAAAAACTGGTCTTTAGAAGCTACTTTATGCCAATGCCTTGATTTCTGTTGTGCTGCTGTTCTAATTTTTGTGCTACTTTTATCTGAAATCTAAGGAGATTTCTGCTAGTTTTTGTTGACAATGACCATAATACATATAAACTGGATGTTAAAAAGCTATCCAATGGACACAGAAAGTGGAATGAAATTACATAAAGACACCGAGGAGTCTCCTTTTGTTACGAGCCGTCCTTCTACATGTCGCGAGAAACCCCCGCGCGGAGGCACACCAAGACGGGGCGGCTGCCGGCAGCCAGTCCTACTTGGCTTTCACCATCACGCCTCGTTCAGCTCACGCTGATGGCATTTCACGACACAGAAAGGGACGCACAGGCCTCTCCCCAGGTCACACCATGAAGGTGCTTCCAGCTCACAGGAGCCGGGGCGCAGCGGGGCAGGAGGGGGGTGACAGGCCCTACTGCTCCATGCGGATTGAGGGGGACCCTGGCTCTTGCCGAGGGATGGTGTTGGAGCAGCACAAATGCCCCCAAGTTATAGTAAAGTGAATGCAGAAAATCACAGCCAGTAATTTAGAAACACAAAGGCGTCGCCATCATTTGTGCTTCTGCCCGGCCAAGCCCACTGCTCCCGGGCAGGAGTCCGTCCCAGGCGGCCTGGCCTGGCCATGTGTCAGGAGAAAGGATCGGCCCAAGTGTGGGGGGTCAGTCACCACACTCGCGGACGTCCTGGAGGACTTTGCTTTGTCAGGAGCAGGTCTGACTGCACACGCAGAGACACAGCAGGCAGTGTGTGTCCAAGGCACAGGCCACGCCACCGTCTCTGGAGATGTCATGGCATTTGCGAGGCTCGGATGCCCAAATGGCAGGAGGGAAGCAGCACACGGACAGGTGTCCTTGGGCTCGGCCAGCAGCCCAGGCCGGAGCCCCACGCCGGCCCCACATCTGCGTTGGCATCCAAAACACGGGAGGGCGTTGAGCCCAGGTAATAGTGGGATAGAAGCACAGCGCATTTGTTATTTTTACACAAGTGAAGAGACAGAGCTTAGCACCCTTTCACTGCAAACCCAGAACGCGTCAGGCATGCGATCAGAGCTCCTGCGGCTAGAAACACAAAGGGACAGGCAGAACCCAGGGCCTGCGCAGCAAGTCACGCGGGGGCGCCCGAGGCCACAGCCCGGACCCAGCGTCCGGTGTGCGGTGTGTGCAGTGCCGGCCAGACTGGGGCTCGACGGACTGATCGGGGCCGAATGCAGATGTTTCTGGTCTTTATAAAAAAAAAGTGTGAACATGCTGGCTGCTCTTCGTACTGCCAAGTTAAAAGATTTTTTTTTTTAATACTTAAAAAAAATCTTTTGTTTTTTTAAATGCACTGTTGCTCCAAAGAATGGAAAAACTAGCTAACGCTTGTGGTGGTAAAAAGGTTTCTTTCCCTTCTTATGGTTTTTACTTGTCCACATTTCTGTTATTTTTATGAAAACTAGAAGCAAGCTACTTAAGCTCCAGCCAGCGGGGCCGCACGCTCGCTGCCGCACTTCACCGCCCTTGGCCTCCATTACCTCCTGCGCCTGGTGGAGGCGCCCTGCCGTGCGTTGGCACCTGTTCCCTGGCGTGGCTCCCGCCTCCGCCATCGCCACCTCGGGGGCGTGCAGGGCGCCTCTCCTGGGGACCCTCGACCCCGAGGCTGAAGGGCTGCGTTCCTGCTGGAACGATGCCTTGGGGCGTGTCCAACCACGTTTCCATCGGCCCCTCTGTGGGAACCCCTCTGCCGTCCCCCTTCAGCCCGCAGCTTCCTGGGCCTGCGTTTGCTACCCTCCCACTAGGGGCCACCCTGCTGCGAGTGGGGCAGGGGCCCAGGGTTGAGCGCCCGCTGTCTCCCCGCCCGGCCCAAGGAGGTGCTGTGGGCGAAGAGGAGGAGTACCTGCCGCGTGAGGGAGCGGGTGGAGCGGTGAAAAGGGCAAGCGGTGGGCGGTGGGGCGCTGTCTGTGTTTACGTCTCCCTGAGAGAGAAGACGCTAACATGGAAGGGGACTTGACTGCCGGGTCGCTGGGCAGCCGATCCAGTCAGAACCCATTCAGATGACCACACACGGGTCTTTCGGCTCCTCAAACAGCAAAGTCAGACTCCAGCAACATGGCTGCAAGAGGAGCGGCCAAGAGCCGAGCGTCTGGGCTGGGAGCTACAAGCGGCCTCTTCCCCAGTTCCAGGGAGGAAGAGAAGGAGCGGCCCAAGTGCCACGCGGGTGCTGACGAAGTCTTTCAGATGAATGTCCACATGCTCATCACTTAGTCCCAATAGCTTACAACATAAAACTGGGTAAGCGTTTGAGCACTTTCATTAAAAATGTCAGGTTATCGTCAGTACTTGGATCAGGAGAATGAGTGGACAGTTGTTCTGTGTAAATTTCAAAATCCAAAAAGCAGATGGAAGAGGCTGACTGCTCTTCTGCACCACAGGAGAGGGGAAGGGCCGTGAGCCCTGCGGCGCGAGGGGACTCGATGCTGGAAGCGACTGAGTGAGTGTGGTTTCCTCGTGGCCTCAGGAGGTCGGAGCTGGGACAGGATACTGACCGTAAGCCCTCAGAGGTGAGAGGCATCGAAGCAAAAGCGCCAAGCGAGGCGTGGGCGGAGGCACGGCCGCCTGACCGGTGCTCGGCCTGTGCTTCGGGCGGCCCGTGGGCGGGGCAGGGCGGTGGCAGCTGCCCTGCGGGGTGGCAGGGGCAGCCCCGCGGCAGAGACGTGCGGCGCCGCCAAGGCCGTCTCCCTCACCCTCCTCTCCCTATGCCCACCTGCTGTGGGGAGTTTGAATGTCTTAAAAATTACAGTACAATACAGTACCTAAGAAATGAATGGAGAAACTAACATTTTTTGAAAGGGAACCTGGAACTTTGCTGGAGCAATTTAATGGGATGATGGAGCTTTTACTAGTTTTTGCACATCACTACTTAAATAAAACATGAGCTACGACAATCACTACAATCACAGGGCAATGCCACAGCACGGCGGCCCCCCCGGACCCGCTCTGATCCGCCACCACCGTCTCTGCCGTGAGCCATTGCTGTGACCTCAGGCAAGTCCCTTCCGTCTTCTAGTTTCCATTTTCTCACCCCTAAAATGAGACTTCCACTCAACAAACGCTGGTGTGGCCCCCGGCATTAACTTCCATGCACCGTTTACTGCTAACAGGGGTCAGGGAAGCTACTGGAATGTTCTACTTCAGGTGCTCTGAGGGAACCCCTGCTGGGTAGATGACCTGCTGTTCCGCCAAGAAAACAGGCTCATTTTTACTCTGTGGTTAACACAGTAAAGGAGCAGTTTTGCAGGAAATGTACCCGCGCACTGCGCGAAACATTGACTTACAACTCCACAGACAAAAAATATCACATGACATACTTGGCTAAAATCGCATGTCTTACTTTGGATAAAATTCAGCAGTCATGCAAATTAGAAATTCTTATCGAGATTTTCTAAATTGTGAGATTCAGTGTTATCACAATTTAAAAAGAAAAGCAAAAGCAACCCACCATTATTATGCAGATGGCTTGCCTTAGGCGACCCGATTAGCTAAAGAGACACATGCTTGGAGGGGGGCAGGAAAGCCTGTCGGCTGGGGGTCACCCCTCCCCTGCCAGGGTCAGGGTGCCTAGTTCAATTCAGTTCTTCGGGACTGCGGGGGGCGGGGGGGGGGGGCGGGGAGGGGGCCACAGCATTCAGTTAGTTATTGGGTGAAAACAGGGAGAAAGTGTGCTCAGGGTGCTGCAGTGCTCTGTCCGCAGGGCCAGGCCCTTGGGGCAGGACCAGCTTCTGGCGAGAACCCCGCGTCTGAGCTTTCTGCTCCACATTCCCCCTAATTCCACAGAACCCTCGATTCCCATCCACTGACACAGGGATGGAAAACGTCTTTTAAAAAAGTGGCTCAAATTTGCTAAAATCACCAAAACACCATTTGTCACTCACAGTGTTCACGTGTAGAAACATAATGTTTAGTGTTTCAGAAAAACTAAAAGGATGGTTTATAAATTTTCCTAAATTGGAAATGGGCAATTGTTGTATTTGTGGACAATCTGTGCTATCCTCATGAATGACTGTGGAACAAAAATGCGGTAACTGATAAGAACCATCAAAAATAATTTACTGAACACAGCAGTGCATCTTTCAGAACGCTGACGAGACTCATTCTACAGCACAATTTCCAAAATAACGAAAGGCTGCCTTGAAAGCAGCACCAGCAAAGAAACGCACTGCTAATACACCTTCAGCCTCTGGTTCACCTAGAATGTAGTTTTTAAAAAAAAAAACTCTGCTAAGTGACACTTAAAATCACCACTTTCAATATAACTGTAAAACAGGTCCACCGTTCTGTGTAACTGCTAGGAGTAACTTCGGCCCCGGAGCACTGCCCCCCAACAGAAGCGCAGACGGGGAGCCGCAGCCAGGGCAGGCGCTCCCGGGGCCTACGTTACTTCTGGCACAATCCTGGCAAATTCCCGATGAAATAAAAAATGCCCACTCTCTCTCCACCGCAGAGAAAGGGGACCTGGCAGGGGCGCAGCCCGGGGTGCAGCCGCGTCTCTGCCAGGTGTCTGAGCACTGGAGCACCCTGGGGCGCGGCGGGGCGGGCAGGGGGGGGTGCACGGTCAGTCACCTGCTGTTGTCGCGATCGAGACACGGAGAGGCGCGGCTGCAACAGAACAGATACTTTAGCACAGAGAAGGTGGGTGAGGGAACACCAGGGAGGACCCGGAGTGACTTCAGAATGAACCAGGTTATCCTACACCCCGCAGTCTTCACGGAGAGAAGACGGAAGTGCTGCAGGGGCGTCGCGCTGCGCAGAGGCTGAGGGGCCGGGGGTTCTGCGGGCCCATGCGGGGCCCTGACCCGTCTCAGAGTCCGAGACCACAACCCATCCAGGAGCGTTAAACTGAACGTTACCGTGACCGACAGAGTCTCATCTCCAGAGCTTTTCACAAGCTCTTACTGCTGACACTGCCTCAGGAACGGCTGTGCCCTGGGGGCCACCACAGAAGAAAAGCAACAGAAAGGCACCACGTGGAGACTGGCTTCAACGACAAGCAGCAGCAGCCTCTGTGAGGCAGAGCGGGCAGTGTGGACCGCCCGCAGGCAGGCAGCAGGGGCTAGGCAACTGGCCTGAGGGCTCCCGGAGACCCGAGCCCTGCCCTGGCCGCTGGCCAGCGGGGGTGCTGGGGCCCTGGGCGGGCCCCACACAGCAGGCCTGTCCACACCCTCTGGCTCCCTCGCGTCCGACTCATAAAGGCGACCAGAAAGCCCACCTTACAACACAGTTGTGTAGCTACTTGTAAATTTCTTCACCCAGAAGAATTTATCTTCATATACCTTTAAAAAATCTAGGGTGTTTGAAATACACAAGCCGCCCAATTACTGCTCCAGGTACTGAAATATTAATGTTGTCAAATGAGAAACCACCTTCACACCCTTGAATTTCCAACATCAGCTTCTCCGTCTGAGCCAATGGCTTCCCATGACTGTTAACAGCCTTTACTTTTTGGAGTAGCTTTAGATTCCCAGCCTAATTGTATTCGACATGTTTTTATGAAAAAGATCTTCTAGTTGCTGCAAGATCTTGTAGGATAACACGATGAATTGATGTTTAATTGTTGGCACATGGCTATCATTAAAAAACTATAAAAAGAAAGCTTTGGAATAATAGTTGAAATGAACGGTCAAACAAGGCGTCACTAGGAATCGCATCTCACACCTGTTCATTCACTGGGGACTTGTAAAACAGAGAAGCAGCATGACTTCACGCTCTGGCCCGCGATCACGCGGGTGTGATCACTGTGGGGCAGCTCAGACGCTGCCGACTGGCAGGTGGGTCCGGACGCTGTCCTGAAGAGCAATGACGGTGGGAGGGTCACTGCCAGCCCTTTTGCCGTCAGGTGTCGGCTGGGTCTCACGGGCGGTCAGGCTGTTTTGAGCGTGATGGCTGTTCCCAGCGGCGTGGACTTCGGCCGTGGGAGACCCAAGGCAACGGGGGATGGAAGCCGCTGGCCTGGCCTCGCGGGGCAGCTGCATATTCTGCTCATCTAAAACCCGCCGGGGACTCCGTGAGAACACCGCGTCTGAAACCAGGGGCACGTGCACTAGAAAAGCTAACTGTATTGCCCCCATGACAAAAAACATTTTTTTCCCGAACATTATGGGCAGATTGTGAAGTGGCTTAAGAATTTGTCCAAGAACCCCAGTTCCTTGAAAAAATACAGAAAAACAACAGCTCAGGAACCTGGTGTCTAGTGAATAAAACTATAAAAATATCAATGTTGCATGACAGGATATTGTGAATGCTGTTCCTGTGCCCTGCTTTGGTGGTGGCTTTCAAATACCACGACGCTCAGCACCGAGTGCTTGGCCAGAACCGTGGGCTGTGTGTGTGTGCAAATTCTGCAGTGGGGGCATCGCCAGACGATAGGTCACCTGCTCAAAACACCTGGGAGTCCCCAACAGCGGGGCTGTCCACACGGGCGACTCAGAATGCTGTCGGCTCAGCGGGTCTGCAGCGTGGGAACGACCGGGAAGGCGCACATGGGGGTGCGACGTGCTGACTAGACTCTCCTGAGACCTACTCTTCCTGGACAAAATGCTCATTTGAGAAGCCAGAGACCAGTAAGTTCCCCTGTGGGATCCCTAAGGTAACATTCACCTTCCAGGTAAGTGAACCGAAACTCGGAGGCCTGCCTGGCGTGGCCGGGCCCGGGCATCAGGGCTGCCTGTGGTCGGACCGCGCTGCTCCCATTGCCCCCAGCGGGGACGCCGCCTTCTCTCTCCCCTTCAAATGGCACACGGGTACGTCTCGTCGAGGGAGGCTGGCCCTGTTGACCCGTTTTCCTCAGCGCCCGGCTCAATCGCTGGCTCCTGGCGGAATCTAGCGAGGCGTGAGGAGCCCGGGATAGGTTCGTCACCTGGCCTCCCCAGCAACGGACGCTGTCGGGCCGCACCAGCCCTTGCTCACAGCTGGCGTGAAACATGTGCATTCAGACGGCCGGCACTTGTTTGACATCACAAAGCTGCGGCCGCAGCGGCAGAGCCTGCGGGACCAGCCGGCCTGGCCTCCACGTTGTCAGGCTCCTGACTCTGATGCCCAGATGCCACTGGGACCATTCAGTCAGCCATGGTGTTGGACGTTCTCTGAGGAACTGGTTTACCAGAGGTCAAGATTGTAAAGATTCTTTTCTTAATGAGGGGTTAATCTTTTACCCCGGAATGCTCTAGACTTTGTGGTAAATTCAGCCTTTAACAGTCAGTCACTTTGTGGCTAAAATCATCTTTCACTGTGCAGGCCGCTGCGGGTGTAACTTTGTCGGCTCCTGGACTCAGATCCACGACCTTCAATGCTCTGGGCCAAGCCCTTCCTTCTCGTCGCTGGTCAGAAGTTGAGGAGCAGAATGCGATGCTATGCTTTTTGAATAACTTAGAGCTGTCAGATTTTAATTATCTTACATTATACTTAACATATGTAAGTAAATTTTGGCTGAGATTTATTTTGGTTTTTATTCCCTTGAATAATACTTGCATTAGGAACTAGCTTTTAGTTTTTTAACAAAGAAAAGAATATTTTGATTATTTTTTAGTAACTAATTTCATATTCTATGACTCTTTAGTAGAAGATTAAACTAAGAGGTCCAAAATTTTAACTACAATATCTTAGAATGCTCTCCTGAAAAGAGGATACTTTAGAATAATAAAAACAAGGGCCCACAGTTCAAAATAGTCCTGGGGATTGTGGATCATGGTGTTTGGATAAACCAAAGCATTGTGTTTAGTTAGATAACACGTGAGTGGGCTTAGAAAAAGTGATTATATAAATTTTAAGGTTTTACCTATAATTATGAAGTTACTATATGCCCGAAACCACTAAACCGTAGGGGAAAGTTCAGTTGTGAAGAGTGTCCCAGCCTGAAACTCCCTGCAGGGCTTCTGTTCCGCACGGCTGTGTGCTTAGCCCGACAGTGCCGGCGGGCACGTGGGAAGCAGCCAGCTCAGAGCCCTCCGTTCGGGCGGCCGGGCGAGGCTGCCCCCGCGGCGCACTGTGGCCGCCCACGGTGATGGCCACGCCCGCATCTCCAGCTGCACACTGCACAGGACTGGGGCTTCCGTCAACATCACTTTAAATGCATTCATATGAGCAGAGGCATCTACTAACTAGTTGGTCAATCTTAGTAAATAGAACTTTCTACAAAATAACCCTGCTCCCCCTTTTCAGACTTCAATAAGACACAATGTCAACGGTCAGGTGGCCTCCAGTATCTGCTAGGGAGTTAGCAAGCTGATGCAGTTCTGCTAGTTATTTAAAAACAACGGTCAGTTGTCTACGTTGAATCAGACTTTTTGCTGGTTTGTCTGTGCAAAAAGGGCCCACGTTGGACAAGCCATGTTATTTACAAGTTTAAACAAAGGTCACTTCCCCTGTGAGCCGGCCACCAGCCCCGCTGGACAAGGCTGGCGTTTCCACACCCCTCTTGTTCGCCCTTGCGCGGGACACACGACACCAGCGACTCACCCTGAGTGAATTGGGCTGGAAGAAAGGGCCACATTGTCCAGGTTCTCGGGGCCCCAGCTGAGGCGGTAAGCGTTCCTCTCTGCCTCCTTGGTGAGCGCCGACACCTAGACATGGAGACAGCACTGAGTGCACACCCTCCCTCCACCCGGGCCGCCATGCAGCCAGCTCTAACGCCGGCGCCGTGGGCAGGCGGAACCGCCAGGAGAAACGCCACTTAGAAACGTTCCACCCAGGCGCTTGCGGGGTTGTCTACAGTGTACGCCCGTGTGAGCTACACCAGTGGTATTAGGTCACGTTTGTGGGCTTGTCTCTGAGGAGAGCAGGTGCTGGTGCAGCCCGGCCGACCCGGCCAGCCAGCACGGACACAATCGCTCCGCAAGTCAAAGCGCTCCCTGAACGGGCTGCATCTGCTCTGCAGACAACCACCCCCCACACTAAGAGGTGTCCTGTAACCGGCACCTTCAGTAAACGCACCCTGCCTCACACTGTCCCCTCTACTAGTGCCCCTCTGGGGCAGCTGCTTTTCATGTACGATCCCCACAGACCTCAGAACCGCTGAAGGAATAAGCAGTGTATCGTTTTAGAGAAACTCAGGTCCTGGAGAAACCTAGCAAAGGTTTCCCGTTTAGAAAAGCTCTCCAGTCCTGTCTCCCAGCCCGTAACTCAGTTTGGGCAATTTTTCTTCAGACTAAGAGGCGCCCTGCAGGCCCCGAGCGCGGGCAGCAGGAAGGGCCCCACAGCACGGCGGGCAAGGCGAGCGCGCCGGCCACGTACCTGGTGGCCCGGGGTCAGGATGGCGTCGTCAGTCATGGTGCTGTCCCGCAGGCAGGAGGCGTGGCTCAGGGTGTGGGACCTGTCGGAACTGAAGGACCGGAGGCTGGCAGGTGAGCGGGCGGCCGTGGTCACGTGCCAGCGGCGGGCGGGGTGGGGAGGAGGGCATGGCACACCGAGCGGGAGAGGGGAGAAAGCGTGCGGTTAGCTGCGGCGCCTCCCAGGGGCCAGACCGCGCCACGGGGGAGGACACGGGCCGGTGTCCGTCACCCCGCGCGGACACACCCTCTCACTGGCCCGGCCACTCAGTGCCAGGGGCCCCGGGGGGATCCAGACATGGGATCTGATCCTCCCGATCTGATTCAGGTTCTGCCCAGAAAGGTCTGAAAACCAGCAACAGCCCGTTCACGCAGGGAATGGTTCCAGCACCGGCCGCTCGGATCTGGGCCAAACGCTGTCTGCCTGCAACCAGCAGTGCGAGGGGACAGCCGGCCTGCGGACAGAGCAGGACGGAAGGCAGCCTTCCGCCTGCCCACGCCCGTCCCGCGCTGCTGCTGTGGCTGCTGAGTGCCAGGCCTCTGGGAGGCACAGCAACAGCTCCCGGCCACAAGCAGGCTTCCTGAGGAGGAGGTCCCTGCAAGGCCAGGTCAGAGGGCAGGTGGCCCCTTGGGGCTGGTCGCCGTGGCGATGACGCAGGCACACAAAAAGCGTTTCCAGGCACCGGCCAGACCCGGCCAATCCCCCAGCACAGAGCGAGCTGCCAGTGGCCACGAGCAAAGCGAGGGTCGGCTTCGTAAGGGATTCAGGCCTCGGCCGTCTGACTCTCTCCGCTCTGAGAAGTCCGAATGTCAAAGTTCTCAATCACCTGCTCAGATGCGATGAGTAAACTCGACATTCACGGAGATGTAGTTTTACTCCTTCCTAATCAATTTGTACACTCAAAGGACAAAATAGGTGGATAGCTTAAAGAAGCTCTATTTTATGCACGTTAGTCCAAGCTTTTAAGGATCTGTATTCAGAATATTAGCCCGAAGCCCATAGGAGAAAAGAGAGAGACATGCAGGCTCCCACAGCACTTACAGAAGCAGTCCCGTTTACTTGTGGCTGGCAGGAGTGTGGCCAGTGTGGCTTGCAGAATTATGGACTAAATGTTCAAGTCAGCGTGTTTATCAGCAGAACTGGGTTCATTTTGCAAGGCGCCTAACTGGGTGAACCAGCACGGCCGTCTCCACGAGGGCTGCCTCTCTCAGCTTCAGCCGCCTCTGCTGGGCCGTCACTGGCAGACACTCATGGTGGCAAAGGGCCCGCTCCCTCTGACCTTGCTCTCATGTGATGCCCCCAAACAGACCCTGGCCACCATGGGGCGTGGCATGGGCCGGGGGCCGACGGCCTGGCCCTGTGTGCTCACAGCTACACTATCTGTGTGCACAGTAACACGAAATCCAAGCAGAGTCTGGAGCTCCCGCCCTCATGTTTCGCGATTCCTGGTGAAGACGAGGTCCCGATGCCACCCAGCTATGGCTTTGGTCCTGGCGGTCAGGGCAACCCCCGCTGTGGGGTTCAGTGGCTCACTCATAAACAGGGGGCGGCACACTCTGAATAACCTTGGCGTGGCCTCGAACTTGAGGACAGGAAAGGGATTGAATTATGGGATGAAGGGTCTTTAATCTCAACAAATCTCATTTCCCTGAACAGACTGAACAATCTCGTCTCCTGCCTAAAGCCACAGGAACACTCCAGGTTTGCAGGCGTGTTCCGGGCCAGGCTGTGCAGAGGCAGCTCTGAGACTGTGTCTCCTCACGGGGGTTAGAATCAGGTGCAGAGAGACAGCCGTGAAAGGTCACCGCCCGGGGAGCACGGGGCTGTGCACGCACTCGGCCGCCCGCCGTCGCGTCTCCAGGGCTCTGACTGGCTGAGGACATGATCTCGCTCCGTGGCTTTGGAACTCAAAGACCCAGGCTGGGGCGCCATGCACTTAGAGGGGCCCGGGTCACGACCGTGACCGGCACAAAAGGAGCGGGAGGCCCTCGGGGCGGGGGCCTGAACGCCTGCTCGCAGCACTGGGGAGGCGCTGTCCCCAGGCAGAGCGGACCCTGGAGCGCGGCCGCGGAACAGAGGAGCCATGGGCGTCAGAAGGATAGGAGCCAACCGGATGGTGGCAGAGGTGCCTCCATGAGACCTGGAGACACGGCTGCAGCGTGTGGACGCCGGGCTCAGGAAGAAGGCAGCTGGGACTCAGCAGCCACCCCCAGAGACACAGGAACCAGGGGAATGGCCATCTGCTTCAGGAACAGGGTGTTGAGGGGTTCACGGGCTGAGCACGCAGAGCCCCCTCTGGCAGCTCCCTGCCACCCCACCCCCCCCACCAACCCGTGGGCCTGGCCCCGGGACGGTTCCCCTGGTTGGTTTTGAGCCAGGACGGGGAGAGGGGAGGCGGGGCTCGTTTTTGTCTTTGCTGAGGCCCAACAGGAAAGGGATGCAGAGAGAGAAGAAAGGGAAGAGAGACCAGGTAACAGAACAAGAACAAAGAGATTAGGGTGGAGAGAGAGTGGTTAGGAGAGGCGGACAGTGTGGGAGAAGTCGGAAGGACCAGTGAACCTTGGAACCCTGTGTGTTACTATCGCCACCTGCTGGACTGTATTCTAGCTCACTCTGCCTTCCCAATGCTAATTACTGATTTAAGCACGTTTACAGTTTCTAATTGCTCTTTGTTCCCTACAGAACCTACTTAAATGAAATCATCTCAGAGTGCTCCAACAGGAGAGGACTGTTCTCACTGAAAGAGAAACAACCAGCACGAAAGTCTAGAATAAGTCAGGCCCTTAGCCCAGAAGCTTCCCCCTTTAGAACTTCGCAAGCCAGTTGACAAAGTGTTGCGGCAGAGCGGCCGCTGCTTCCCTCCTGTCAGAGGCCGTGCTGCTCGGCTGACAGGGCCACGTGTCCACCGCGGGGACCTGTGGAAAGTGTTAAGACCTTGAACGTGTCCTTCCTCCCCAGGCAACTGCTCCATGGACACGTGTTAGGTTGCATCCGTCTACAGTTTCACTGACCAGTGTGGCAACGCCCGCCGTTTGCTAGACGCACAGGGAGTGGCGCGCTCCAGCCCCACCGAGCGAGCGCGTCGGGCCGCAGTGCAGCTGCACCTCATGCCTGCTGTCTGTGCAGCTCGCTGTCACTCAGCGCTTGACCCTGAACGTGGACGGCGCCCGCGGTTTGTGAGCCCTAATAAAGCAGAACAGACACCACAGCCTGCCCATCAGAAGCTGGCTGTGTTCTTGTCCAACCTATGTTGAACCACACCTGTTTTATCTGCACCCACGTACACTTCAGCGTCACGATCATTACTCTGTCACCCCCACTGCACACGGCTACCTGGGGTTCTTTCGGGGGCAACCCCATGGGGTGCTGTGACAGGCGAGGTCAGGCCGGGGCTGGTGCTCCTCTCCTGATCATGCCTGTACCCTTCCAGCCCAAGTAGTTATTCCACGTAATGCACAGAAACCCTAACGTGAGAATTAATCCATAATTCTAGCATGTCAGCGCCCGTGAGCACACCACACACATGCACACGGAGCAGCGAGCAGGGAGATGCAGAGGGGCCAGGAGGCCATGTTTCCAGGCCGCGCGATACCCACCTGGGAAGGGCACTACCGAAGGCAGAGCAGACAGAGAGTAACGACAGGCAAAGTGGTTACCAAAAGAGGGCGACTTAGTGAATTGTCCAAGCAAAAGTTAAAGAGTTAACAAGACAGCCATGAAAAGGAGCTGCCGCCTGCCCTAGCCCTCGGGGTGGGGGGCCACACTGGCGCCCTCGAGAAGCACCTGGCGTGGAGACCAGGGCCCGCCGCGCAGACCGGCCGGCGTTCAGTGAGGCGCGGCTACCTGCCCTGAGCCCGGCTGCACAGGAAGCGCCGCTCTGGGCTCTTACAGGAGCCCCTCGACCCGCCTGCGCGACCCGGGCCACATTAGGGCGCTGGCAACGCAGCCAAGGGGACTTGGTGTCCAGAGGCAAAACGGCCCCTTTCGGGGCTGAATGAAGATGTGGCAAGTGATTAAAAGCGCCCCCAGAAGGCGGGGTCGCCGCCTCATCATGGCTGCGGGATTTTACTCAGGCACCTCGTCTCGCTGGGCCACCCCGTCTCTGGGTCGTCGGGAAGGTGGGGACCTGCTGATGGCGGGAGGGAGGGGAGGCTCCCGGGGTCGGCACCGCGCCTGCTTTTCCTCTTCCCCATCCCGGTCCCGTCCCTGTCCCCGTCCCCGTCCCGCACGGCTCCCTCCTGCCGCCCGAGGGCCGTCCGGGAGCCTACCTGTCGGAGCGCCCCCCCTCCAGGCTGTAGCGCAGGTAGTTCATGCTGTCCAGGAACTGGCTGCTGGGCAGCGAGTCGTCACCCAGCTCCTTCAGGTCCTCGGGCCTCAGGTACTCGCCGCCGTCCCCTGTCATCGTGTCGTCACCTGGAGAGAGGCGGAGGCATCGGGGAGTCACCTGCTTGTGGCGCGGGGACTCAGCGGGACACGCGGGCGTCCGGGAGGGCGCAGGGCCAGGCAGGGGGAGGCATGGAGACTCCGGAGACGCCACTCTGCACGGGAAGAAACCGCTCCCTGGCCTGAAATTCTTCCCTCGGTTTCTCCACTCACTCCCCCCTCACTGCCTGGACAGCTGAAGTCACCGAAGTCACCAGGACTCAACAGCAACACCACCCTCAGTAGCAACACAGAGAAACGCAGCGGGCACTGCCCTTGGCCACCCTGAACGTCAGAACAGGGAGGAGGTCGCTTCGGGATGGTGCCCCTGGGGACCCCAGGAGCAGGAGCTGGCCGCGTACAGAGGTCGGGGCTTCACGGAAGTCATTCAGGGGAGCACTGCGGTGCGATCGGACTGGGTCAACCAGGGTGGGTGTCCCGACAGGGGACGGGGCGGACACACAGACAGAGTGGAGGCTGTGGGACGCTGGGGAGTGAGGCGTCGCTGGCGGCCCCAGGAGCCTAGGCCACCACGGGCTGCTGCCACCGAGCCTGCTCCTGCGCTGTGGTCATCCCGGGAGCTTCCGGTGAAGCTGGAGAAGGGACTGGAGGAGCTCCCTGGCCCGGGAGCAAAGCGGAGGGGCTCCAGGTGAGAGGCGAGTGTGTGAGAGGCGGGTGTGTGAGGGCCTCGGACGGACGGTGTGCGATGAAGAGCCACGTGGCCCACGTGGACTGAGGGTCATGCTGGTGGGCAACAGCGGGGAGTGGGAAGGACGCTGCTGCCCGACACAGCGGCGGGCCACGCGGCTCGGACACGCCGCACCGTCTCCCTCTCCTTGCACAATGTGCGACTCTTCCCTACGACTGCTTTCATGAGGCCAATAGATTGGGGTCCCTCTCCTTTAACTCTGGGAGAAAAAGTTCTAAGGCCCAGTCTAAGAACTGGCTTAGCAAACACAGGCGTTTTCTGGTTTGGACAGAAGCCTACGTTATTTCCATAGTTTCGCTAATGTCAGGGCAACTCTCACTGAGGAAGGAGGGAAGGGACGTGGGAAGGCGGGTCTGTCCTGTAAAATGAGCTGCACTTGAGTCCCTTCTCAAGTAGGCAAGTGGCCTGAAAGAGGATTTAAACCCCAAAGCCTGGCTGCCTTAACAGTGATCACGTAACTACTAACTTAATACGGTTTTAACCACATCAAAAACACACCTTCATCAAGAACGATATAAATGGCATTCAGTTCAATCTAAGTTAGTTGTCCACTTGTTCATGCTAGTTAGATGTCAACTTACTAAAGAATTCTTTTTTCCTCTAAATTTGTACTCTAAGAAAAAATATTAGTTTTAGGAAAATTCTTACATAAAGTTCACCAAATACTTTAATTACAATAACGTCTCAATAACAGCTGCAAAATGATTAACAGCATCAGCAAGTCACAGCTTTAAGCTCCCAAGTTAATAAAATCCACACACCCGAGTGCACGTGCAACCTCACCTGTATTATACATGCTAATTCCAAAAGAACAGGTTAGTATCAGGCACCCAAATTTAAATGTTAAGGAAACTGCCCCTCTGCAGTTAAGAATAATTAAAAGCAAAGCAAAGTTTTCACTCCAACAATTTCCCCTGATGGTACCTGAGTCACTTAGCACTTCCCCATCAATGAAGTGGTCACCAGTCTGTTTAAAAGCTGTTCAACATATGAGTGAGGATAAGAAAATGATCCCCCAAACCCCACACGGTGTGCACCTACAAATGCGGAAAACTAGCTGTCACGCAATAGAAGGAAACACAGATCATTTTAATAAACGCCTGGAGCTCCCAGTGACCCCGACACGGCCTTCGTTTGTTCCCGTCATGCGTTTTTATAACAGCTGATCCACTCACAGCTCTCGCCAGCTGGTGCACTAACAAATTGGTTCCCAATCAACACCTCAATGCAGTTTTACCTTACGATTAGACCTTACAGGACCTAAAGAAATGCCTTTAATGTTTCTCCGTAAACACCAGAGAGATATTATAAAGTTAACACCAGGCCCGGTACCGTCCTCCACACAACGGTTTTTCAATCATGTGCACTCGAGCACAGCTGCACCCTGAAACTTGGTCGCTCACTTGATGTGCTGCGTTCGTGACTTTTTAGCAGATTTTCTGGTTCAAGAAAAGTCAACCGTCTGGTTGAAGTGGGTGTGGAGAGCCCGAAACACCGTCCACGGGAGTGCCCAGCGCTCATGCAGAGTGGCAGGCTGCTCCGAACCCTGGCGCCCACGCCCTGAGTAGCTCTTATCAACTCGAACACCAGAGGGGGCATGTTTTCTGACTTAATCCAATTCTTACGTTCAATGTGTCTGACCTGCTGCTATGTTGTTTTAACCTCCTCTATGGCTCTTCTCCTTTGGATTTAAAAATATATCCTGCATGTTTGAACCAATCAGAAAGCAGGGATTTCAATACACCACTGGTAGTGTCTACTCTGAGATCTTTTAACTTAAGGCGTTGTAATAAAAACCAATGTAACTTAATTATGACATATGTTAATACTGGCACAGTCAGGTGGATAGTTTAACAGGTGGTCAATCCCCAGCCGTTCCCCTCCCCAGGCCTGATACGCAGCAGGGCGATGAAGAGCGCGCCCGCGGGAAGGCGCCGATCAGAATCCCTCCCCAAACGGCAAAGCGCGGTGCGTCGGAAACGAGCTGGGGACGGGCCTCTGAGGGTCCCCCGCCCCCGCTGCCCAGCCCCGCCCCCGAGGACGGGGCGGCCCACGGAGACCACAGGGAAAGGCTCACCCTCTTCATCGGAAACATCAAGCACCTCGGTCATCGTCTCGGGGACATTCAGCTTGTGTTTTTCGGTGATGGTCTGGAAAGAAAAAAATCATTAATGCTCAGAAACAGACATGAAGGGACGCTCCGGGGAGCCCGGGGGAGCTCAGCCCCAAGACGGGCTGAGGCCCCCTTTCTCGCAGATGTTCTGGAAGCTCCTTCCCGTTTTCGCTCCTGGAAACCCATCTCTTCCTCCCGAAGATAAAGGATCATGTGCCCTGTGGGGCTGTACAAGGGCAAGACCACTGTCCCCTGTTCCCGCTTGGAAAATAAACTCTCCACCAACGGCACGAGTACCCGGCCACACTGAGGAGGTGGCTGCCCTGCTCAGCGTCCCCTGAAGGGAATGGCCAGTCTCCAGAAAAGCTTTACATACTTTACAAAGGAGCCGTAGACACAGGCAGCGTATCAGAAACAAAGCCAGAGGAAAAGATGTTGTCAACAATGTGAAAGACGTAAACTCCCTGGGCAGAAAACATGTCTTCTGGGATCAGGGGACCCTGTGGAGGGGACCCAGGGCTCTCACAGTGACCTTGGCCTGCACTATGAGGCAGGGGGCGGAGGGGACCAGGCTCCGGGGTCACTGCCGGGGCTCAAATGCTAAGCTCTCCATCTGTGCGCCTGGAGGCCTGAGCAGGTCCCCTCACAGCCTGGGCCCCGCTCCCTCACTGTGCACGGTGGCAGCACCACCACTGGGAAGGCCGTTACGCGCAAGAGCTGAGAACAGCATGCGGCGTACGGCACTGCTCGACAAAGTCCGCTGGCGTGAGTGGCTCTCATTGTGACTGATAGCGAATTATTCATAAAATCAAGGGCCTCTGAATGCTGTCCTCACTCAGACGCTGGGGGGACACTTTCCATGGCCGCTGTGGGCCAGGCGCTGTTTCAGACCCATTGCCTGGCGTTGTCATGGGAACATGAGAAAACGAACCTCTCCGTGCAGTCTTCACTGAGAGCCCCTGAGAGGCAGCACGTAGCGGCCTCGGTCCTCAAGCTCAGCTGCACGGATGTCACAGGCCTGTTCGAGTCTGCAAGGACGCTCTCATCTAAGCTTTTCTTTCACAAACTGACGCTATAAAATCATGCAAAGCATGTTTAAAATTCACGTCATGACGAAGCAGGTTTTCTTTTGGGTGATACCGCACTGGCGAGAAGGGAGAAGCCAGAGGGAAAGGAGTCCACAGAGGATGGGGAGCTGAAGTCCGAGTGCATGTCCAGCCCCACACGTGTGTCCACACAGCCCAGCCTGGCTCATTGCGGGCACTCACCGACGCTGTCGGACACGCAAGCGCCCGCCCACAGCCTTGGGGAAGGGCCGCTGGTCAGCGTTTGTTAAAGGAACAGACAGACCACTTACATATACACCGCCTCATTGCTCTTTTAGCATAATCTATAAACTTGACACAGATGAAGTGCCACCTGTCCTGTCTCAGTGGTTCTCAACTCCAGCTGCGTGTTAAAGTCATTAGAAGAATTTAAAACCATTGTGGCCTGGGCCCCTCACGGGGTCCCATCAGCCCCCCTGAGGACCGGGCCCACGGGGCATCTCCTGGAAGTGCCTCAGGCGGGCGTGCGCTGCTGCAGCCCAGTCTGCAGTCCCTTTTCCTGGGGCAGGCGGCGAAGGGCCGACAGTCAGCCCTTCCTGGGAGGCCCACACCCGTGGTGGTGCTGTCCTCCTGGCCACTGTGGCAGGTGAGGGGCCGCCAAGGAGCCACCTCCGCCCACACCTGGACTCCGATGGCACAGCCTCAACTGGGCTTTGTCCCAAACCCATTATACAATGTGTACAGGTTAACATACTTTTTGTAGGAAAATAAGTATTACGTAAATAACATTTTTAAAAAATAAAAACAATGTAAATGGTTCTGAAAGTCTCAGAGAGGTAGGTTATCAAAAACAACTCCTCGTCAGAGGTGGTAGGAAGAACGATCAGAGGTGGGATACAATTACGTCCCAAGTTTAGAAAGGTTCTGTGCCCAGCGGAGTGTCCCTCTGAGACGACACTGAGACGCCCACAGGACACGTCACTGCTGAGCCCGAGGCCCAGCTGAGCCTGACGCCGAGGAAACCTCTGGCTCCGCCTCACAAGGCGACGTGTGGCTGGACATGAATTTACAGCATCGTCAGCACGGGATCCCAATTTAACTAGCTGACCCATCGGGTAGATTTAGAACTTGGAGTATTTACATTTTCTTAAATTTATCAAAAATTTCCCCACTATTTAATGACACTGTAATGCCACTTTATTTTAGTAGCTTATTCAGTAATTTATGCTCCACCTATCAACGATTATGCGCAGCATAAAAAAAACGATCACTTTAAAACGCAAATACTACAAATAACTGACGAGAGCCGATCAGCAGTGGCAGCCTGGGTCGCACCTCACAGTCACCCCTCCTGCCCCGGACGCTGCGCCCCAGCTTCTGCTGAGGAAACCGGCCGCCCGGCCCAGGAGCTGCGCCCACACCTCGCCCGGCACTGCGGCTCGTGTCTGCTGTGGGTCTAGCCTCGCGGGCACAGGCCGCGCGGGGAACCCACCCTGTGAGGGGCGGGGGCCGGGGCTGCTCAAACGCTTTCCCTGGGACTCGCAAGACGTGAGGTCTGCGTGTCTACTGTGTGGCTGTAGTTCAACTATTCCATTTAAATAGTGAGAGCCTGAATTAATTTTATTCATTTTACACAATTATTAAATTGCCTGTGCGCTTTGTCTATCACCAGTGAGTTGTTCCAAGTTGTTAGTGAATCTGTAGACTTTAGAAAATGATATTGAATATGAAAAGGTACCTCTTAAGAGGGTTTTTTTTTTAATTGAAAATTAGGTGAAAAGTTTTCTTTCACAAAGTCCTGTTAAGCTACTTCTGGCAAAGCAAAGCTCTTGTTACATCAGGGGGTTAAGAACATGAACTTTGGAACCTCACAAAATCCAAACCTTAGATGCACCCTCAATGCCTGACACGTGTGTAACTATTCAATATTCGTTCGTTTTTAACACCATCAATAACATCGTTGAGGAAAAAAAATGAATGAAAATGTGTTCCCAAAAGGAGAATGTGTAAAGGAAGTTCACTGTTTTCAATTCTTAGCCGCAAATTCCATTTCATGAGACAGTGACAGTCACGACCGTGGGAGAGGCAGGAAGTGAGGGCTGGAGCGTCGGAACTGCCGTGGGGAGGACCACCTGCCGCCACCGCCGCGGATCCTGGCAGGCGCCCTGTCTGTGCTGCCTGGCTGTTGGCCCAGGAGCGTGGTTCCCACGCCCGGGGGTCTTGCTGGAGCGGTGCTCAGCTCTGCGCATGGAGAACAGCAGCCCCTGGGAGTCCTGAGAGGCCCCCGGTGTCCTGCGTGTGGGGATCTGCCGCCCGTCGACTCCTCCCAGGTGCCGGCGCACCTGTGGGCCTGCTTGGTCCGGGTTCTTCGCTCCGAGTGATACTCAGGAGCCTGCAATCTCTGAAAGCGGACACGTCTGTTCCGTGGTTTTTCAAGTGAAAAAAGAATTTACTCTCACACAGAGTCTCCACGTCGCCCCCATGCCACCGCACTGGAGTCGGCGCGGGAGAAGCGCCGGTTCCACCTCACATGGCCCCTCAGCACCGAGCCCAGCCTGGTTCACACCTGGCAGGCCTCCCAGTGAATTCACCGCAGGAGCCGAGGGAAAGGCACGGGACCCCGAAAAGGTGCAAGCTTGCCCTCTGGCGGGAGCCCGAGGGACACGTACCACAGGGACCCTGCAGGAAAGGATGGGCCGGGCGCCCCCAAATGCATCCGGGGCCTGTGAGGGAAACACCATCTCAACTCTGTCCAGAAGGACGCAGCACAGGCCTGTAACACAGTCTTTCCTGGTCCAAGGAACCGCAGAGGAGCAGCCATCGGGTGCAGCCACACCGGGGGCTGAGGGAGTGCAAGGCGCTGGGCAGACCGGTTTTCCTCCTCCGTGATTTACTGACGAAACTTCATTTTAAATCTTTGAAGAGGCTGGGGCACGTGGCCACCGGCCTTTTAACTCCGCTCGAGAAACCAAGCGGTGTGATTCTCCTGCGACTGGAGGTGGTGTCTCACGCCCAGGAATAAATCAGGCTCCCTCCACTTGGGCACCCCACCATCCCCCGCCCCCGCCCCCTGCCACGGGCCGCTGTCGCCTCGCACGCACACTCCTCTTCCCTCACATCGCGCCCCAGACCCAAGCCTGCACACCCTCCTTGCCTGCGCCACCTGCTAAAACCTCCCTCAGACTCCGCATTTTCTGACTTTTGGTCACATTATCCCTGGAGAACACCCAATGCTCTGCCTTCAACTCGTCCCCTTCACAAACACGTCACCCAGCTGCTGTTCGCAGTGCTCAAGCTTCCGGAAAGTCTCCCACAAGTCAGTGTAGAGAGAACGGCTCCAGGAGGGGCGCCGGCTGTGCTGGGGGCCGGCTCAGGGCCGCTGGGCCCTCACAACCGTCCACGCCACATGTCGACAGGCCCTGCGGCCCGCGACGAGCCCGCGCAGAACGGGGAGCAGTTTGAGTATAAACTCTCTCCGGACACAGGCCACTTCCCTACAGAGTGCGTTCCATTTTCTTTTTGAATAAAAAATAATCAGAAATAGAAAGGAAGCAAGGAGTTGTTCTCAGCCCCGCCACGAGCACTGCAGGGGCCAGGGTCCTTCTGAGGCTGCGTCACCTCCTCTGCCAGTTTGTCACGCTGTCCTGCCATCGGCCAGCAGTGGGGGTCACAGCGGGGGGACAGGGGAGCAGAGGAGGGTCCGCCCCAGAGAAAGGGACCCCACATTCTGCGATCGCACTCACACTCTCTACGGACGACTGAAAGAAGTGCGACCTCGGGGCTGTGCGCCAATGCGCTGACATTTGGGGGCTTTGATGAGCGTTTTACAACAGATTTGCCAAAAGAAGCTCAGAACTAAAGCTCAGGACGTGCGAGGGAAGAGACAGGCGCCGCGAACGCCAGCACCCAGCACTCCGGCAGAAGCCGTGGCCCCTGGACTCACCGTGGTGGTAGTGACCTCCTCCGTCACGACCTTCAGCGTGTCCACCACCGAGATGTAGCCCAGCCGCTTAGCGATGGCCAGGGCGGTGTTGCCATTCTGGGGGGGTGGGGAGAAGGAGGCCAGTGAGCTCACCGCCGCCCACGGCAGTGGCCCCTCCCCCCGCACCAGGCACAGCTGAGGAAATCACTAGTTTTCACCATCACATCTGAACGTGTCTTGGTAACTTCCCCAGACTGGAGCACAGGTCGCCATGGTAACACAACAAGCGGCATCTGCCGGCTCTTCCTAACGAGAAGCACTTGCGGTTTTAACCCCTGGCTGCTCAGCTCTGCCGGCCGGGAAAGGGGCGCCTCCCAACCGTGGGCCGGGGCCAAGGGCGGGCCTGCTGCCCAGGCCACCCCCACCTCGACGGCACAGGCTGCACTCAGTGCAGTTGCACAGGGGCTCCCGGGCCCCCCAACACCAATGGCCGCAGCTGGGCTCCCCGGGTGGGTGAACCGCACCTTAGTTCACGTTCCCATGGCTCCGCGGAAGCCGCATGGGAGATGGCCGGGCCGGCGCCCCTGCAGCCTGAGCCAGGCCTTGTCCCCAGGCCAGGCCTGGCTGTGCCCTCCCTGGGACCTGCCGCCACCCCAGCTCTGGGCCCTGAGGGCGGGGGCTCATGGCAGGAGGGGGTGGGAACGGTGGCACCCCGCACAGCCTGGGGCAGAACGACAGACCCAAGCTGTCCTCTTGGGAACAAGGTGAGAGAGCGGGGCTCTTCGGGAAAGACAGTGACGCTGGGAAGAGAGAGGAGGCCCAGTGCGGGACGGAGCCGCTCCATGAAAGGGGCCACAGGCTGAGTCTCCGGGGCTGAGCGGGCTGCGAGGGCAGGGCCCTGGCACGGCACCCGTTCACCTATGGGGTCTCCGTCAACGCAGTGCACTAGCAGCAGAGGGGACTGCGAGGGTGGCGCGGGCAGGAGGGGCAGGGCGCGGCGGGAGAACCGGGTAAGGGGCTCACCGTGGTGGTGGCGTCAGGCCGGGCTCCGTGCTGCAGCAGCACGTTGATGATGTGCGTGTGGCCCTGCTGTGCGGCCTGGTGCAGGGGCGTGTAGCCGCTCTGTGGGGCCAAGGGGAAGGAGAGCTCGGTTAGCCAGGGCGCGGAGGCCTCCGTCCCACCTGCTTACGACAGCGCCACTTACGGGGGCGCCCCCACCCCCGCCCGCTCCCAGCAGCAAGCACACCCACACTCCGTCTGCCCGTGAACTGAGCAGGGGCTGGCCGGCCCCTCTGTTCCCGTGTTCTGCATGTTCGCATGGAAACCCGTGCCGAGAGCGCTGGGTGGACAAGACGTTGTCAGTGAAACCCACAGAGCATCGCACGGACTGCTGCTGCCCTGCGTCTGCCGTGGCTTCCCAGCGGCAGCCGGGGGCTCGCTCTGTGGCAGTCTAAGATTTCCTTTCCCAGGGCAGCTTTGGCTGAAGGTGAGCCTCGCAGAGAACAGAAGCCCTTTGAAAACAAGTCTAAATTTAAATTTAGGTTCTTCACCACTGGGGTCTGAATTTGCCTCAGCAGAAAGCGAGGAAGCGTGGCTGCGAGGTGAGCGCGGGAAGGTGAGCAGCCGGCCTCTCCTGGATGGACACGCTGGGCCCAGGACGGAATAAAGAGCCCAGGACGGAAAAAACGGACTTCCCCATCTCGGAGGGGCCGGAACTGGGAGGAGCAGAGTGAAGTCGCTGCTTCAGCCCCTTCGGAGCCGGCCGGGCGGGAGGCCGTGGCAGGAGGCCGTGGCAGGCACGCCCATGCCCGCCTGGGGTCCTGCTGCGCCTGCGTCGGACCAGCTGTCCCAGGTCCTGACTCTGAGCAGCCATCACACCGTAACCTGCAGGAGCCCGTCCCTGTGACCTGTGTCACTGCACCTGCCTCCCATCCAGGCGAGTGTCCACTGTGGGCACGGGACGCCGCGCGTCCCTCCTACTGTCACTGCAGCCTGTCAGGGCTGGCTGCACACGGGACACGTGCTCCGCCAGTGGGGCGTCCCTCCGTCTGGAGCAGCGCCAGCTCTGTGCATCCCCACCACAGGATGACCTGGGAAACGGCCGCAGGGACACAGCTCCCCAGGCAAGTCACCCGCAGACACTTGAGCCGCGTGGTGGGAGGGAGCGATCTTCCCCTAAACTTTCCTCCATTCTGTTTACAAGTAGGTACTGGCCGAGCCCGGGGGCCTGTTCAGGGCCAACAGCCCCTCCCAACCCCTTGCCAGATGTCACCAAGCTAGTGACAACAAAGAGACACTCTTGCCCTCCATGGGCACCATGGCTAGAGAACTGTCCCAGGGATGGACCTTCCAGGGAGCTCAGGACGGTTGGCGGAGGCTCCCGCTCCTCCTCCGTGTCCTGCTGGGAGCTCCAGCCCCAGGGCTTCTGCCCAGCTGGAACCTCTGACCCCCCCAACCTCCCACTCCAGGTCTCATTTGCAAAATGAGGACTTCAAGTTCTGCGCTGGGTCCAACGTGCAGTCCACAAAATTTTCCTTTTGTTTATCTGAAGTTGGAGGAAAACGCTGGCAGGCGTGTTTCCTTTCTCACGAGAGCTCTGTGATCGTCAGGGTGTATTTTAAAAGGAAACGTCCTCTTAGGTGCTGCAGTGCAGGCCCTTTCTGCAAATTCTCAATAATCAATCCAGTCTGTTTGCCTCGAGCTGATGTTACAGGGTTTCATTCTAATTGTAAGGAACTAACAGTCCCATAAAACTAGTTTGGTTCACCAATTTGTGTACCAAGGCATAAAGGCTTGTGTAGTAGAGGCAATATGTAGTTTTATATTTTCATAGCAATACAACAATTTTGGTAACTATTGTTACACGTGAAACATGAAAAGGAAAACGCAGTTTCTTCTATAAAAACGTCATTCTATGTGAAAAAAATCTTATGTGTTTATTAAAAGAATGTCCTTTGAGGTGTGCATCTATCCACTGCAGACTCATGAAAGATGCACTTACTTCTGAAAGTAAATAAAATCAACATAGTTCATTAAAAAAACAAAACTGGAGTTAAAATGAGAATTTTCTCTCAACCAAATGTCCGTCTGCGTGTAGATAAGACCCCAGACCCCAGGGAGGCAAACGCTGTATCTGGCAGGAGGTCTGGCTTCCCAGCGTCACAGCCACCCCACGGCCAGCCTTGAACACGGGCCCGAGGGCCACGTTTGGGCTCTGCGAAGCCTCTCAGGGCTGCGCAAGGGCGCCTGCTGGCGAGCCCGCCCCTACGCCTGTGCGGGAGCTGACCAAGCAAGCACAGCGCCAGGCGCCAGGCGCCAGCATCGGAGAGCTCTGGGGCTCGTCTCCAGGTCCACCCCAGGAGGGCGCGAGGGCTGCTGGGAACCAGGCAGCAGCCATTCTTGCTGATGTCAGGTCAGACGTTCTAAACCTCCAGTGTTCAGTGTTTCTAATTTAAAAAGTAACTTTTTATTTGCTTATGCTTAGGTACGGACACACTTTTGTCTCTCCTTCTAAGAGAAAGTAGAGAAACTGACGTCCAAACTTCCCATGTTCCCAGTGAGCAGCATCGGAGCAATGTCTGAACGTGCGCCCACCAACAGGCCCACATAGAGCAGCCCCGGGGGTCCCCCCTACGCACACTTGCAAACCAACACGCATCACATGTGTCTCTCGAGCTGCGAGGGGCACTGTGCACAGCGGCCGTGGTCACACCACCTGCTTCTCCTGTGTGGAAGCCCCCTGAGCGGCCCACAGCTCGCTACGTTCTGACCCTGCTTTGCTGACGGGGCCTTTCTGCTGCCCCTGGGAGGACTGGGTGGGGCTGGGCAGGGGCCAAGGCCGGAAGGCCCAATGTCCCAGCAGGAACGCATGTGTCCTGCAGTGACATGCTGGCCTTAGCTCCACAATGGACGCTCTGAGCCATGGCCCTCGGGTCACTGGGATGAACAGTCTCGAACCACGGCACAAAGCCCAAGGTGCATTCACCACTTCGGAAGAACAAAGAAGCAAGGCCCCGTACACATGGCAGTAAGTGGAGCGCCGCCCCCCACCCCCCCAACAGCTGAACCCCAGCCGAGGGAAGTGAAGTGAGGACAGCGCTTACCTTGGTTTTGGCATTGACGTCCGCTCCCTGCTTCAGGAGGAAGTTGACCATTTTCACATTTCCATAGTGACAGGCCACGATTAAAGGAGTGTAGCCCAGCTGTAAACAACAAGGCACAGGCAAATGACCGGCTGCTCCGCAGGGCGTACGTCGGGGCGCGGGGAGGCGCAGACACTCCCTGTGACTGCACAGAGGCAGCTCTGTAGGCGTGTGCATCTTGCACACACTAACACGGGAGCAGGTCCGGAGACAGGAGGACCTCACACTGGCAAAGGAGGCCAGGCCAAGCATGGTGGGACCTGGCCTGACAAAGAGCTGAGAGACAAGCATGGGTGGTGGGACTGGCGGGGGTGGGGGTGGGGGTGGGGGTGGGGGAGGTCACGGCAAAGTGAGGGCAAAGCCACATCGACCAGGGTGCAAAGCAAGTGGGGGCGGAAGAGCATAGCAAGCCACCAATAGCTGAGCAACAGGGCGCAGGCAGCTTAGGCCTGCAAAACTGGGGTCCCTTCCTCTGTCCACCTGCACTTGATTCCAGCAAAATTGAGACCAATCCCAGGTTTGCAAGTAGGAACGTCACAGTTAACCCAGGACGGACTCCTGAGGGGGGGACCTGCTGGGAGCCACCCTGAGACCCGCCTCAACGGTGGCAGCGGCCCCTGTACCTTTGTGTGGGCATCCTGGTCAGCCCCGTGCTTGGTGAGGACATCGGCGACATTCACTTTGTCCTCCTGGGCTGCCAGGTGTAAGGCGGTGAGTCCACTCTGCAGAGAGAGCAAGAACGTCAGGGCAAGAACGCGCACTGCATCGTCCCTACCGTCCCATCCTGGACAAAAGTTCCGTCAACGTGCAGCCTCTCCCCCAAAACTGCGTCTTTTGAAATTGAAGACAAACTGTCCTAGCCGCTGTGACTCTCCACCTGAGACAGATTCTCTGTTCGTCGACTCTTCCAGGAAATCACGTTTCCCACACTGGGCCCTTAGATCGTGATCTGAGACTTTTAAGATAAGTTGGTGAATAAGCTGCCAGACAGCAGCCTCTCCAACCCGCCCGCGCCCCTGCTGAGTCCATCATGCCGCTTGTGCGCCCGACCAACCAGCCACGGCTTCTGCTCGATGAGGAGAACAATAGCCCGTGTTTTCATCAATGAAACGAAGCATCCATGTAAGAAACATAGCATCTCATGAAATGAGGATCAGAACAGTTTTCTCTTGCACCCAAAGGCAGTGTGCTGTTTTCTAGAATCTTCTAAGGACTAAATAAAAAGTTACGCCCTTGTTTATACATGGCATCATGAACTGGCCGCATTTACGGAACAGGCGTGGTGCACGTGAGTCAAGGGATGATTTTAATTAACCAAATGCACGACGGAGGCGCAGCTCAGAAGCCATAAGGACAATGGCACAGGGGCAGGAGGACGGGCCTGTCCCTCACAGCCGCAGCCTGGCAGCCTCACTCTGGGGTGGCAGCTCCTCCAAGAAGGTAGAAACCTAACGAGTGTCTCGAAGCCGGGACACCTTCTCCGTTAGAAGGGTGTACTCTGGGTGCCCATCAGGGCCAGGAAGCCACCAGCCCCTCGGGTGCTCAGAGCACAGCGCTCCCGCCTGCACGGCTCTCCTCCAGCCTCACCTGCTCTTTCTGCCCCTGTGCCAAGGCTGTGGCTCAACTGGGAATGTCCCCTCCCCGCCCCACCCCCCCCGTCCTTAAAATCGGCAGGCCTGTCTCTGCTTTCAGGTGGGGCTAAGAAAGCTAAGCCGTGTCCTCCAAAGTCTGTGATCTCCAGCCACGTGTCCCCTGCAGAAGCCGAGTCCCACAGAGACAGGAACGTTCCTCAGTGGGAAGGAGAAGGGCTTATTATTTGGGGTGCAGAGCCTTTTCTTTTTATTTTTCATCACATGGTGGTTGGGGAATGAACATAGTATCTCTTTCTGTATCATGGTTATTACCGAGAAACAATTACTTGGCAAATGTGGAATTACCAATTTCAGTTGGTTTTAACCAGAAAAAATATATGAGCTTTTCGAAAGCAATGGGAAAAGCTGTTACCACTTTTGCTTGTCACCTGAGACACTTTCAGTTGCAGCTGGTTTCAGTGGAGTGTATGTAAGTGTAAAATAGCTACAGATGAGACAGACAGTGAGTGGATAAACAGATGTAGAGACAGGCGTGTCCTTGTAAAAATGGACATATTCTGACAGGTGAACGATGTCTTTCCCCCGCATCCCTGGCTGTTATTCCACTGTGGGTAACAAGCAAGTCCATGGAGGCTGCTCTCTGGCAAAGGCTGAGAGGACTCGGCGCTTCGTGACAAACATGGATGCTCAGGCACCGTCCCCGAGCCAGGCTCTTAGGGGCTCAGACATTGCGGCGCCCTGCACGCTGCCCCCAGGCGCAGCGGAAGACGAGGGCTGGGTGGGGGGCACGGCCCTGCAGGCAGGGCGGCCGCGTGCACAGACTACCTAGACCACAACGGCGTTGGTTCTGGGGAGCAACAGGGGAGCCTCCTTGGACAGGACCTCAGGGAGCAGAGAAAACCCATCACAGAGACGTGACCGGAACTGACTTGCGGGAAACGAGCCTCCAAGCCTGGAGCCCGTCCTGGCCCTGCCGTGTCCCCACTCCACAGGCCAACCCTCGCCGCCCCGGGTCCTGGAAGGTGCCCGTATCCCCGTCCTCTTAGGCCGGCGTCTAAGACTCGACAGAGAGACCTGACTGAAACCAGCAGACATACCTTGGTCGGCGTGTGCACGTTGGCGCCCTTCCCCAGGAGCAGGGCGACCATGTCCGTGTGGCCCTCCTGGGAGGCCAGGTGCAGCGGGGTCACGCCCTGCTTGGTGACCACGTTGGTCTCGGCTCCGTAGCTGAGCAGAGTGGAAGCAATCTGCATCTGGTTCTTCTTGGCCGCGATGTGCAGGGGCGTGTAGCCGTTCTGCAACACCAAACCGGCACACCCCGCTTAGCAGGCGCCGGTTCCGCCCTGAAGAGCGAGGTGAAAACCAGCCCGCCGCCCCCCAGGGCTCCACACCTCCCTGGGCCCCGCCGCGCCTGGCCGCCGCCACCCCTGCAGCTGCCCTGACGGGACGCCGCTCCGCACACCTCCGTGGAGGTGGCCGGTCTGGACTCGCGCTCGTTGGTCACGACCGCCCCAGTCAGACGGGGCCTTGGGACCACCTCCCGCCAACACGCTGCTCGCGGTGCCCTTGACTCGCGCAGGAGCCACGGCAGCGCCGGCGGCCACGGCCCAACGGGCGCTCACACCAGCGCACGCAGCCCGGGGAACCCAGGCCGGCAGCCGTCCGGCGCCCTCACCTTGGCAGTGGCGTGAGGGGAGGCCCCCTTCTCCAGCAGCAGCAGAGCCACCTCCTGGTTGTCATAGTGGGCGGCCACGTGCAGCGGGGTCAGGCCGTTCTGCAAAGGGCAGGCGGGGGCCGTCAGCCAGGGCCGGTAGCGGCCCTGCGGCCGCCGGGATGGGCCAAGTCCCAGTTCGTTCGTTAACGTCCCCGGTGGGAACAAAGGAGCCAGAGTAACAGCTCCTCCCGATCGCACGCTGGACACTCGGCCAAACCTGGGGACGCCGGCCGAGGCGACACCGAGGGCCCGGCCGTGGGGACGGCTGGGGCGCCGCGCGGCGGGGACCACGCCCGCCCCCGCCCCGCCCCCGCCCCCGCCCCGGCGCGGGCCGTACCTTCCCCGCGGAGTCGGGCGCCACGCGCCGGTGCAGCAGCAGCGTGGCCACGTCCAGGCTGCCGTACTTGGCCGCCACGTGCAGCGGGGTGAAGCCTTTCTGAAAGGGAACAGCGGAGAGAGGCGCTCGCCTTCCCGACCGCGGACACGTCGCCGCAACTCGGAGGCGCGGGGGGCGGCGCCGGCAGCACCGGCAGGACGGGGCAGGGGCGACGCTCTCGGCCGGGCAGAAGGGCCCGCCGTGGGCAAAGCGCGGCTCCGGCCGGTGCGGAAACAGCCCCCTTTTTCTCGCCTCTAAAACCAGCGCGACTGAGGCAGTCGCGGCTTCGTCCCCGCTCCTTCTCTGTCCTCTTTTTATAAAACCCGAATTCCAAACCTTTTTATTTACGTTTTAGGCTATTTCAACAGCCATGACAAAAATACTCAGTGTTTCAGTGATGTGTATATTCTGCAGAAATAACAAAAAACCGCTCACGGCTGAAAAGCGCCTCTCAGCCCAACTGGCACCCCCTCTCCCACGGGACCCGCGCGGAGGGACCGGGCCTCGGCCCCGCCGCGGCCTGGGGGCTCTTTACACCGCCCGCTCCGGCCTCGACGCCCGGGCTCTCCCCTGGCGCGGTCCTCCCCCCTCAGGACGCCGCTGCGCCGGCCGCCCGGGCTGCGCCTCTCTCCTCCTCTCCCGGCGTGACCCCCGGGAACAGCCTTGTCCTTCCGGGGTGGTCGTCACGTGCTGCCTTCAACTGAGAGGACGTTTTTCTCTCTGCGCTTTTTGGGCATTTGAAGCTAATGGCGCCCTGGAGGAGACTGAACCTTGCTTTTCGAGAGGGCGCGGCAAACACAGGGGCGAAGCCGGCCACCCCGCGAGAGGGTTCCGCGACACACCCCGTGGGAGGGAGGAAGGATGACCGTCGCCGCCGCCTCCGTCCAGCCCCTTTATTCCCGGGGAAACCACTGTTTGACAAAACTACCTAGAACCGCGGCGTAGAGTCCGGAAAGCGTCGCCGAAGTCGCCATCTTCCTCTGCCCCCGCGTGACCCCAGCGGGGCCTCACTCGCCCCCGGGGTCTGCGGAGTCCCCGCATCGGCCTCACACAGCGTCCGCCCCGTCCGACCCCTGGTCCCCCAACGCGGCCCCCACGCGCCACTGCCTGAGGCGGCGGCGTGTGCAACCCCGACCGGCTGCGGGGCGCAAGGGGCGGCGCTTCCTGTCCTCGTCCGCGCCCCACGTGGCCGGAGTGCGTTCCCTTGTCCCCTCCGCCTGAGAGACGGCCCCTCAGTCTCTCGTAGGGTATTAGTACGATGGCTCTTATTATGACGTTTGTTGCTTATTTTCTAATTAAAAAAAAAAGATTTCTAAGACACTTTCGGCTCTTCAGATGGGCATAACTAGTAGCCCAAAGCGGCAGCGTCCGCACCTCAGGCCCCGGCGAGCCGCCGCTCTCGCCCAGGGCCCCGCCTCACCCGCGCGGCGCCGGCAGGAGCGCCGTCCGGACCGCGGCCTCACCGCCAGCTCCCCTGCGTGGGCTCGCCTGCCTGCCGCCCCCTCGTCTGCACCAGCCCGCCTTCTGCTCGCGGCAGCTGACTGAGCCCCCGTTCTCGCCTGAGTCCCACGCGGACGGGGGGGCGGGGCTTCAAACCGAACGCGTCAGGAGCGGAAAAAGTGACGCCCAGCGTAAGGTTTGAACAGACGTGAAATTCCGCCGGGCGCGTCGCCTCGTGAGCGACTGCAGCACCTGAGGAAGCGGGACTCCCGACGCGGGTCTGTCTGGGCACGAACCGCTGCTGCGCGGGAGCGGCGCGGCCGCCGGCGCTCGCGCCGGAACATGCGGGACGAGGTGCAGCAGCCGCCCCCGCGGCCACCGAGCGCAGGAGGCGCCCTGTGCTCAGGGGTCAAGGGGGCGGAACCGCGCGCCCCCCGTCGCAGGCACGGCCTCCCGACGCCCCGTACACGTGGAAGAGACGCGCGGAGACGCGCCGAGGACTCCCGGCCTGGGCGCCGGCCTCCCCGGGCAGCGCCGCGGGCTCGCGTGGCGCCGGGCGCCCCTCACCTTGGTGGCCGACGAGTGGGCGGCGCCCGCCTCCAGGAGGACGGAGGCCACGCCCACCTGGCCCTCGCGGGCCGAGATGTGCAGCGGCGTGTGCCCGCTGGTGGTGGCGGCGTCGGGGTGCGCCAGGTGCTGCAGCAGCAGCTGGACGATCTCGGTCTTGCCCAGGCGCGAGGCGATGTGCAGCGGCGTCTGCTCCTCCTGCAACGCAAGGCGGCGCGGTCAGCGGCCCTGCGCGCGGCCTCCGGTGTTCCCGGGGGTCTCCCGGACCCGCTATGCAACAGGAAATTACTGCGCCTGTGGCCGCAGCTTATTGTATATTTTGCTGTGGGGGGAAGGGGCTCTGTGGTCGCAAATCTTCCTTAGATTTTTTAAAGCGTGTGCTCCCATCAGCTTGGTCATTGTTTCCCAGGCCTGGCCCAAAGGCCGGGCTTCAGCCCTCATTTATGGTTAAACAGGAACCCACCCTGGGTTCTGAGTAAGAAAGAAATCCAGTCCGGAAGCCCTAAGACCTAGATTCCCCGGCAGAAGCTGTCGCCCAGAGACGGAGCTTATTCTGGGAACCATGTCAAGAGAGAGAAACCAAGGGATTCTGGGAACACTTGGCTCTCTCCTCGCGCAGCAGGCCAAGGATACAAAGGCCGGGCGAGCCTTGGGGAGAGGCTGCGGAGAAAGACGACATTGTCATCGGATTCTTACAGCGGTTCCAGGACACAGTGCAGGAGGGCCTGGGGCTTGCATCCTGATGTGAAGGGAGAGCACCGGCAAGAAGGGACCAAGGCTGGCGCTCTGGCAGCCAGGCGCTTCCCCAGGCAGGCACAGAGGGTGCAGCCCTGGGGGCGGGGGCTGCAGGACGTGTCTGCCGAGGCCCGCGAAAGCCACAGACTCCAAGGTGCAGTCGGGAAAACGGTTTCGGTGTGAAGAGAGCCAGGCCAAGCCATTCCCCAGGAAAAATGCTGTACAACTGTGTGTGACCTCCCCGATGAAGGGGGTCTGCCATCACAGCCGGCTCGGGGGCACCTCACGGCCACGGGGAGGAAGGGCAAGCAGAGGGGCCCCCGGCCCCAGGAACAGACGGAGGAGGGATCACAGAGCAGGGGTGGCCCCGTCCCAGGATGCAGTGTCTTCACGTTGCCAGAAGGGCCAGGAGGGAGCCGCAGGAAGACAGCACGCAGCACCGCATGAATTTCAGGGCTGCGAGGCAGGAACTAAGCCAGGGCTTTATAGAAAGCTGCCGGATGTAAACGTCCCGTGAGAGGCCCCCTGGAGCCCACCCTTACGGCAGACCCTGAAGGTCGGCATGACATGTCCTGTGAGAACATTTCCGGGGGAGGCAGGTTGAGAGGAATTAAGTGAGCCTCCAGGACGCCCACATGTCTCCACCTGACCTTCTGCAAAAAGACACATAGTAGCCATGGGGAACACCAGTGGCACAGGTGGCTCAGCAGGCAAGGTGCTGGCGGCACCTCAGGGGGGAAATCCTCCAAAATGCAGAGGACTGGGGGAGACCACCCACTACAAAGATACACTGGCAACAAGACACAAGGAGCTGGAGGACAGCAGCTCTGGGCGCTCGCGCTTCTGGTTCCTTCCCTGGAGTGAGACGGGGCTGTGAGCAACAGCACCTGAGGACCGGGGGGCGGGGCGATGATGCGCCTTAGCCCAGGGCTGGGAGGTGGCCACGGCTCGGTGGGGCTGCTGCGGACTTGGCTAAATGACCAAGTGTTCCCTGCCCCCCTCCCCCGCCCCAGTTCCCAGACCAGGGAGCACCGGGGCACTTGTCTTAAAAACCCAATGAAATTATCTGTCCTTCCCACTTGCCTCAACTTTTGGTGCAGTCACACCTGGAATGGGAAAAGGGAAGCACACACACATTTGGAAATAAAGTCCTTCCACCGGTAGTGAGGGCGAGAAGCCCCATGGGGTTCTGGGTCATTGTTTCCCTGTTGCATGCGCGGCCCACACTGAGTGAACTCAGGCCAGGGCCTCAGAGAACAGGAAAGCGCAGGACAGTGTTCATGGGAAGAGCTTAAAAAAAGGGGAGGCAGGCCCCGTAGATGTTTTCCAAGTAGAAGGGGCAGCAATCCCGCCGTGAGGCACGCTGACCAGGACCCAGTGCAGGTCAGTGGAGGCAAACCCCGGGTCACCCCGGGGGCTGCCATCTCCCAGAGTCAGGGGCGCGCACTGAGCCCAGCTCCTTCACCACAAGGCCGGGAGGTTTGAAGCCCAGACGCATTTTTCTGCCCTGTTTCCAGCTAACAGGGCTCCCAGGAGCCACACAGACAGGTAGCTTTTCAAGTTGTGGTGAAGAGTTTCAAGTGAGTTTAGGGCCCAGGGACGCTCAGTCCCCAGGGCAAACTCCAGATGGCCCACTGGGCGCACAGCACACGGCGCCTGGAGCCAAGTGCTCGCAGCAGGGTGGCTGGGCCTTTCAGTGAGTCCTTGGAGGACCCTTCAAGGAACAGGCCCAGGGAACCTGCCACCCTGCTTCCAGCCTGTCAAGCAAAATGTGGCTCCGTTTCGGACTGTCCATCTGGGGAAACGCCAAGGACCAGAGCAGCGGTGTGAGATCAAGAGGGCATTTTCAGAAGAGCACGTGTAAGGGTAGAGCACATATGGGTGCATGTGTGGGGAGCCACGGGCAGGCCAGCCAGACAGGTGCTTGTTTTCCCGCCCAGCACCACCCCTTCGTCCCGGAGCAGCCCTCCTCCTGTGGGGAGTGGACACCCATGCATGGGGCTCAAATGCTTGTGAACCCTGGTGCACTTCCCGCTATGTGTACTTACTGCGTTCTTCCTTTCTGCCTGGAAAGCGGTTACTGAGAGGTGGCCCCCACCCCTGCCCACACCCCCTGGGAGGTGGGGCGCGAATACAGCACATACCCGGGCTCTGGCGTCGACCAGGGCACCGTTCCGCAGCAAGCACCGCACGACCTCCACCTGCCCCGCCCGGGCCGCCATGTGCAGGGCCGTCTCCCCGCGCTGCGGGAGACAAGAGCGTGGAGGTGTCAGTGGGCCCTGCACCGGCAGCAAAGGGAAATGTGCCTATTCGTGAAATTCAGCCACACACCCAAGTTTTGGAAAACCTATGAAAAGCACAATCACTACTAGTCAGTCTGGAAAAACGTGGTTGTATCTTCTCCATCTCCCTAAAGCTAAAACAAACTGACTTTATCCATTTCCGCCCATAACCAATCAATGAACTCACCCAAACATCCAGGACGCCCTGAGGCTGATGCTGCAACCACCCGGCAGAACTTAAACTTGGTGGCAGGAAGCTGTCCTTCAACCCTCAACCTAAAACCTGCCATCGTCACTCTCAGCTACATGATTGCGACTCGGTCACATTTTGGTGAGAAAGCCTAGATGCTGAAGACCAGTCAGCACATCCCAGAAGTCACGTCCTCCATGCCATGCTCAGGCCATTCCCTTCCAGAATTCAAACGGTGTTTCTGAAATCAGCTACTACTGTACTTCTGACCTGTCTTTGTGGTAAGAGACCAGGCAGGGACTGCCTGTACAAACTCTGGCCTGCCCAGGAGGCCTCTTAACTGATCGATGAGCACATTTAATTACAGAAGTTACTGGGAAAACCGCCAGAGGCGTGGAGGGCAGCTGTCAGCATCCACTGGGGTGGGCGCTCGGGCATTGGGTCCCCATGCAGCTCCGAGCTGTCAGCTGTCACACTGACAGGAGACAGGGGCTTAGACATTAGAGTTTTCTCACCGGAAAGCATGTTAATTATTGAGTTTAAAACACAGGGTTTTGTCTCTTTTTAATCAACGTATTTTAAAAACAAGTAGTTTGGGACAAGGCGAAGGTTCATTCATTCAGACAATTTTTCAGTTATAAAAGAACATGATACTGAACTAGAAGTTAGTGCCGTTAGTCACAACTGTCCTAGAAAATAAGGCTGATTACAACCAAGTCAGGTAAACCTCTCCAGGTGAACTAACCTGACCTGAAGTTGTTTCTAACAAATCCCTGACAGAAAATCCCTGACAGATCTCAGGGAATGAGGTCTTCTCACCCCTTGCACAAGAAACCCTTAAATCTAGAAGATTTAAGAACTTTTGGTTTTTATTCCCCGTACTCCAAGACCCCATGCCTTATAAAGTTATGAGAACTCTATTTCAAATGAGTTCACTCTGGAAGCACTAAGCTGGATGTGTGTCTCCTGTAATTACTTCCTTCTGTCGCCAACTCATTTACCCTCCAATGTCCTTTCCTGATGAGGTGTGCTGACTTCTGTAAAGCAGACGCCTCTGCGTGAACTGTTTCCTGAAGCAGCGCGTTACTAGGGAGCGGGGTTTGCCTGCGGGCCCTGGGTGTGGCAGGGCCTTCCTCTCTGGGCGACCATGACTCCTGGCTCGTTCTCTGTGTCGCTCAGAACCTGTCTCTGAATAGATGAAGCTAAGATCCTCTAAATATGTATATATTTTTAGAAAACCTCGAATCTTTACTCTATTCCCAGGTCTTGTAAAAGTATAGCAATTTTACTGACTTTGGTAGAAACAAAGACAGAAATGAATTTTCTTAACAGAAGTCCAAGAGGCCTCAGTAGTCAGTAAGAGATTTTCGAAATGCAAAATGTTTCTAATATCAGTCTTACTATTTCCAATAATTTTATTTTCTACTTAAATAGCTATTTTTATGGTATTTACACACTTGAACTGATAGTTATATGTAAAACCCAACGTATAGTAGTGTTACATTCAAAGAGAAGCCCCATACAGACCCCCAGTGGTGGTCGTCTTTGATTCTAATTTAATGACTTCGAGGTAACCGACTTCTATAGTAATTTTCCCTTACCTTTTCACATTATTTTACCCTTGTTTCGACATAAGCGTAAGAAAATGAAGGAGGGCATGTACAGTTTTAATCAATAACTTTTGTTTCCGGATTGTTGGGCACCTCCTCTCACTCAACTCCGTTGCTGCCTTTCCCTCGAGTTGACTGAAGGCCCGGGGAGGCTCCCTGCCCGACGTGGCGTGTGCAGCGGGCCGGACGTGAGAGGGGCGCGCTGGGCAGCCCGCAGGCGTGGCCTCTGCTCCGCGTGGGCGGCCACGCGGGGCCTTTGGGAGCGTTCTGGAAAGGGGCATGGCCGACTGTGGAGTGGGTGTGCCTCCCACAGGCTGAGACAAAACAGGACTGGCAAGAGGGGGGAGAGCTCAGGTCTGACGCAGCCACCAAACGTCATGTCCCTTCTCAGTGTTAGAACGGACTGTGCCGGCAGCTTAAAGGGACGTCCGTCAGAAGCACCAAAGCAGGACAGACGACATTGCAACCAAAACAAAAATGCCACGTGGTTTCAGGCAGCACATGAGGCTCCAGGCGGGTCAGGAGGACCCCGCAGACAGAGCAAGCAGACGAGGTCACATGGCAACTTAATCCGCAGCTGAGCCCTCCTGTCGGGAGAACGGCAGGCCCCAGGCAGCCGTGCGAGAGGAAGCTGGGCCCTCCAGATGCAGGGAAATCCATAAACATGGACTTTATATTTCAATTTTTGAATGGTTTATGCTCTTGTCAGTCACATGAAGAGGGAATATTAAATAACATTTAAAATCAAATAAACTTATTTCACATAGATTTTGTCCATGTATCAGATACCAGCACAAAAACTGTGTAAAATGCCAAGGAAGTGAATGTAAGAGGAGATACAAGAAGTGACGGTGCACACTGTCTCGCTCCTCGAAGGGAACCAGATGCCCCCAAATCAGCAGCGTTGTGGGTCAACCGCTTTCGAGGCTAGGACCCATCGCACTAATGGGCACCGGTGTTTCTTGGGGAGAGCTCTTTGTGGCCTTTGCAAAGCCCTCACCAGCCCGGGGCCCCGCAGACACCACTCAGTGGCGGCATCCTGTGAGTGCAGGCGAGGAGGAGCGCTGGGCCACCAGACCCCAAGACAAGGACAGCAGTACAGAGAAGCGGGAAGGAAAGCCCTCGTTCAGATGAGGCGGAGCGTTCCGGGCACCGCGGCATCCCGGCAGGAGAAAGCTAGGGCAGCTGGGGGCAGCGCCCTCTCCAGGTGCGTGAGGGTGGGGTGGGGCCGCTTCAGGTAAGAGAGGACACCCTCTCCCGACAAAACCAAATGAGGACGAACGTCCAGTGGGGCCAGCACGTGAAACCCCAGGTCACTGAAGCGGAGAGGGCCTGACCACGAGCGCACAGCCTTCTGTGGGCCTGTCTCTGGGTCATCAAGTGCCCTGATGGGCCATGGTTCTGACTTGGGGTTTGTCCTGAGGTTACCCCTCAGCCTGCAGCATGAGCCCAGGCCCCTCACTACACCCCCGCCTCTCACTGCACCCAGGCCTCTCGCTGCTCCCGGGCCGCTCACTGCACCTGCGCCTCTTGCTGCACCCAGGCCTCTCGCTGCTCCCGGGCCGCTCACTGCACCTGCGCCTCTTGTTGCACCCAGGCTTCCCACTGCACCCGGGCCTCTCGCTGCACCTGGGCCTCTCGCTGCACCCGGGCCTCTCGCTGCTCCCGGGCCGCTCACTGCACCTGCGCCTCTTGTTGCACCCAGGCTTCCCACTGCACCCGGGCCTCTCGCTGCACCCGGGCCTCTCGCTGCACCCGGGCCTCTCGCTGTTCCCAGGCCTCTCCTGCACACAAGCCACTCACCCCTCCTGCGCCTCTCAGTACACCTGCGCATCTTGCTGCTCCCAGGCCTCTCCTGCATGCGGGCTGCTCACTCCTCCCGCGCCTCTCACTGCTCCCAATGCCCGCTTGCTGCACCCTGGCTGCTCACTGCACTCGTGCTGCTTGCGGTCGGGGCTCTGACAGTGGGAGGCGCCCACCCCCCTGAAGCCTCCAGGACTGCCAACCCTCCCCACCACGGGGCCTGGGCGGAGTCCTGCAGTCACCCCACAGCACACGTCCCAGGCTCTCTCCACACACGCGCGAGCACAGACAGGCAGGCAGACAGACAGGCAGTCAGAGACAGATGCGGACAGTCCGCACCAAGCCGTACTCACAATGTTAGTGACATCGGGGCAGGCGCCGTTCTGCAGCAGCAGGAGCACAATGTTCAGGTGGCCCATGAAGGCCGCCACGTGTATAGGCGTGAGGCCAGACTGCGGACAGAGCACACGGCTGTACCCCGCACGCTCGGGTGCCCGGCCCCCAGACTCGGGGCAGGAGGGCGCGCGGAGGGGTGCGCGTGGGGAGTCGGTGACAAGCGGGGACAGTGTCTACCTCTGTCACAGCCTGGATGGAAGCCCCATATTTCACCAGCAGCTCCATGACTTTGATGCGGTTTTTCTTGCAGGCAATGTGCAGTGGGGTAAAGCCGTTCTGTGCAAAAGACAATTGGGTTAGTTGGAAACATGCACGACGACTCTCGCAACGCTGCATGCTGGCACGCCGTCACACGTCGCTGCATCGTGCGCCGGTTTCCATGACGATCCCTGCTCACATGGTGATGGAGAAAACAGATGCGCACAACGGCATGGGCCGGCTCACCCAAGCGGGGCTGGGGGCCGAGGACTGGAAGGGTCAGGCCACCCCGCTCGGCGGCGATAGAGAGGCGCACGCTTTCTGATGCAAGGGCACATCTCAGGGCGCAAACACCGGCCATCTGCTCTCTTTCAAAAGTCCAAGGACATGACAGCCTCCGAAATAAATGTGTCACCTTTGCAACTGTTTTCTTCAGGGAGCACGTGCTTCAAATCAGCACGAATCATTATTTATGTTGACACTTTTTTATATCCTATTATATTAAAAATGTTTATAGGAAGTTCTATATTAGCAGAAATCATTAGGTTCATATTTTTTTTGAAGTCATGCTTATATTTAAAAAATTTATATGTTCATGAAATATATTCTATGAAGAAATGATTATTAAGTTTGTGACTATTTTAAAGAAAACTTTGGAGAAGTTCTGGGATAACTGGAAGGAGAGCTCTCTCAGAGGCGAATGTGGAGACGTCAGGCACTTCTGAACTTCTCAAAGTCAGCTAATATGCAGGGACTGGGGGAGGGTATACAGAAACCTGTTAACTAGCCCCATGCTTCATTCCAAATGTGGTGTTTAGGTTCTGTGTTTTTATTTGAACGATGATACCGCATGTGGAATAGTTACATGATAATGATAGGGACTGATCCCCGGTCAGTATCTTTCCAGACCCGCAGTTCCTAGTAACACGTGTGGTCTCAACCCGATGGCTTACTCCTCACAATGTTTGCTAAGTCCTTCCCCACTCAGGAGCTGCATAAAAGCCAGATATATAGAGCCACGAGTATATGCGGCACTTAAGAGATTTCTAATGACTAAACTGCAACATTTTATGTGCGTATTGACCATTCTCCAATTGAAAATGGGTACTTTCCTCCTTGTGAGGAAATAAATATCCTCCCATAACTGCAGATAACCCTAAAAGTACATTTGCTTCCCAGGCAATGAGGCATGTACTGATTCTGATAGAAATTTTCTAAATAAAAATAAGAGTTACCATTTGAGCATTCTAACAACATCCTATCATCTTAAGCATTAACAGAAGACTAATGTAAGTGACATCAACCACGTACACGTGGAGGAGAAAAGGTTGGCTTTTAGTGGGAGAATTAGGAACGAGGCAAGAGTTAGCGCGGGCAGGCCCTCCTGCCGGGGCTGTGGTTAGCAGAGGGGAGAGCAGGAAGACTCACTCAGCGTTAGACTGGGACGCACAGGCTGCGGGACGGCCGATTGCGGACGGTTTGCACAGAAAGTCTCCTGGACGCCAGGCGCTAAGCGCCCTGCTCTCGCCTCAGGCGGGGACCCCAGCCCACGAGGGAACGGCTGAGTGAGCTCTCCTCAGGCTGACACCCTATGCTGCCTGACGCGGCACCGCCTTCCGTTCTGCAGAGGGTTGGGTGGAGCCCAGCTCTCTCCCACATTCACTTGGACCCCACAGAGAGGCAGGTGTCTGAACTCATTTTACGGAGAATCCCCTGCTTGTCAGCTCCTGTTTGCCATTTCAGATCATCATCCCTGCCCTCCCCCCCCACCCGAAGTTTCCCACCTACTGCAACTCGCCCATCGTGGGGACACCGCCTTGGTGTCCGCGTCATCGCTCCGTTCCCGCGGTCATGCCACGGCCGACGGAGGCAGGCGCCTGTGCGGGGACACCCCGCGTATCTGCACTGCCGTGGGGCCGCGCGACACCCCCACCCCCCCACGCCCACGGCGTGGCCGGGGCCAGCGTTACCAGGGCTCGGGCGTTGGGATTGGCTCTCTTGTCCAGGAGGAGCTTGGTGACACGGTAGTGGCCGCAGTGCGCAGCGACGTGCAGGGCCGTCAGGTAGTCCAGCGTGACGTCGTCCACGGGGGCCTTGTGCTGCAGCAGGTGCTTGACGCAGTCCACGTGGTCCCCCTGTGCGGCCATGTGGAGCGGGGACAGCCCGTTCTGCGCGCCAAGACAAAGCAGACCACGTCCCGCGTCAGGCGGGCGGCCAGGCTCTGACCCCCCGCCAGTTAACCAGCCAACTCTAGTTAGATGACGTGCAAATGAACCCGTGAACGACTGAACGAGTGAATGTGTCATGAGCAAAACAACGAGCGAATAAGCGACTGTGCAAGTGACCGAATGAACGCGAGTGAGAGTACGCGAATGGCTCCCGGACGAGCGGACAGGCCAAGAGTCACGCAGCCGCACGCGCAGGAACGACACCCGATCTCAGAAGGCGGCCGGCGGGGTGCGCGCGGCCTCCACCGTGATGTGACCGCCGCGGACATCTCCGTGGCTGAGGCGGCTTTAGGCTCTGGAACGGTGTCGCCGGCCTGGCCTCAATTGGATAAAGGCTCTGTACTGGTTGTAACATGGCCGGTCTGAAACTTTGTTACTTCCACTTAAATTTCAATCTGTTCAATCTGTTCTCCACAAAACTGCCCAGAATTACGGCTGCATCGCCCAGCCCGAAGGGCTGCCTTTCACAGGCAGGCCTGCCCAGCACACGCGGCACCGGTGGGGACAGAGAGGACGACGACAGCGGGCTGCTCTCGGCTTCTGACCGGAGGCCGCCTGCCGCGGCCCGGGGCACGTCCACGCAGAGAGTGCAGACGTGCGGGCTGCCCCGCGCTCCAAATAACTCCAACTAAATAGTCAATTAAAGCACAGTTAAACTGCCCGGCTGGCGCGGCTCCGTGGACGGAGCATCGGCCTGCGAACCAAAGAGTTGCCCGCTCCATCCCCAGGCAGGGCACAGGCCAGGCTGCGGGCCAGGTCCCCAGCAGGGGGCGCGCAAGAGGCAGTCGCACATGGATGTTTCTCTCCCTCTCCTTCTCCTTCCCTTCCTCTCTCTAAAAATAAAAAATTTTTAAAAAAATACAGTATAAACTGAAAAATATTTGCTTGATTGGCGGCCTTATTTTCATCGCTCTCCCTGCGAACAGCCATGATGGGCTCCAACCCTGACGGACGGCAGGTGAAATGGGGAGAAAAGGTAAGAAATGTCCTTTGTCTGGTTTTTGCTGGTAAGGACCCAGGTGTTGCTGCACTTCCTGTCGAACAGCTGTGTGATTACTTTCAGTGCCTCAGGGCAGTCCCTGCTGCCCCGAGGCAAGGCTGGCGCGCGCGGGGCCGCCCGGCCCGGCCCCCTGAAGCAGGCGTGCGGCTGTGGCAGCCTCGCCATGAGGGCCCGTCGTCGAGGCAAGGGTCCCGGGGGGCCGCGCTGGGGCACGCGGCCCGGGCTCTGCCCGCGCCTGCCGGGGAGAACGGCGCGCCCGTCACCCGCCCTGCGCCGGCCCGCTCCCCATCTCCGCGGCGTCCCCAAGAGTCACACTGCAGCGCTGAGTATGCCGCGTGAACAGGTGACTTTATGCGTAATTTACAGATGTCCCAGAGCCTCATAAAAATGCAAACGCCTAGAACGTAAGACCATCTCATTGACACACAATATCCTTGTCTACTCATAACACAGCGATACTCACACTTCCTTCTGCAGTAAGACTAGCAGGTAAAACATAGAAAGAACTTGAGGGCACACGTTTAATACATCTCGCTGCACGCATTTGTTAAGTTTAAATAATGTAAAAGCTGCCACGCATGCCTCCATCCCAGCATGCCGACTACGGCTCAGTGACGAGAATGCTGGGCTGATGCTGTGCATCGCGGAGAAGTCCCCGGGGCCTCACCTTGGTCCTGGCCAGCAGGGGCGCACCCCGCTCCAGCAGCAGCTCCACCGCCTGGTCGTGTCCGCTTCGGGCCGCACAGTGCAGCGGCGTCAGCCCGTCCTGCCGAAGAGCCCGGGTTAGGCCTGGGGCACGTCCTTCCAAAGCGAGGTCGCGCCGACATGACCCCGAGGAGAGTGTTTCCTGGCAACTCAACATAGGGGCACGAGGACCGCTCTCGGCTCAGCGCCAGGGGAGGAGCGAGAAAGGGGGATGGACGGAGGGGACATGAGCAGGGCAGAGACCGGACAGGCGCCGGCGGGCGCGGGCTGCTAGGCTCGGATCCTCCTTTCTGGGAACCAACCCAGAGATTATAGTTATACTGTTTTCATTTTGGCTGACCTAACAGAACTTACATCTAAAAATTCTTTACTTCATTTTATCCATCTAGGTCCACTCCCAAATTGTCACTATTTTCATAAATTTCCTAAAATGCCACCTAAAACACTTAACGAGGAATGGTCATTTTTTCACACTCTGGAAAAACCTTTATAAGAGTTACACACATATTTTCTTCTACAAACTACACAGTTATTTCTCAGAGGTAACATGGATTATTAATCAGCTGCATTAAAACTGCGTCAGACACAACTGTGGCACGACCACATGCTACGTTATTTATAGAGCTTCCTGCTGCGTTTCGGGCAGCTTCTGATGTGAGAGCGACCGCAAGCGCCCTGTCTTTGAATCCTGTTTCTCTCTGGGGTGACGTGGCCAAGAAGCAGAAGCTTGTGGGAAACACAAAACGAAACGTAAGAACAACGGGTAAGAGTGAGCGAGACGTAAAATCCTGGGTAACATCCGTCAAGTGGTGATTTTGGGCTTCAAGTGGTGAAGGGCAGAGAGGCTGAGGAGGCAGGTGGCAGGCGAGGGGTGCGCTGGCCGACGCCCGGAAGCTGGGGGCCTCGGAGCCCCTCACTCGCCCAGAACCCCACGGCCCGTGCTCGGGCCCCCGCTGCCAGGGCCCAGTCCCGGGCGTCGCTCCCCTGCTGATGAACACAGCTCACCTGCACCCTTCCTGATCCCACAGCCGGGGGTTCCGAGCTGGACTCCCAGCTGCCCCTCCAGGCCCGGGCTCTGCCCTTCTCCACGATGCTGGGCGGCCCACCCCGGGCTCTCTGGGTGGTGTTGGCCAGCTCCCTGCCCTCTGGCTTCAGGCTGTGCCGGCCCATGGGCCACGTCTTGCTGCTCTGAGGAAGCGGTTGCTGAGGGTCCCCTAAGTCCAGCTGTGTCTCTTTACCCAAAGCAGGTTCTGCGCTCGTCTCCCCTTGGTTTCAGGCCTGGAGGCTGACAGCCCCGCTGGGCCCACCCCAGGGGACACGTCCTGTCCTGTGCCTTTCCCACAGCCCACCCGCAAAGGGTGAGCAGGCCCTTTAACAATCTCTCTGCAAATTACCAACTTCTAGGCCCGTCGGTTCGTTCAGGGCCTTGCTGGTAACAGTTCCTTGCTTTGTTAAGTCTATTTGGCTGATTTCAAGACCCAGGAGGACCGAAGCAGACCTCGCAGGGTGGGCGAGTGGGAGTCAGCGGGGAAAGCCCGCCCTTCCAGGGAAAACCCGGTGCTGCGGGGGGGGGGGGGGGGGGGGCACGTGGTGTTAAAGCTCCCAGGGGGCGGGGCCTCAAGCGAAAGTGCGGGCAAGGTGGTTAAAAGGCGTATGTGTTTGCATCCCATTGACGCCCTGCGGTGCGGGTGCAGCACGTAGCTGTACAGGGCGGGGCAGGGGGGCGTTAGATCAGCCCGATTTCCCACACACGCTCCGGCAGGGCTGCGCTGAGACCCAGAGCGCAGGGGACACAGGGCAGGGGACACAGCGCAGGGGACGGAGCGCAGGGGACACAGGGCAGGGGACACAGCGCAGGGGACACAGCGCAGGGGACACAGGGCAGGGGACACAGGGCAGGGGACACAGCGCAGGGGACACGGGGCAGGGGACACAGCGCTGGGGACACAGGGCAGGGGACACAGGGCAGGGGACACAGCGCTGGGGACACAGGGCAGGGGACACAGCGCAGGGGACACAGCGCAGGGGACGCAGCGCAGGGGACACAGCGCAGGGGACACAGCGCAGGGGACACAGCACTGGGGACACAGCGCAGGGGACACAGCGCAGGGGACGGAAGCTTCCGGGCTGCAGGGCCGCCTGGCGCTGGGGGGGGAGCGCAGGGCCCCGGTGCCCGGTGCCTTGGCCAGGACATACAAAATGGCGTGACCTCTCCCTTCCTGCATCACTCACAGCCTGTTTGAAAGTCACGAGGGCACTTGCCCTCAGGCCTTCGTGGAGAAAGTGGTGTTTTCCAGAAATTCCTTGAAATAGTCGCCGGACGCTCTCAGAGGATCGGGAGGGAAGTATGGAGGAAGCCCGTCCAATCACCCCCACACTCTGAGGACGGCCAGGATGCGCTTGGTGCCCAGCCCCCCGTTTTCCTGACGCCGAGTATCTTCCGTGTGAAGAATCACATCGAATGTAACCGCCCAACGTGAGGGCTCGGGGTATTTTCTACAAAGTACGGTGACTCAACACCAAAAATCCTCATCGAGGTTTCGTATGCAAGGATTTTTTTTTTTTACTTAAATTCTTTTTTAAATTAAATTCTTGAGCCTGTGTTTGAAAGTTACCTTGTTTCCCCCTCCACAGTCCCCTTCCCCATGTTCGTTTTCCTTCACTAGAATTGGTTCCAATCCCAGGACGCTGACAACTCTGAGAAGGGAAGGTCCTGGGGAGGGGGGGGTGCTACCCGGCCGCCCCCCACCAGCCTCCCGCCCGCTCCTTCCCAGTCCCTCCCTCAGCTAAGACTGCTCTTCCCGCCGCCCCCTGCAGCCTGCGGATCCGGCGGTCAACCCGCGAGGAAGCTGCTCTCAAACCCACGTCTCCCTTTGGGCGTCTCAGGTCTCAAAGGGAGGCCTCGCATTTTCTCCATCAGAAAACGAGGCGAACCTCCCAGGTGGCTCACAGTGAGGCACAGCTGCATTCGCAGAGAGCGGGCTGTGCAGGGCACCCAGCGCGTTGGGTGCCCGCGACGGCTCGTGGCCACCGCTGTTGTGAGTCTCTAAGGCAACCCCTTTTTCTGATGGGCTGAGTCTCGTTCATCCTCCTTTAATGTTTTTGCATACTTTTATTGTTTGTGTTGAAATATGTATTTTAATATTTTAACCATAAACCTTAGGTAGAATATCTTCACATTTAATGCATAAGTTTAAAAATAAAAATGAGTGATGCCCTTAATAAAACCTGAGTTAACGCTATCATTTGTCACTGGCTATAAAGTTTCTATTTTAACGGTAAACGAGGAGCTTCAGAGACGGGAGCCAGGGCCCCGGGAGCGCGTGTCCGCGGGCACCCCAGGCCCGGGCCAGCGGGGGGGCCCCCTCATACAGGTGCTCTGCTTTCCTGGGCACTCGGGGGAAAAGGGCAATTCTGCCTTGCACGAGAAACCTTCAGCAAGGTCTGAGGTTTAAATGCCATGCAGGAAGGCTGCTTCCCTGAGGGCACAGGTCTCCAGGCTCAGGGGCGGGCCCCTCAGGCAACGCGGAGAGAACGCAGGGCCCCCACGCAGAGGCCGGGGCGCGGGCGCTCACCCTGGTCTTGGCGTCGATCTGGCCGCCGCGGTCCAGCAGGAGCTTCACCATGTTCGTGTTTCCCCTCTTGGAGGCCACGTGCAGAGGCGTGATCCCGTTCTGCAGGGGGAGAGGCAAGAGCAGAGGCAGTGAGGACACGCGGGGCATGCGCACAGGCCACGGGGGTGGGGGGCGAGGGTGCCTAGTGGGTGACCTGACCCCGGCCCTGCGTTTCAGGGGCTTCCATTGCTAAGGGAGAAAAGCACACTAACCGCAAAGCACTGCAGTTAGCACGTAAGAACGGAATAAAGCCGCATGACTCCGTTGATCGCTGCAACACAGGTACTGGACATGCACTTTACAGCCCAGAGCCTGGGCACTTTTGCATCATAGAAAATTTCAGGGTCCACCCAGGACAGAGCCCAAGCCCAAGGCCAGCGCTTCGTTCTCCAGCACCCACACACGCCGAGAATCCGGGGTCGTGGAGCTGCCTGCACTCAAAAAAAGGGCGCAAACGTACTCACCAACACCCGGGGAAAGGGGTTTTCCCCACCACCTTCAGAATGATTCAGTTTGAGAATAACTGAACACCGTTTCAGGGCCAAAGACACCCAGGCATAAAAACACCATATGTGAATTATAGGTATTTTATTGGCTATCATCTATCATCATTAGGGCAAGGTTGTATACCTGATTTTTTGTATGTCCTAATTTTGCAAATGTTCAAATATTGCATTTATTTATTCATGTTACGTATGTGTGTGCCCAGTGCCGCTGAGTCGGCCCGACTCCTGGCGACCAGCGAACAGGTGACCACGCAGGGCCCTGCCCTCCCAGCCCCGGAGACTCGGCTCCGTCCCCCTTTGTGTCTCCTCTCTCCCTGCCACCTCTGTCCCCAGAGTCACTGTCTGTCCCGAAGAGCCCTGCCTTCTCACAAGGTGCCCAGCAGGACAGCTTCATTCAGCCCCAGCGATGGCTCAGGCTTATCTGTCTGGGACCCACGGGTTCATTTTTCTGGGGGCCCCAGGCTCCAACACCCTGTTGCAAATGAACCCGTGCTCCCCTCTGCCGGCCTCACTGTCCGACTCTCCCATCCCGACGTAGTAACTGGGAAGACGAGGGGTGGACGGTCCCCGCCTCGGTCTCTAAGGACAGGTCGGGGCTCCTGGCGACCTCTCCTGATGGCCCACTGCGGCCCTTCCGCGGCCCAGCCTGCCCCTGCCTGACGCCGTGGCTGCCGTCTCTGCACGTGAACCGAGGACCCAACCGAGGACCCAACCGAGGTCAGCAGGAGCTTTAACAATGTCGGCACCTTCGTCGTCTATGTTGAAGTTGTGCGCGTCGTCTGCAGCCACGATTCCCTGAGGCTCAGACGCTTTGCCACTTTCTTCTTTTGCTCTTGTCAGAAGTTTCAGGTCACGGCTCCTTTCTGCCAGGGAGGTGGGGTCACCGGCTGAAGTGACTGGTATTTCTTCCACCATCACTTCCTCCTCCTCCTCCTCTGTCTGCCATCTTGAGTTTCTTTCCTTTTTGCCTCCAGCATTGTCTTTCCACAGTCTCCCTAATAACACGTCCAGCTTCAGCCCACAGTTGCTCTGGTCTCACTCGATTGTGTTTATCTGTCTGAATCTGCAAGCCGCGGCCTCGCAGAGCCCCAGAGGCTGGTCTGCTGCGTTTCGGGGCCCTGGTACAAACTTTGCGACGGTGCTGACTCTGCTGCACTTGCTGCCCGTGCGCCCCAGTGCTGCACTGTTGCTGGTGTGCCCGCGCTGCCGGGGTGGGGCCCGGCCCGTCTCAGACGCGTGCGCGAGGCTTCCCCTCCCTTCTCTTCAGCCTCCGGAGCTGGAGTGCAGGCCGAACGGCGGCCGTGCTGCCTGGCTCCCCCGGAAGCCTGGTGGGTACCGGCGGCCAGGCCTTGCGCGCTGGCCCCTCACCGCAGGAGCTCCGTCCTGCCGTGTGAGAGCCCCCTCTTTCTCCCACGCCTGTCATTTCCAGGGTGGGATGTCCCACCACGGTCCCTCTAACGCGGTCACGCCCTGCACCTCGACGGCCAGGCCGTCCGCCTCCCGTCCTGCGTTTCTCGCTGCGTGTTCCCACCGCAGGGCTGCGGGGTGGCGGGCTCTCCTCCCGCCGGGGGGCACGTGCGCCCCGCCACACCCTCCCTTGTTTTACTGGGTTTAAGACGATCACTCAGGGAATCTTTCCAACATAGAGTACAACATAGTGTGTGTTATGTGTTTTGGTGACTCTTTATACGAGCAAATTCTCAATCCTTAAAAAAAATTCCCAGGGTCAAACTGTGTACCCTACGGCCACGAAGATGTATAAATGTCCTGACACATCTTATACTGAGTGGTTTAAGGGTTCAAGTATTGACTGATTTGAAGCTGCTACTCATGACTCATGGTGTGATCTTTAAATCTAACGGCTCACACGGATGTCCAAGTTAAGATCCTTCTTAACTGTTCCTGATGGTTTGTGCATGTGAAGAAGCGGTATGTGCGTGTGTGAATAAATGGTTTGGGCGCGTGTGAAGCAATGGTGTGCGCAGGCGTGAACTCACACGTCCTCATCTCCCACGTGCTAAGCTGTGACAGTGCCCGCGAGTTGGGTGGAGAGAGGGAAATCGAACCTCCGGCACAGGCGCAGGCAAGGAGAGAGAACCGCGGCCCCCGCCCCGCCCGCGGCCGCGGCCCCGTTACCTCGCGCCGCCCGCAGCGCACACCCGCATGCGTACCCTGGCCGTGAAGTCCACAGCGGCGCCACGGTTGAGGAGGAGGGTGGCCACGTTGACGTTCCCGTAGTGGGCGGCGATGTGCAGGGGGGTGAAGCCGCTCTACGGGAAGCAAAGAGACAGGTGGTAAAGCGTCCCCTCCACACATGGAAGTCCCAGCATCGCGGACAAAGTCGCGCAGTGACTGTCACCCTGACCCGTGAGCCACGCAGCCCAGACAACAACAGGTGCTTCAGCGAGACTCAGCTCTCGGTGCCACAAGGGTAAGTAACCAGGCCTGGGGACAGGCAAGTGGCCCGCCTACACTTCTGGGCATGTTTCTAACCCCCTTAACACTTGATCTGTTGGTGAGGTTTACTATTTAAACAAAACCAGGTTTCTTGAGTTGGTTTAGCATTAGAGAAAAACGATTAAACAAATAAGGTTTCAGCTGTGAGAATAACATAATTATGAATAAAGATGTTTTCTCCAGAGAAAAACTCAAAATTGATACTTTTTTTTAAAAAAAAAACAGTCAGCAGCAGAGGTCGGCGCTGTGTCTGTGGAAGAAGCCGTGAGGGGCCAGCCCTCCCACACAGGTGCACCGTCCGCGGCCTCGACCTGCTGCAGCCGGGGGCCCGGTCAGACTGCACTGTTATAAGGAAAAAGCTTTAAAAACTAACTGGTATATTTGGCATGAATGTGAATATAAAATTTCAAAAAAATAAGTTGAACCTGATTTTGAATGTTATTTAAACCAAATTTTATCAATATAATAAGATGGATATAAAATAAAATAAGCAGGTTAAATCAATTATATGGGCATTAGGGAACTGTTACTCTCAGAGAGTTTAAAAATGAATCTTAAACTCTTAAATGGAAGAAGAGTGCATTTTCTTTCATTTCTTTTTCTGATGAAAAACTCGTTAGAGGTTTGCTATTTTCACAATAGAAGCATAGCAATTTCTATTATTAAAGAACATAAAGCGATATTATCCTTGCTCTGTGATTTCATAATTCCATCACTTAATAAGAGATTACAGAGCAACCAAGACTGTTCCTAATAAACTGGGCATCGGTCTTGCAGTTGGGAGGCTATTTTGTATTGCTCTCTTTTATTTGAAATGAACTTTGATGTGTTTAGTGTGCACATTTTTAAGAAATACTACCTGAATCAAACCATTACTTTTCTATTCACTTGACAGACAGGCTTTGCTGGCTTTGCTTTTAAAAGGCCTAAAAACCACACTCAGCTCCCGCAGGGACAGAAACCCGTCTGCACCATCAGCCGCGAGGGCTGCGAACGCCTTCCGACGGCAGAGAGGCCAGACGCGAAACAACTGCGGGAGCTCGCCACCCGAAGGCCACCCGCAGGTCAGGGCGTTTTTATTTTGTGTCTACTTGACACCACATATTCATGTCAAAATACAGGGAAAAAAATCAGTCTACAAACTGGCTACTGTCATAAAGCGGCAAATTGTTATAATTTATAACAATTTTTTCACTTGTGTTTTTCACTTTTATCTTCCTATTTCCTGCCTCCAAATATGTCCCGAATGCATGTCTATGGTTCAGACCACAACGTAATTACACAAAAACACAGTGACTGCTGGTGAATCTTTTTCAGATTATTTGAGTGCAGTCCTATTACTTCTGCATTTGCAAAAATAAACTACCTCGTCGCCTCCTTGCCGGCCACGGCGGCGCCTCGGCCCCACGCCAGGAGGAGGCCCACCTGAGGGGCCCGGGCTCCCCCACGTGGGTCCCGCGCGGGAGGGCCGTCGCCGGGGGCCCTCGGCGAAGTATCTCTAAGTCAGTACGAACCTACCAAACTGCTGCTTTCAATGCAAAGCTTAGAGCCAATGCTATTTTCAAAAATGAGTCTTAAATCGCCAACAATCACCTAAAAAATTAGAGGTATTAAAACCAGTCACTAAGATACCCATTGGCATGGTTTCAGTCTTGGCGGCCTCACCGAGCAGATGCGCCTGCTGTTTTTAGATCTCTGACCTAAGTCTCAGGCACCGAGAGGGAGCAGGACAGGAGCGATCCAGGCACATTGCATCTCATGGTGGTCAGTTAATAAACAGGAGTCTAGACTTAGAAATGTGCCTCCCTCCGTGAACCCTGCGGTGAATGCTGGGCCCACACCCAGTGTCCCCGAGCTGCCGGCCTGAGCGTCCGCGCCGATGGAGGAGGCCTGACGCGGCCTGTGGGGCGGACGACCTCAGGGCAGGTGGGTGAGAGCCGCGCTCGCGGGCGGCAGCCCGTCGCCCGGTCGTGGGCAGCGTGGGACAAGGCCCGCCGACGCGGGCGGCGGGGGGCAGGCGGGGGCAGGCGGGGGCAGGCGGACGTCCCTCGCTGGGCTCTGCTGACCCTGAACCTGGGAGCCCCCGTGAGGCAGGGTCACAGCCCGGTGGCCCCCGGAGGCGCGATGCCCACCAGCAGGCGCACGTCCGGGCCCGCATCACTCCACGCTGCACTCTCGCGAGCTGTTTACATAGTTTCACTTAATAAATAATGCTTCAACGAGGCTGCATTGCACTTCGTGAATTATTCATTTCCCTTCATTATGGGGAGAGTTTCCAAGCTAATTTCCTAATAATGGAAGTCCCAGTCATTAGTGTAAATTAGCAAGCATTTGTTCTAATTGGACAAAAAACTAAAAACAATAAAATAAAGTCAAAGCAAGCAAGTTGGGATGAGCGGATACGGTACCTCGGTTGTCCTGTTCACCATCATCTGAAGCAGTTGTGCGGGGAGAAGAGGAAGACGTTACACATTGCAAAGCAGGGAGCCAGGCTGCCTGCTGCAGCCGGACCCGCCCCGCACGCCGGGCGCCGACCGAAAAGGCCCTCACACCGCCGCACGGCCCATCTCTCTAACCCTGCCCTTACTATTTGTACTAGAAATGAAATAAACAGGTCCATTTCGTTGTTGCAACAGCACTGTCTCACTGCTCTGCTGCTGTGCCCCGCGGGGCCCCTTCCTCCTGAACCTCCTCGGAAGGGAACCCCCGTCTCGGACAAGCAGGGCAGCTCTGCGCGGCCCCTGCGGCCCCTCCCGGCCGCCCCCGCATCCAGCAGGCCCTCCCTCCCGCCCCACGTCCGGTGCGGCCTCACCTTGGACTGCACGTCCGCGTTGTGGTCGTTCTGCAGCAAGAGCGCGGCCGACTTGGTGTCGTCCTTCCGGGCGGCGATGTGCAGCGCCGGCAGCCGCACCTTGCCCTTGGTGTCGTTCTCCAGCAGGACCGCCACGGCCTGGTCGTGGCCTTGCTGCAGGGCCACCGCCAGCGGCGTGAAGCCATCCTGCGGGGGCAGAGGAGAGTCTTCCCTGACCCGTGGGGGCCGGGGATCTGGCGACGCTTCCAGGGACAAGCAGAGCGGACGGAGAGACTACCCGCAAGGGCCGGAGGAGGGTACCGCCGGCCGCCCGGGGACTGGGACGGCCCCGCAGGCGGGGAGGGACGTCGACGCCCCGACTCCCACGGCAGGGCCGCAGCGGCTCCTTTAGGGCTGTCGCTGCCGGCCTGGCACGTTCGGGGTCCCCAGGCTGGGCACCGGAACACCCCCGAAGAGCGCACCTCCCCGCTGGACTGGCCCTTCGCCAGCGGGGACGACCCGCCGCGGCCTTGTGTTGAGGTTCTGCTTCAAGCCTGTTTCGTCCGACATGGTGGCTGCCCCCGCTTTCCTCTGCGTCCCATTGCGTGAAACACCTTTTTCCAACTCAAGTGGGAGCAGCGACTTTCAACCCTTCTCATCTCACGGCACATAAACCGGTCAGAGGGCAGCCCCGGGCGGGGCGTGGCCCCGACCTCCGCGGCCCCGACCTCCGCGGCCCCGACCTCCCCGACCCCGACCTCCGCGTCCCCGACCTCCCCGACCCCGACCTCCGCGGCCCCGACCTCCCCGGCCCCGACCTCCGCGGCCCCGACCTCCGCAGCCCCGACCTCCCCGACCCCGACCTCCGCGTCCCCGACCTCCCCGGCCCCGACCTCCGCGGCCCCGACCTCCGCAGCCCCAGGCGGGGCGTGGCCCCGACCTCCGCGGCCCCGACCTCCGCGGCCCCGACCTCCGCGGCCCCGACCTCCCCGGCCCCGACCTCCGCGTCCCTGACCTCCCCGGCCCCGACCTCCGCGGCCCCGACCTCCGCGGCCCCGACCTCCGCGGCCCCGACCTCCCCGACCTCCGCGGCCCCGACCTCCGCGGCCCCGACCTCCGCGGCCCCGACCTCCGCGGCCCCGACCTCCGCGCCCACCGAAAGGGTGTTGTTTGCCGGTCTGACAAGAAATCTGGGATGATTTTGGCTCATCCACACTGGACGGCTATTGCTGTGTCGGCTGCTGTCGTCCCCTTATTTGACGATCTGAGGGGAAAGGGGCCGGTGCCCCTGACCAACAGTCAGGTATCGCGTGTTTTAAACATGCTCGCGGCACATGGGCTGCGAATCGCTGCTGGAGAGACTTCTGTGGACACCATTTTCATCAGCGCACCATGGGGTACGTGCACGACCACAGTAAGAACGGAATTTTTAAATGAGAACTGAGTTTTAAATAAAAGGTGCTTCTTAGCTGAGGATGAGAAACAGCAGCCGAAATTCAGAACTCTGTCTGGCACCCACGAAGCGCTCTGGGCAGGAGGAGACGACGGCCCATGGATGGAGCGGGGTCTCGGTGCCGCGACCCCAGACCGAGGCATGAGCTCGCGCACGGCACGGGGACGCGCCTGCGCGGCGCGGACGAGGCGAGGACGCCCGGCCACTGGACGGCAGGACCGAGGGGCTGAGATCGAAGAGCGGGCGCTGCCAGCCACTCACCTCGGTAGCAGTGCTCTGGTTGGCGCCGTTTTCCAGCAAGTATTTCACCACGTCGATGTGGTTCTCCTGGGCAGCCATGTACAAGGGGGTGAAGCCATTCTGAGGACAAGTGATAAAAAAGACACTTTCAGCCATTCGTGCGTGACATTTCAACTGGGGCGGGGCCCGCGGCAAGGAGGGGACAACGCCGTGGAGCGGTGCAGCCCAGGCCACGCGGCACGCGGGGGAATGGCACACGCCTTCGCTCCCGCAAAGCCAGACACGTGCGGGGCGAACCCACGCCCACAGGCCGCTCCTAAAAGAACGAGAAGCACTTCCCCGACTCCCTGCCTCTGTTTTTGTACCAGGGACTCACGTGTCTCAGCTCCTAACACCTGTTACACGAAAGATATTTCCTCTCTTAATGTCTATTTATTCTACGATGCCTAGAACGCTCACCCCGTATGGTGAGTATGTGAAATAGTATTTCTGTTACGTATCAATTCATAAGCTCTTCACACACAACACTGTTATCTTGCGTGTACGCAGCGTACTTATTGGCACCCTCAAAGGTGTAAACCACTGCTCATTCCACCGCAGGCCCAGAGAGACCACAATCCGACTGAAAATTAAAAATCTGTATTTCAATGTTCTGAATGAAGTGGCAAGGTTTAAATTTTTTTTTAAATTCTCAGTCAAGGATACGTTTATTGGCTAGAAAAAGAGACAGAAGGAGGGAGGGAGGGAGGGGAACACCCATGTGAGAGACCCACTGATCGGCTGCCGCCCACATGCACCCCAATCGGGGATCGAACCCACAACCGGGGTATGCGCCCTGACGGGGAATCACACCTGTGACCCTTTAGACGACGGACAACGTCCCTCCCACGGAGCCGCCCGGCCAGGGCGGGCCTGTTCTCTCAGGAGGCCCGTCCCCGGAGCGCGCGGCCCTGCGGGGGCTGCCGCCCTCCCTGGTCGCCATCGGCTCCTGCGCATCCTCCACGTCGCGAACCGGCCTTGGGGAGCCTCCCAACATCACCCCCAGCCTCAAGGTCAGGACGATTCAAATTACTTCCCTAAGTGGATCCAACGCACAGCTGCAAAGGATGTAAAACCCAGTGGGTCCTAATTTCAGTCACAAAACAAAGACTATTCTGGGTGCTCTGCGGGGGCGGTTAGGGCGAAGGAACACGAGGTGCAGTCAGACGCTTGCCGGGCAGTTAAGAAGGCATTTTATTAATTAAAATACTGCACAGAGCTTCTCAGATGAAGCACCTCTGACAAGGCCTTGCCAGGTCACGAGACTGTGCACTTATTCCCACCATCTTCTTCTCCCCAAAGGTCCCCCCTTCAAGGGCCCCCCACCCCCAAACCATGCGATAACATGACAGTGAATCATGTCCTGAATCTTTCCAGGGAGGTTCAGTCTATGGAGTTTCATCACAAATCCGCCATTCAGACCACTTAACAGACAAGACCACCGTCACTCCCCGGGGACACGGCCCCCCAAGGCGCGAGTGAGGCCGAGCCCGACGGACACCCCGCGCACGCTCTTCCGCCCCCGCCGAGCCCCCGCCCCCGCAGTGCCATCCGCCCGAGCTGAGCGGGGCTGACGGGTGGCCCTGAGGGGCTGGAGTGGCCAGGTCGAGGGCCGCCGCCCCGAGTTCCCCTGGACCCAAGGATCTTCCAGTTTCTACTCCCAGTGGCGGGCAGTTGAGGGTGGCAGGCGTGAGGAGAGAAGAGACTGGGCCGCCCATTTGTTACCTAACCCTATCGGCCCAGAGGCACAGGGTTATGTCTCCACGTCCCACTCACGCACGGTGAGGCAGCCGCGGGCCTCACACGGCCTAAAGCGTGGCGCTGGGATCTGAGCCGCACAGACCCGACGGTGCCTTGCCGTGTCCGGGTACAGCTGACTACCAGGGGCACCTCGGAAAACACTGCGTTCCCACCGCCTCTACCACAGTCCCCACTTTCGGCTCCTTGTGGACAAATCGCTGAGAAAACACGGGAACTCTTCCCCACATTTCAAGTTACTCACCCCGGGGCACCCTATACATCAGCCGGAACTGATCTCCCTAAAAGCCGCTGGAGCTCAGCCTGCCTGTTTGAACATCACATCCACGGACGCCAAGAACATCCCCACTTATTTAATGAAGTCGGAGTCTGTTTCTCTCATTTGCAGTTGAAGGTGTCCTTGCGGACCAGGCGGCCACACTGAAATACACCCTATACGATCAAGGCAGCTCAAAAGAAAGGCTTTTCCGGGAAATCCAGTGTATCACAGAGTGATTCACAGACACAAAAGTGACCCATAGACACCTCTGCAGAAAAACATGAAGCAGATGTTTAAGGAGGTCAAACTACAAAAAAGCAAATGGGTCATTTTCAGGAAACACATCTGTCCTTCCAAGTGACGAGGCCTTAAAATTGTTTTTCTGTATAAATGGCAAATACAAACTAAGGTATCAACTGGCAGGTTTTCTTCCACGGCTATTTTTGCACATATAATGCTGACCATTATTTAAGTTGTTGACAGAAATGGCAAGTCCATCTCTCCCTCGATGAAGCACGTTCCCACTGAATCACATAAACCTGTATAACAGTCTCCGTGAAAGCTTTTATGGTGTATATAGAATAAATAACTTTAAAAATAAAAACTGAAACTGAATTTGCAGATACTGTGCCCTGATTACTCTCCATAGGAGCAATGAAAATGTCTCAATATCAGAGATAAAACTTTAACATAAAGTTAAGAACGTTTTAATAGTAAAATTGAATGAAAATTAAGTCCCTGATAATTTTCTTTCCATAAATTTTTCTAGACTTTCAAATTGCTGAAAAACCGATGGTTCAGGTTTCCAGTATGTAGTACCGTTTGCTTGGCACACAGGGCGAACGCTTTGGAAATGCGTACTTCGAGCAGCTTCCTGACGACCCAGTAACTGAGGCGCAGGAGGCAGCGTGTCACCCCAGAAGCCCAAGCCCTGGCCGCCGCGGGCGAGGCCGTGATGCTGAGAAAATGGAGAGGTAACAATGATCGGGGGGAGGGTACCTGGATCGCCTCCCCATGGGGTAAAAACCCTAAAACTGCAACACCCCTTTTGAATTAAGCCACAGTCACAATGTAACTCCTCACTGTTTTATTATTTTGAAGTTGAGTAAATATACTAAGGACCAAAGAATTTTGACTCTCCAGATTAAACTACTCAAATAAGCTGTAATTCTTTTACCTCTCTTGCATATTATACCAAAAAAGTATTTTTAATTAATGATTACCAACCAAGTCTCTTCTTTCTACCCAACTGTCTCTGAGAAAATAAAATGCTGGCCCAAGTCTTTTAAAACGCACCTAACACCCTGACTGGTGTGGTTCCGTGGACGGAGCGCCGGCCTGCGAACCAAAGGGTCGCCGGCTCCACTCCCAGGCAGGGCCCAGGCCTGGGTTGGGGCCAGGTCCCCAGTAGGTGGGCACGTGAGAGGCAACCGCACAGGGATGTTTCTCTTCCTCTTTCTCCCTTCCTCCCCCTCTCTAAAAATAAATAAATAAAATCTTTAAAAAAACACACACGCCTAACCCCTCCAAACGCTCACGGCTCATGTGGACCAACGCATCCAAAGCCGCCTTTTTCGTAACCTGGCGACAGCCACGCCTCACGGCCCGAGCCGTGTCCACAAACACGGAAGGGAAGCACACGGCGTGCTTTTAATGCCCACACCGCCTCGGAGACCCTGTATGTTTAGTAACAAGAAATTCTCGCTTCCCTCGGCAACGTGGATTGTTCTTGCCACTTACTGATGAGAGCCCTTTGCACGTCGGGTCAAAAACTAAAACACACGGTGGAGAGATGAAGACCTGACCACACCCACTGGGTTCAAACGTTTTTTTCTTAATTTCCCAAAGTATGAGTTGCCTTTTCTTTTACTCCCCCACATTTGTTTCTGTTTTCTCAGTTTCTCAGCCCGATGCACAAGGGGCTGGTGCAGGAGCTCCTGGGCCGCCCGAGCACGGGGCGGTGTCCCGACCCTGCCGCAGAGGCCTGTCGTCCGGGGCGGCCCGGGGGGGGGCCCCAAAGGGGGGGCCACCGTGCTAGTCCCAGCACCTCGTACTCTCCTCCCACCAGGCTGGCCCGGCCGCACTCAGTCCCTTCAAAATGCACTCATGTTGGACTCGGATGGGCTTGGGAAGGGATGGAGACCAAAAGGTGACAAACCAAGGTCTAGATTGGATGATGTTCAGCCTTTCCAGGCCACGTGTCCCCAGATACGAGCACAAAGACAAAATGTAAGTGTATTAATTAAAATTCAAAACTGAAAAACTGCTTTATTTTATTGGAAATGCAAAATTTATCATGCTTTTCAGTTTTGTATGTGCATTTATGAGACGCGTAATTTTACTGTGGGAATTCTACTGGGACAGGAGATGTAATTCTGTTCCATGCGAAGCGCCTGTCATTGCTCCGCGCCCCTAGGAGAGCAGAGGATGGGGAAGGCCGGTCTGTTTAGAACATGAAGGGCACACAGGTGCTCCCGCCAACAGGGAGGTTTTCCGCCAGACGACAGCGTGTCCCTGCACCTCTCTTACCCCTGGTCAAACGCAAGCACACGCCTTCATCCTAACCTCAGAGACTCTGAATTAAAATAGCAATTTTCCCAATTTAAAAAACCGAGAACCTGATGGAGAAAAACACCGCTCGTATACAGTAAGAGGGGAAAGTGCTGAAAATAAACCCTCTTCTTGGACCCTGTGAACACGACTCCCACTTTACACACTGTGTGTGTGGGGACAGAACAGAACATCCCACTGTGAGTTCTCTGCTGAGAGCCAAGGACGCGCCGTGGCCATATGGCAGCCTCCCGCGGGGTGGGCACGCGGGCCACGGCGCCTGCTTCGGGCTCTGCACGGCCCGGCTCGACCGCCCGCCACCACCGGTGGGTGCGGGCCGAGGACGAAGGGACTACAGGAAGCCGGCCTGAACCGGCGTTTATCCCTGCGCGTAGCGGGCACATGCGCCCTGAAAACCCTCAACGGGCAGGTGAACGCCATGTAACCCTGCGAGGGGCATGAGTGCTGGGGAGTGGAACGTGAAAGCTCAGGCAAGAAGTGCCCCCCCACGTGCGTGTTAGAGACAGGCAGCCCGCTCCCGGGACGGCAGCCCGGGACTGGGCGGAGCAAGGGCGGCGGGCGCGAGACAGGGCGGGGACTCAGGAAAAGCGGGCGGCGTCGGCGCGGCCGCGGTTCCCTGCTCCCTGCGGCGCTCCGCGAAGCCCGCGGGGCGGAGGGACGCAGCCAGGCAGCGGGACCCCCTCACCGCACGCCCACTGCTGGAATGGGCGCCGCGCGAGGTTTTAAAAACTGAAGGAGGGAAAATGCTTTTGCAGAGCGACACTGAACCCGCCTGCGTAATGCCTCTGTCACAGATGTCACTGTCGTCTGGAAAAAACCACTCTCCTTTCCAATGTTCTCAAAGACACGACGGCAGGCCGGGCGCCTGTCCAAGTCCCGGTCAGGTCCACTGGGAGGTCCCGCCTCCTCGCAAAGGCGCAGCGTCACGCACGGTCGGAACGTCACGTGGCGGAGCAGACGCGGGAGGGAGCTCGGCCTGGTCTCCGCCCCCAAGCTGGCCCGCCCCCCGGCGCCGCCCGTTCACCCGAGAGGCTGCGGACGGACGCAGTACCTGGGACTGGGCGTTAATGTTGGCCCCTTCCTTGACGAGAACTTTGACGACTTCGGCCTGTCCGGCCAGGGAGGCGATGTGAAGAGCTGTGTTCCCCTTCTGTTTGAAGACACAAAATAGAAGACGCTATCAGTTCCCAAACCTTGTAGAAACCAACCCGTACAGGCCCGTTCAACGGGGCCGGCGCTTTCAGGCTGCTGGGACCTGTCGCTCTGTCGAGGGAGCGGCCGACGGTGGGGGCGGGGCGCCTGTCTTACTGTCAGGACAGGGACCTCCCCCGGGCTCGGCCGCTCCACCCTCGGCCGGGCCGCGCCGCGGACCGGGCGGCCTGAGCGCAGACCGGCCCCCAGGGGCTGCCGGGGGCTCCGCCGCCGCCGCGCTCCACGAGCGTGGGCTCTGATCTCCAACCCGACAGCTATGACCTAGGGTCGGAAGGGCACCTGCGCTTTAAAATATCAGTAGAGTCTAAGGGAAAGGAGAAAAGGAAAACGATATAAATACTTAACCAATCCAAGAGTGGCTGTTTTAATGGATATATTACATTATGGGCAACTAGGGAAATAAATAATTTGATACATTCAAAATGATAGTTTTTGAATGTTTGTTTAACATTTATTGGATAGGGTCAAAGACTTGTTCTTAAAAATGCTTATACTGTCTTTATGTCCAGAGTAAGAAATCGGTTACAGTGAAGTAATAGCTTCACTTCTTTGGAACTGTCAAAGAATTACTGGTTTTGTTTTTCGGTTTCCACGAGAATCGCTGTGCACCGCGCTGGGAGCCCGGCCAGGCCACCGCTGGGCCGCTCACGCCTGAGGCGCTGCAAGGCCAGGCGCACGGCCGGTCCCCGGTTCCCTCCAGCGCCCGCGGTGCCAGCAGCGGCCCGGCCCCGCCCCCTAACCTCTCCGCGCGGCCCACGACCGTGGATGATCCCACTCCAGCCAAGGCAGTTTGCTTGATTCTGATTGGCTACTGTTTTCTTCCAAATTAAAGTTTCACCTTCTAAAGCCAAAGGTTTCTCACCACTAATGGTATTTTAAAAAATATCTGTTGTTTCTGCGATGGCTCCCCAATGACGAGGTTCAAATACATCCCAGCAACACAGAATCAACGAGGAAGCGTTTCGAGTGCACCGAGCACCTGCTGCACGTCCCTAAAAATGAGTCTAATTTCTTTACGAACTCCTCACGGGGACAAAATTTCCTTTTATCATAATCATTCAATCGATGATCCAAAATCTCCTTTCCATTGGAGTACAAGGGAGTCTCTCTATTCTCTTACTAAATTAAATGAAGACATGACAAAATACAACACTTTAATTAAAGCACGAACATTACTTGTTCACTTTCCTTCAGATGTTTACTACATCCGCTTATTTTTTTAAAAATGAGTTCACCTTGGGGAAAACAGGCGCTACTGTCCACAGGGAGTCATGTTAACGTAGACATTGCGTGACTCAAACAACAAGGCCAAACTGCTGGAAACAGGCGGGCGGAATCCCGCGTCACGCCTGCTGCTCCCCGCGTGACGCAGCCCGGGCTCTGCCGAGCGGAGCGCAAGAGCCCAGTTCCCGTCCTGCGGCGGCAGGGATCCCGGGGGCGCGCAGGGCCCCCAAATGCACGCGCCGGGCCGGAGGCCCCGGACCACGCGCGCCCCTCGCCCGCACAGCGCCTACCTTGGTGGCGGAGTCCACGGAGGAGCCGCGGCCCAGGAGCTCCTGCACCAGCCCCACGTGCCCCTCCTTGGCCGCCAGGTGCAGCGCGTTGAGTCCATTCTGCGGAAGAAGGAACGAGGCCTCAGAGCGGAGCCCGCGGCAGGGGCGGCGGCCCCCGAGCACCGGGCGGCTGCGGTCCCTGGGGCCTCTTTCCTTGTGCACCAGCCTGAAGCTACTAAGTTCAGAGAGACTGATTTCCAGTGTTTTTGGTTCAGAGAGGCAAAGGGGTTCTAAGGGAGAAGCAAAGTACACATGACATAGTTTCTGTCCCCAAGAGCCCAAAACATTGATTATTAAGCCCCTGACCATCACCTGTTCCCTCGCAGGCCCCTGCCTGTGGCTGCCTCCCGGCCTCTGGCTGCTCTACGCAGAAAATCGGGCCCACGCGTTACGGGCCTCCTGTCTGTCTGACGCACGTGAGGGAAGTGCCACAAACTTCCGTAACTTCCTCAGCTATGCTCACTGGGAGGAGGCGACTGGGAGACATGAGTTCCCAGAAAATACCAGAAGGCGCTGGAGAGCAAATACACACCAAACGGTCATGAGAGACCAGAGGGAATGACCCCTGGGCCCCCGCCCGCCCCCTCGGTGCTGCGCCACCTAGGCCAGGAGGTTGTCGCGAGAGGAGCTGCGTGCCCGCGAGAGGGACACCGGCCATCAGGAAGCTGTGACGGTCTCCCTCTGCCGTCAGCATCGACGACTCCCGTGAGGAACCATCTGCACAGCAGAGGAAAAGGAGCCGCTGCAAAGCAAGAGGGCCGACGGACAGACAGACCGACCCCCCGCCCAGCTCCCACTCCGAGTGCCCAGCGCAGGCCGCGCACAGCGGCTGACCTGAACGCACGGCGCTCGCTGCGGTGGAATCGAGGGTTGGTTAGTTTTACGAAGACCAGGAAAAGCAAAGCAAACAGTGGGGCATCTTTGTCAGACACAATTTAACTGATTTCACCATGTTTTTGGTGGGTATCCACAGGTTTCCGATGCAGACGCATTTCAAAACACGATGTGAAATAAAGACAAAGGCTGTACTGCGGGGCTTTGGGCTTTATTTTTTGGTGATACTTTCGTACACACTCGTGCACACACACGCATCTGTGTGTGTGTGTGCATCTCTGTGGGGGGAGCGGCGCACACGTGTGCTCTGGGTGGCAAAAAAGCTAAGGCAGTTTAGGGGAGACCAAGATGCGGGGGCACCTTGGGGAAACCAGAGGTCCCTTCAGGTCCAATGAGGAACAGTGGACGCTCTGAAGAGTTGTTCTGAGAGAGGGGTGGGCTTCAGGGCACCAGTCCTTGAGGTTCCCAGACTCGGTCGCTGCTGTGACACAAATAAGAGGAGAAGCAACGGGACGACGGACGGCTCTTCACTTCGATGACACTTCGTGACCCCCAGGTGGCCTCCGCCTGTGGCCGCGCCCCAGGAAGGCTTCCGATTTGGGCTCCCGGCCCCTCCCTCCCAGGCAGACGCAGGCGATGTTCCCAGCTCTCCGGGCCGCGAGGCGCCTGCGTCTCGGCTGGCGCTGTGCCCCTCTGCCCGCCTCATCCACTCGCTTCCGTGGCTGGACTCGAGACGCGGCTGCTTCCCACGACGTAACCGCCCCCCGGGACCTCGGTTTCCAGCCTGCCGCCCTTCCGCCGCCCCTCACGCGCTCGCTCACCGGCCCAGCCCTGCAGCCCCGCGCCCGCTCCCCGCCCCGCAGACAGTCCCTCTCGAACTTTACCTCCGCGCCTTCCTCCCCGGCAGCGAGCTCCTTGCTTGCCTTCCCTGGCTCAGCCAAACCAGAGGCCTGGCCACGAGGAGCTAACTCCCGGGGATCCCTGGCCCCCCGTGGCTGCAGAAGGGCGCGGGGCAGTGGGCCGTGCTGCTCGGGGCCCGACGCGGTCGGCGACCCGCTGCTGGCTGGCCCGTGCCCACCTGCGACGCCAGCCCCTGCCACCCTCCGCTCCTTCACGCGCCGCGCGTGGCCTTGACTCACAGGCGCTGTAAGAGCAGAAGCAATTAGAGCTCTCATCACACCACAGCCCTCACGGCGCCTACCCCTCCCTGACCCGGGGTCCACGAGCCTCCCCTTCCCAGACCGGCCACGCTCCCGGCCGAGGCCGGCGCCCGCGGCCACACTGCGCTGAGGCTGGGCGCAGACTCCACGCAGGGGCCTCACGTCCTTACAGGGACCGGCACCGCCTCAGGGCTGACGCAGGCCTGCTCTGCTGAGCACGCAGCGGGCATCGAGCTGAGTCCTTGCGGCCGCCCCAGGACGTCCCTGCAGGGACTGTCTTATCCTCCTCCGGGGGGCAGAGTCCTGGGGACGCTGGCTGCTCAGGGCCACAGGGAAGTGGGCAGGGCGGGAACCTGGGTTCCGGCCCACATTTAAGGTGACTTCCAAGAGCGCCTGTGGCCGAGCCGTGACCGCTGTGTCCACACCGCTCGTGCCTGAGGCTTAGCGGGATTTGCTGATGCACAATAAATTTTTTATCGAAAGGTTATAAAGTGTACTTTTAAAGTCTGGCTCTTAACTTCCTTTATGACATTATTAGATTATGAACAATTACTAAATAAGAGAAACATAAGTATGTGTGAGTTACAGAAATAGAGAGCAAATGCTAAAATTCACTCTCTTTTCTGAATGTGTAAGAGATAATTAGACAAATAATTTACTAATTTAATCGTTTGGGGAAATTAAAATTTAACAGATTTGTAACCACTTGGAAAAAATGAAACCGTAAAGGTTTTTATTAAACAATATTGTCTTGTGCCAAATTTCTGAATTTTTCAATATTCTTTCAAGTGATTAGAAACCAAATGGTATTTTTGGATTAAATTTCAAAATCCTCACAGTAGTTACGAGTCCATTTCACAAAGAAAGAAATCTCCATCCAAACTGCAGCTTGAGGACCGTGGCCGGCCCCCCGCGCTGGCGCTGGCGCTGCTCTGGGGGCGCGGCGGCCCCGGCCTGCCCTTGAGGCGCAGCGTGGCCTGCAGGCGGCCCCGTCCCGCGTCGCCGTGCTCCCTGGAAACGCAGGCGTGCGGGCAAAACGGGGTGGTTTTTCTTCGCTTCCCCCACAGGGCACATCAGCGCTGAGCTGTCACAGAGTTAAAAACAGCAACCCCTCTGTGGACGGGCGGCCCCTTCTGCCCTGCCGGGGGTCTGAAATCACGTTCCGCTCTGCGATTGACTGGAGCTCTAGTAACAATGGTAAAATCCTGGGGGCGGTGCCCTTTGACCTAGAAGGTCCTTGAACCCCCTCGCATGGTGACTGAAGGACGAACAAGGGTCTTTCATATCCGCCACGGCAGATTGAAGGCGAGGGCCAAGCCCGACGATGAAGCACCACTTCGAAGGGCAGGTGCGCACGCCCGGGGGCAGCCTTGTCCCGGGGACACGGACAGACCAGGGGTCCCGGCGGGGGCGCCGCTCGGGGTCGGCGCGTGTGAACTCGGGCGGATGCCGGTGCACCTGCCGTTTGGGTGGCGGTCACTTGCCATTTTTGGTGGATTCTTGGTGGATTAGATGTCGTAACTGCAATGAGCGCAGGTTCACCATAGAAAGCCTTTCATATGTCACAACTGAATCCATGTCGCGACTCCATCTGTGCAAGACTGAGTGTGTTACTGTCGTCTCGTGCTGGAGAGCAGAAAAAATGTCACCTTCTGACCCGGAATGACTGGAGGAAAGTGAGAAAGAACTTAAACTCGAGCTTGGTCGCCGCGCTCTGTGGGGTCTCCCGGCACCATGCCGCCTCCTCACAGAAGCAAGTCTTCCCGTTTACAGCAACGGGCCAGGGGACCGTCGGCCACGATGAGGACAGCATGTCAGGCTGCTGGCGACTTTTTCAGGACGCACGACGTTGCTGGTCGTAAAGCAAACTGAGTATTTACGGCTGAGAAATTATTTTTCTAAAGGGACCCTAAGATCTTTCATACAATTAAATATATTGTCATACTTTTGTGATAAGTGGACTTGGTTTGACTGAAGTTAACTTTATTTTTTGTGGGTTCCCTCTGGCTTTTTTAATGATAATTTTTACCTAAATAAACCAATAGTTCCATTACGTATTCTCTAGCAAATTTAGAAAGTTAATGAACTGATGTTAAAATATGGGAGATGTATTTCATTTACTTTAAAAAGCCTGAAGTAACATTAAGATTATAAACGATTTTATATTCAATATCATAGTCTTTTTTTGCAGGTCGTTCCTACATCGATGTGAACATTTGGACATTCTTTCTCCATTAAAGTAAGTAATGTCCCCGAAGTTTAAATTATTTGCCCAAAAGAACACCAAGAACATGGCAAACAAGATTCCTAACGGGAGATCAGAAGGGTAGGAAGTGCAGGCGCAGGACACGAAGATCCCGCGTCTCGGGGCAGAGGGCCGGTGCCGGGGCTCGGGAGGCGGGGGCCCCATCTCAGCGACACAGGGAACAGCGGACCGGCTGCAGCCCCCGGCACTGGTCTGGCAGCAGGAGGGCGCCGGGGCCAGGGCAGGGTCACCGTCTCCTGGACCGGACGCAGGACCTGACAGCTCACAGCAGGGGCGAGCCGTGGCTCTCGCCCGCTGCCCGTCCCCCTCCGGCCCCACAGGAGCGACACACAGGGCCGGGGCGGCCGTGCCTGCCACGGGCGGCGTCGACGGCGAAGGCCCGCTGCTCGCCGAGGGCCGGCCCGGACCCGCGCACCGCAGGCGTGTGCGCACGCCTGCCACCAGCACGCGGCACGGTCGGCGAAGTGCTGCGGCCCCGAGGGGCCTGAATCGCACAGGACTCAGCGTGTCTGGGACCCAACGGCATCCAAGGCGCAGGCTTCTGTCCGAAGCCCTTACCAAGAGGGTGTGATGAACAAAAATTCCAAACGCGCCATCTCAGCCCATGTTCCAACCTCTTCCCGCTCCGTCCATGTTTTGAAACAATTAGGGGGAAAAGGGGAAATCTTTATATTTTATCCTCTTATTTCTTCATCCCCAGTTGTAACGATCAGTTACCACAGGCAAACGCCCTTCGGCAGAGAAGGAACCCGGTCGGGCTGAGTCGCCGGGGCCCAGGGAGACGCCCGGCACCGGCCTCGGTCCCCGCCCCCGCGCCAGCGGCCCGGGTCTCATCCCGGGCGGAGCTGCCCTCCAGCTGCCGCCCCCGATCCGGCGCCTCAGCAGTAACAGCCCGACACACACGTCTGAGGCTGCGGGAGGAGGCGACGGGAGGAATGACCTTTCCCCGTCTGGATCCCTGGCGTTTTAGTAAATTCAGTAAATTCAGTAAATTCAGTAAAAGCACCAATGTCCAGGGGCCGAGGGCTGCGTGTGCAGGCGGCTGCGTCCCTGCCGCACCCCCCACCCCCTGCCCCGCCCCCAGGCGTGCCGTGCTCCTACCTGGTTGCAGGTGTTGATGTCGATGCCGCCCTTCAGGTACTCCACGACTTTGTCCAGGTTGCCGGCTCTGGCGGCGCGGAGGAAGCTGGCATTGCTGTCCGACTGCGGGGAAAGGAGAAGACCCTCCGTGAACGGCCGACCGGGTCAGAGCACGCCCACCACTCCCTGCCCGCGGGACGGCCGCCGGGAGCCGCTTCGACACGGGGCTCACGACGCTCGGCCGCGGCGTGTCCCCAGAGCTGCTGAGGGGCGTGGGGGTCCACGGGGGCCCTACCAGAGGGGGAGGGAACTGCTGATGTGAAAACAGCCGTTACCCCCGAGCACGAATTTACCCCCTGCTCCCCACTCCCTGCGGCCCCAGGATGCCGGTGCCTTTACACTGAATTGAACGTTGGGCAAAAGGAGTCAGGAAACCCAAAGAACTCAGAGCGTCTGCGCGTCTTATTTCTCCGCCTTACGGGCTGGCTCTCAGACGAGCCTCGGTGTGGTCCCCCGGGGGTCACCTGTCCTCGCTACAAAGGCCAGAAGGCTCCGAGGGGCTGCCGGGGCGAGGGCGGCGCTCAGAGCTGTGGCCTGGGCCGGGCCGGGCCTGCGATGCCGGCGACGTGGGGAGGGCAAGGCTGGATTCCGACCCGTCGACATCACACCCGACGACACCCTCCCCGTAAAGACGACCACTCTTGGCGGAGGCTGCTTTCTGGGTCCCCGCCTTCCTGATCCTCCTCCCAAAACTGGACCCCGAGGGGACCAGCTGAGCGTTCCCCACCGTGTGGCGGGGAGAGCCGCCCCCGAGACCCGGCTCCGGCCCTGCCCCCGGCCAGGGACCCGGAAGGGACGCCACGGCCCACAGAGGACACACGCGGTGCGCTGGCCGCCCACCCAGGGCCGCCCTCCGCCAGGCCTGACACCCGCGCATGACCCAGCGGTGGCTCATCCGCAAAGGTCTACTCTGCGAAGCTATTTCATGGTCTGCGGCGAATCCTAAACTTCCAGAAGAGTTTCTACCTTCAGGTTTCTGGCCACAGCACTTAAAAGTGAAACATCAAACTGGTGCACCCCATCGACATTGCACAAGAAACATTATTTACTATAAAACAATAAAAATTAAATCACACGAGGTCACAGACAGAAAGTACCTTATTTCCCGTCTACGGTCTTTAGAAATACATCTATGTGCTGTATGTACATGTCTAACCACTATGCTTACACTGTATGTCAACTATAACTTAAAAAATAAATTTTAAAAAATTTAAAGGAAGATTGTGCCTAGAAAGTACTTCCATCTTGAGCGCGAGGCCCAGCAACGACAGGGGACACCGACGGCGCGTCTGAGCGCACCCGGCCCCTAAGGCGGAACGGCCACATGATGACGTCACCATTCCCCAGGGCAGAAGGGGCTCAGTGTCCAGGTCACAGCGTTCGCTGGCGGGAGACCCCCCCCTCGACTCCTGCCGCTGGGCCTCAGAGCATCGAAGCCGCGTTACCACGGGCCCTACCCTGCGGGCCACGCGTCTGTCGCGTTTGCAGACAGACCTTGGTCACGCCCCTGGTCTGCACGTTCACGCTAAATCCCAGCGCTTGCCTAACGGGGTGCCTGCCCTGGAGAGCGAGCTCGCGGCGGGACCCCTGCCCTCGCCCCCCTGGCCGCCCGAGCGCCTTGAACAGGAGAGAGCTGCCTGCGAGGCGGCCCACGGACGTCGGGGCCGCAGGGCGCCCCGCGCGCAGAGGCCCGTGACCCGCCTCCCCGCGCACACTGCGTTCCGTGCGGTCACACCCAAGACCAGACAGGCTGCTCGGCCGCGCCTGCACCAACGGCACACGTGCCTGGGGCCTGGCGGATGAACTCCCCGGGAGACCCTGCGGTGGAGGCTGAGGGGGGCGCGTCCGGGCGGCACCCCAAGACCCCCGGACCCCTCTCCAGGCGCTGCTTTTGCTGCTGCATAATAACGAGTTTTCGTAACTGCTTTTCTCTGTTCGGAGTCAAGCTTTCAAACAGCAGGAGCAAAGCAGAGGCTGACAGCCAGCCCTGGGACTTCACCCCCAAGTCCCGGAGGGGCTGGACCCCCAGGGCCGGAGCGGCTGAGGTCCCCGCCAGGGACCTCGTCTCGGCTGAGGCTCTGCAGACTCTGCTCTAAGGCAGATTCTTCTAGAACACCGTGGAGAGGTTTGGTTTTCCCAAAGTGAGAAAATGCACTGTAAATGCACATTGCAAATGCAAATGCAAATCAATGAACCTATTATAAAATGGCCCCAGAACACAGATTTCAGGAACAAAATTGAATGAAGGCTTCAAAGTTTCCACGTAGCTGCTGGCAGTCTGAGGGAAGGAGCTGCTCCCGCGCCCGCGGCCCCGCGGCCCCGCGGCCCAGCCCCGGTCCGTCCAAGGTTAAAGCACCCCACCGAGACGCACAGAGCTGCGGGGAGACTGCCGTTCTCCCTGTGCAGCCACAGGGGGCCAGGGATCCCCGGGAGTTAGCTCCTCGTGGCCAGGCCTCTGGTTTGGCTGAGCCAGGGAAGGCAAGCAAGGAGCTCGCTGCCGGGGAGGAAGGCGCGGAGGTAAAGTTCGAGAGGGACTGTCTGCGGGAGCGGAGGCACAGGGAGAAGGGAGCGGGCCTGGGCGCCGGGGTGGCAGACGCAGCGGTGCGCACCACACTGCTTCCCGCTGAGAAGACGCAGGAAGCAGTTTGAAGTTCCGTGCCGGGGCGGGGTCGGGCGGGGGGACCGTGTGCTTCCGCCGCGGACGGGTGTCCCTGGGCTCTGGGGGGGCTGGGGGCGGGGGCGCTGCCCACAGAAAGGCTCAACAAGGAGAAGAGGAGGCAACAGCAGCCCCTCCGGGAAGGTCTCCGACGAGCGCCAGGCCAGCTCCTCCCGCTTTGCCGCCCGTGTCCCCAGGGCTCGCGAGTCCCCGCACGGCCGCCGCAGGCCCGCAGAGTCCGGCTGCGCCGAGAATCCGTGCGCCGAGCCCCACACGTGTTAGTCAGCCACAGAGGGACATCGCGACACTTGTCCCTCACAACCCTGGGGTATCTCTAGTTCTGTGCGTTTTCTGTATCCAAATGGCTACAAACCCCCCGCAGAACTGACATGGGCCAGGAGCAACCTGCAGTCGGAGAGTCACACTGGTCCCCTGGAGCCCAGGGCACAGCCATGGGGTCCAAGGACCCTGTGGCTACAAAACGCGTAACCTCTGTGCTTCCGTGCCAAGGACGGCCCAACGAGGAAAACGTGGGCGTGTTCCTGCCGCGGAACCGGTGCACCCCTGAGCCCGACGTGACACGCTGCCCGTGCCTCCGGGCTCGGCACTCAGGGCTGACAGGCAGAGGCGGCCTGTGCCTGCCTGACGTGTGTGGTTCTGCTGTGGCGCAGGCGGCGGCCAGAAGCCAGGTCCCAGGTGGGACGGCACGGGCCCGACAGCCAGGGCCCCCGGCGCCACAGTGGGCAGACCAGCCACGGCGCCCAGGCACCCGGGCTGGGGCCTGGGCCCATGGCATCAGCAGGGACACGGCGTCAGTCCCAGATGCAGCCCAGGCTGCGTCGGGGCCAAACTTCCCCTTCGAGCCACTGACAAGAGCTTTCAACGGCTACAGCGCAGCCTGCCACAGACGCTGGCGTGAGCGACTGTCCGGGACGACTCGGGTCTGTTATTCTGACACAGGACGCAAAGCCCTGACCGTAACCAAGGTAGCAACACGGAGGTCGTGGGCTTTTTACCCTGTGAGAGGGATGAGTGTGTCCTCAGGCTTGAGGACACGCCTGTCGTGTGTCCGGCTCCGCGATGCTTTTGCTGACTGGTCAGCGGAGGCAAAGCTGGGCTCCTTTGGGGGTTTAAGGAATTCACAGGCTTTCTTAGGGTACAGTTATTTTTCTGTAAACACACGGCTCTTACCGGCCACCCCCGAGGTCCATGTGTGTAGAGACACAAAGACTAGGCTGCATCCGACAAACTGGGGGGACGGTCGTAACCTGAGTGTCGTGGAATGAGGGGCATCCCACAGTCCCTCGGGGCGGCGGCGAGCTCAGCGCCTGCTCAGCAAACCGCGCGACCTCTGGTGCGGGTCTGTGAGTCTCGGTCTCCTCATCAAACAGCAAACGGACTTTGTCGGGACAACTTGAAGGTGCTCAGCCCCGTGACAGGCCAGAGGCCCTCGCCGAGTCTGTTCAATAATCGTGGTTTTTCTTGTAAACGATAAACGCGAAACAACGGCCAGTCCGAGCGTCCGGGCGCACGGCTCATCGCTACACGTCTCCCCCAGGCCCAGCCCTGCACGCGCCCCACTGCTGCCCCAGGGACGCCCGCCTCCCTGCAAGCCCTGCCTCCTTCGGGGGGACCCCGCACTCCCGGCCAGGCCTCCCGCTGCCCCGCAGGCCGGCCACGCCCGTCTCTGCCCCCAGGCCGCGGCCCCTGTCCTCTGCCCCCCAGGCCGCGGCCCCTGTCCTCTGCCCCGGAACAGCCGCACACGCGGCCCCAGCGAGGCTGCTGCCGCCCCCACGACAGGCACGCGCTGCGGTCGGGTCGCCGGTGCGGGCGCCGGCTGCCGCGCTCAGCGCCTCCTCGCCCAGGCCCGCGGCAGACGCGGTGGCCGCCACGGAGCTCCAGGCCACTGCGTGTGGGCCACAGTCCCAGGAGAGTTACAGAACAGCAAAAGGCTGATGTCACGAAAATGAAATTCTTTACCCAAACTGGGGGGAAATGTTAAATAAACGAATCGTGCAAATAAAGAAACTAGGGAAAGAGGAGGGTATGATAATCCTGCGGATGCCAGCGATGAAGAACCATGTTCCGGCCTTGCTCCTGGGACGCAGCAGTGAGTCTGATATGGTAGAGAAACTACAGTAAAAATATGTGACCTCGATGTAAGAGAAATGCAGAGTGATCTCGGGCCAACGCTCAAACCAACAAACGATGCCAAACCAAAAGCACGAGCCAAGGAGGAGACTGAGAATGGATGCGCGTCCCGAGGCCGCTCCAGGCGTGCTTGACCGAAGCCGGGCCGGAGGCCGTGCCCCGGGCACACGGCCCCGCGTGGCTGTGCGGAGGCGCATCCCCCACACGGCGACCCCGGGGCCGGGGCCGGGGCCAGGTCTGCAGGCGTCTCTGGAGCTGCTCGTTCTGCGGGACCGTGCGAGGCGCACGTGCCGGTCACCGGCAGGTGGGAAAGGAAACGCGGTCTGAGGGGTGAGCCTTCCCTTCTGCGAGGGGCAGGGAAGTCTGCAACCGGACAGAACAGCATGACAAATTCTGAACAGGAATTTAAAAACAGCTGGATTTCGTCCCTGCCTCTGCCCTGCCCCACGGGCTCCCCTTTGGGGACGGTGGGGCTGACGGTGACACCGGCGGATCCCAGCCCTTTCAGGACTGATGTGAGAGGCAGTCCCGCCGCAGAAGAAAGCCCTGCCCCACGCTACCTTAAATTTACATTTCTCCGTGAGTTTATTTGGGCTTATGAGTAAAACTGGAAAATTCACTGATCCGAAACTTGTGGCCTAACAGCACAATAAACTCCAAAACATTTCTAAGTTTATTTCCAGAAGAAAAAAAAAATGCCACGGACCTGTTTCTGTTTTTCCCCTCAAAAAAAGCGTATTATAGAAATATAAGTTCTGAAATCTTAAGAACTGGGTGTTACCGGTTGTGATGAGCACACGCGAGTGGCTGAGTGAGGAACGTGCCGATCGGGACGAGCGGGCGGGGAGAGACCAGCCTCAGGGCGCCCGGCGGGGGGCAGGGCCCATGGCGGGTGCCCCGCAGGCGGCAGCCACAGGACGGAGCCGTGCACTGTGCTGAAGACCCTGCTCGACCCTTGGCACTGGGGACTAACTTTTTTGCCCCGATGTGAGAAATTCTGAGCAGCGCACAGCGTCCGAGGGAGAAGCCGGGGGCGTCTCCGCCTCTCCATACGGTTCTGTGTCACATGGTCATGCGTGCGCCCGTCTGAAAACGCCAATGGAAAAGTTTCATCAGCGACCAACAGGTTATAAGTACGTTATTGGATTCAGAGAAGTCAGGTTGTAATTGTTTTAAAAAACCGACCTGCTTCCATCCAGGGCCAACACCTGTGTTATGAGGGACCGAAGGATTTTAAAAAGGGTGACGCTGCCGTTGGTCGTCACCGTTAAAAATTTTTCTGAGCCCTGGAGTTTAGAGTGGATTTCTCATTCCATCCCTCAGACCCCCAAGTCACGTCAACGCACGTTCTTCTTTGCCTAAGGAACACCTATCAACGCACCAAGACATCGCCTGTTCCATACTTTTTAAAACTATGCTCTTATATTTAGTTTTTAAAGCCCTTCTAATTTATTTTCATGCATTACATTTTTCTTAATGATTCTTAAAAGGTGAAAAAAATGGAATTCACTTGTGTAAGTTCAAAATGTTGGAGGAATTATTAACTTCATTTTAAAGAATGATCTACATTCTAAATTAACAAAAAACATTCATAGAAACTACCTTTTAAACAAGGTAGCTACTTCTTAGGAAATGCGTTCACACACAGCAATGCAGCGAGCACACGGAGTTACTCGAGGGTACGGGAGAGCTCCCCTTTCTGGCCCCTGGGCCCACAAACTGCTCTGGAAGTGCAAGGACACCCAGCCATCGAGGGGCCCGCCCACCCCACGGGCCTGGGCTGGTCGGGCAGCTGCCCCGCACACCCGAGCACCTCTGCCCTGCGGTCCCTTGGCCCCCCGACCCCAGCTCTGGCCTCTGCCACCGCAGTGCAGCCGCTGCCGAGCGCGCACGCCGGGCGCGGACGCTGGCTCCGCAGGAAGCATTTGCGGGTCTGCTCCCGGGGGGTGTTGGTCTGGCCGCTCGGACGGAACTGCAACGCTCCTAAATTGAGAAATGTGTCCAGGCCGGAGGAAGAGCCAGGACAGGGCACCCCGCAAGGGCCCACGTGCCCACCGCCCCCCCGACGGTCGGGCCCACATGTCCGGCACAACCCTCTGCTCCTCCCGCTGAGGGGCCCCGCACCTCGGGCTCCGTGGTGTCCCTGAAAGAAGCAACTTGCCATGAGGCCAAGTTCCCACACGGGTGGATCCCGACGAGCTTCTCTCTCCAGCAACATGAATATCATACTGTTTCAGAGAGGCTTTTAGCCCCGCCCCCAGAAAACCACAATAAGCCTTTGTAACCATTTCCAGGAGCATTCCACGGCTCTGAATTATTAAAGCCTGAAAGTCAGCTTACACGTCTGACTGTTCAACTTTAAGCCTCTGCGTGGAGGATCACCGCCTGGCTGTGAGCAGTGCGAAGGCCGCTCCCGGACGTCGCCCGCTGCTGGGCCGAAGCAGGGCTCCTTCCCACCCCCCCCACCCCCGCGCACCTGCGCGGCGCGGGCACGACGCGGAGACAGGCGAGGCTCCGGCGGCCCCGGGCGGTGGATGTGAGCCGCCCACCGCAAAACAGATGCTCAGCCCTGGAGAAAATTCCAAATCACAGAGACGGCGCCACCGCTTACTCCCAAACGTCGCTTCGCAGCTGAAGCCAGCCCAGCGGGCGGCCAGCGTGTGGGGAGAGCAGGCCCGACTCCGAGGCGTCGGGTGGGCGGATCCCATGGCTTCACTCCACTGCCTTCCTCCGGGAAGTGGGGGGAGCCGACCAGTGCGGGGGCGGGGCGGTGCCAGGACCCTGCCTCAGCCTCCCTCCGTCCCTGTGGCTCAGGACTCACCCGCGCCCGCAGCTCCGTGGGGTCCGCACTGTCGCAGCAGCCGTAGTAGTCGGGGGCTGTGTCCGCCTGCTGCGCGTGTCCACGGGCCCTCACGCTCCTCCCCGAGTGGCAGGAAGGGCAGAGGGCAGCATTGCCCATTTCGCCCGCAGCTCCTGGTCAGGGGGCCGGCCCTCGCCCCAGGCTCTGTCCAACCTCCGGGGCCTCACTAGCCGGGACAGCGCGTGCAGACGGCCCCAGGCTCCCCGCGCGCTGCCCCCGCACGCCCCTCACCACTTCTCCCCATCTGGCCGGCGGGCTGGTGTCAGGAGGCCTGAGAACTGCAGGCCGCGTTCAGTGACCACTTCCAATCCGGCTGCCTGGCTATTTTTACACCTACCCGGCCAGCTATGCGGGTCGGGGGAGGGGGCGGTGTTGTGTTGTTTTTCACCATGTGAGCAGCCTGCTCCACACATGGCCTCCACCTCCCGCTGGCTGGCCTGTCTCTCAGGAGACGCACACGCCTCAGCCCGAGCACCGCCCGCCCGTTCACGCACGGGGCGCGGGCCTGCACACCCCCGCTGGCCGGCAGCACCGCCGGACGGTCGCCTCTGAGTCTGCTGGGGCCCGGGGCGCCCGCAGCTGCCCTCCCCATTCCTAAAACTCCCCACAAACGCAGGGGTGCGGTGGTGGCCCGCTCCCCGCCCGCACGGATGTTCTGGATTTGATAAATTACCCATTTCCCATTAGTCACGATTAGGCCACATAAGAGCAAACTTTTTCATTCAAACCTAATTCCTTTTCATTTTTAACATTCTGAAAATGTTTTCCCCAGCTTCATGAAAAAGACTCAAGGATGGCTTTCCACGCCACACAAGCAGGCTCCGAGACCACACTGCAGGTTTTGACAGTCGTGGTGAAGTCAGGACTGTGTCAGGGCAGTGATGGGTTAACCTCTGCTTCCTGGGGCTCTTCTTCAACTTGACCTGTAATTGTTTCAACGTCACTCTGACGCTCCCGCGTTTGCTACGCGCGGTGCCCGTCTTCTCGTCTCACTGCTCAGCCGCGGTCCAGGCTGGGATTTTTGCATCATCCATCCACACGCTGTACGTTAAATATTAAACGTTTAAGAAAGGTACTAAATTGAAAGCAACCGTTTGGGGAAAACAACGGTGGAAGATACTGAGAAACTGACCACATTACACTTGACAGAACTTACCTTTCCAATTACTCATTTTTGTAAATTAAAAATGCTTTGTGATTATTTTCTATTTTGTTTATTTTTTTACTTTTACTAGTATTTATTTTATGCTGAGTTTACTCCTGGGCCATAAGCTTTTGTTTCTTCAGTTTCTTCTGGGATATTTTTGTCTTCTGTGCAACTTCCTCTTCTGGTTTAGGAACAATCTGCTCCTTTTCAGTGGGATCATCTCAGTGTGGCAGGGAGAGCGCGTGTGTGGGCTGATCCGCCCATGAGCCCTGTGAGTTCTACGTCGCGTCTTCGGAGCTTTGTTCACCTGGATGTGCTCCATGTGCAGAGAATCGACGTCGAAAGCCTTACGCTCAGCAGCACCCCCTCAGCACTCCTTCGGGGCCACCGACCCGGTGTCCAGCCCGCTGTTTGGCCTGGGCACAGCCACCAATTCCACCACTGTGCCGACAGAATGCGACACCCTGCTTCTTTAAAGTGACATCTTTCCGATACTTGGTGGCTTTTCGACTGTGCACACCCCTGACGGCCTGGGCAGTTCCACGCGTGTTCTTGAAGGGAAGATGAAGATCTGAACCTCTTGATTTGGATGACTTTGTGGGGTTTTCTGGGTCAAGTGAATAGCGAACCATCTTCAGAGACCACCTCTGGTCGCTTTGGGGAACAGCTGTCATTATTTTTAAACTGAAACCGCCAGCCCTGAAGGGGGCTGTCCCTCCCCGTGGCTCCGGACCGGAGCGGCGTCCAGGGCGGGGCTGCAGGCCCCGGGCACCGCGCCGGCCCCCTGCAAGTCTGAGTGCGCCTGGCCCTGGAGGCCGCCCGCCCGCCGGACACTCTCGCCGCCAACCCCGCCCCACACCCAGCCTGCCGGGGCCACCGCCAGCATTCAGTGACCGCAACGTTCCCACCGCTCAGCTACAGGTGGAGGCGCCGCTTGACACCATTTTTAAAAACTTATGACAATGATGGGGCATAACTTCTCCGGTCGTGATCAAGAGAAACGTCACCTACACGTTGTGAACGTCGAAGCTTCGGGTGAAAGTGAGGCGAAGACCGAGCTTCGAGGCCGAGTCCTTCCTGCTCCTGAAATGCCTGCGTGTAGACGGCGCAACCACTCCCCCGGCCAGGGCCGCTCGGACAGAGGCGCCCGGACGGTGGGAACCGCTGGGCTGCCACGTCTGCCGGCCGCTCGCACGCTCTCGGAGAAGAGTGCGTTGGACTTCCCGCCCTCTGGAAGGTTCCGCCTCACGACGTCTACGAGCGCTGGCTCTTGAACACACGTCGACTGTGTTACTCAGAACGGGCGCCAAGGCTTTGCCGGCTGTCGAAACAGGTGCACTCCCCCCACCGCTTTCGGAATCTGTTAGCTATTTTTAAAACACGAATATTCATTTAATAGTCAACATTTAATATGCAACTGCCTTCGAGCAGACTCATGCTGCTTTACAGAGGCTGGAAGCAAATCCGGAAGATTCCCTCTAGCCTCCCCCCTTTACTCTAGAGCTGAGATCCGAAATCGGCAGCTACACATGTGGAAGGAGCACTCAGCCGGCCAGCGGGGGAGGGTGTCCCCGGGTGCTGGGGCCCTGCCACGCTGTCACAGCGCACGTTGCCTCCTGACGCGGCCACCCAGCGCCCGCAGGCGAGCAGGGACCGGCCCCGACCCGTCCACGTTCGCTGTCTCCTCCGCACTCGCCTGAAAACCCTCTTTCCCACAAAAGCCCCAGCTCCGCCTAGGCCAGTCCTGAGTCTGTGCCCCTTTGGGAAGGAGGGCGCACAGGGACCAGCCCTTGCTCTTGGTGCACGAGGGTCTGTCTCTCCCACGGACTTTCTCGGATGCACAGGCCACAGCGTTAAACATTTGTTAAGCAAATGAATAAAAATCCACAACATCGATACCTGACTGGACCGTAGGGGCTGGCGGCCCCTCCACACACACACAACGGCAGAGCCAAAAACCCGGAAGCCCTCTCGGTGTGGCACACCTCTATTTTATTTCTGGATTTGCAGTACACATCCCTTGTGGCCTTTGAAAAATATTAACAACATTTGGGGTGAACTTTTCCAGAAAAAAATTTGTAGTGCTTTGTTAAAAAAGAAAAAAAATGTTTGCAAAGGAGACAGAGTGTGACCCAGAAAAGACAGGTGATGCCTCTCAGAAAACCTCCCTCTAAGCGACTGCATCCAACCTCCCCCCGCTTCCTGCTCGTCAGCGGAACCAGGCCTCTCTGAGCAGGGAAACTGGCGGCTCCTGGAGCGAGGTGTGGACACTGCGTCACCAGGTGTCCCAAGTCAGGCCGCAGGGTTAGTGCCGGACGAGGATGGGCACAGGAAGCGCGAGCACACACACCGGTGCCCTGCGGCTGCCGGGATGCTGTGTGCGCTGACGGACGGACTCCAACCGTTGACCCGGACGCCGGCATAGCTGCGAAACCACCACCGATGAACAGCTCCGCAGTCCGAGGCTTGCTGCCTCGTCAAGCCCAAGGGACAAAGGGGTCGGAATGTCCCGGGTTAACCCAGAGCAGCTGCCAGCAGGCTCGTCACGGCCGCCTGGGCACTGTGGCCCCCTGTGGCCTGCCGTTCCGGGACCAGAAGGCAAGGTGAGCGAGGACTGGGCCACCCCCTGCCCCCAAGGTGCCCGTGGCCGCTGGGGCGTCTGCGGACCTCGGGCGGTGCTGCTCTCTGGCGGGGGGGGGGCAAAGTCGCCCTGTGCTCAGAGATGCTTCTGAGTCATTAGGGCGAATCGGTCAGAAGGGAAATAGTTGCATGTTTGGCCACAGTCAGAGCAGCAGCCCTGAGCTTGGTGCATGATGTAGAATGTGCTGCGTTTTTGCTTATCCTACATTCCCCCTGCACCTCGCCTGCTACTGCCTCGATGCATCGCTGCATTCAAACCCGGCCAGGTCAAAAGCCCAGGAGGCCTGAGAACAAAGCAGCTTCCCCGCTGTGTCTCCCAGAAGCAGGAAGGCAGGTGCCACGTCCCTGGGAGAGCAGACTGGACAGTCGGCCACCGCGGTTTTCAGCTTCACCGAGGAAAGGGGCAGCAGTGACCACAGAACCGTCAGAAAACCAACCCCTGGGAGGAGAAATAACTGTCTGACTCCACAATTTAACCTGCAGGGGAGTCAAAAACCATCTCGGCGTGAAGATCCTGAGCCCAGGTTGGGGCTCTGCCTCCTACACGCCTGTGGGTGCACGTGACCCTGATCAGACCTGGGCTTTAATTTTCTTTATAAAATAAGGGATCTGGACTTGGTGGATGCTAGGTCCCTCCCAGCTCTGAGGGTCTTTGCTTCTGTGAAACAGAACATTTGGACAGACGTCTAACAGGAGCGGTACAGCCGCTGACGCTGGAGGCCCGTTCAGTTCGCTCTCGCGGTGGGCAGGGGGAGGGAAGGGGCCCAGGTGTCCTGGTCTGCATCCCGGTCCCGCGAGCTGTGCTGCCCGCGGCAGTGCTCTGGGCCCTCGGGGGCCTGGGGGGGGGGGCCCGGGGACCGATGACAGTTCTGCCCGACAGGAGCTCCTGCCCGTGCCCCCCCATCCGTCTCTGCACCTCCCGGCCGGACGCCAGCTCTCACCTCCACACAGGCGGATGGAAACAGCTTTGTCCTGCGGGACCGTGCGGACAAGAGTTTGCAAACCAGCTGCACAAGCCTGTTGGGGTTTTCGGCCTCAACCACCTCACTTAACCTGTTCGTAGAGGCAAGTAGTACCATAGTAAAAATACTGAAAAGCCATTTTGCCAGAAGCCAGGAAAGTGGCAAACTGGAAAGTTTCGCTCAGAATCATGGAATTCATTTCCTCTCTCTGAGTTGTCGGGTCATTCAAGGATCCCTATCACGGATGAAAGAAGCGAGGGAAAGGGTCTCAGTCTGAACTGTCACGTGCAAAACAACGGTGAGAACACTGCACGTGGCCAACCTCTGAGTGTCCTTTGCAGATCGTCATTAATGTGCAGGGTGTGTGTTACCTTGGCTGAAAT